AATAAGCATCGATGTCAGTCATACTTAGTTGAAGTTTTTTTCAAAGCACAGCGGTATAATTCAGCATCACACCCCAATTATAAAATGTATTTGCTTTATTGATAGATATTGCATCATCAATCTATTGTTTTTTTTTTAAGTCTGTTTTACATTACATCGATCGGAGATTGACTCGGCCCATCGTCCTTGCAGAGTTGCAATACATCAAGAAGGAGTTCACACATTTTAATACATCGAACGAGCTTATTTAGAGTTTTTGGAAAAAGACGATTGGAGGGAATTTCAGTGTGGGGAAAGAGGCAGGAAGAGAAGGTGCTTTGGAGCCTGCAGTGGGGTGGTTGAATTCGGCGCGGATGAGACGAACACGGTCAGTCTGGTAGATTGAGTCCTCAACATGGATATTGAGGTCACCGCGTGATCAAAATTCACAATAAATGTGTGTGTGTGTGATTACACGTGGAACTAAACTGTGAATGCCACATTGTACGTCCTCTTAAAATAATAGTAACAGGCAAAAATAATAATTGTGTAATGTTCATGCTGCTGTGTAAGACAACTTTTAAAGTAACACGACTTGACAGCACACCCACTGTGTACACGTTTCTAGAGGAACTTTATGAGGTCTGTTACTGCAGTCGGAAGTTAGTTTGCATACTCTCTGAAGCACCCTATGTTCACACTGGCTTTTCAACTTGACCATTAAAGGGTAATTTTCACACGCTATATATACCGGCATATGTGAGACTGCTGTAGAGTAGTCGTACTTATTCTTTCGACAGACTAGCAACGGTTACACGTCTTCCATCGAGAAGAATCAAGGCACTTCGTTTGTACCGCAGTAAGTATTATTTACGCTTGTAAAAATAACATTTTTAAGTATAAATGAACTTGTGTCATGTATAATCTAGCAGTACCAACCGTAGTTGTTATTTCGTAGTATTCCTTGGCTAGCAGCTGTTATGCTATGGACAGAGTGGCCAGAGAATTTCTACCATTGGCTCCAGACCACATGAGCCAGTTAAGTTGCTTTTTCTATTTAACATTGTCATAGAAATTACGCGAATGAAGGAGAAAACATGCATATACCGTTTTAAATCATTGAACCATGAATTACGGGAATGTAATGTAGATCTCTGTTAAACTGCATATAATGTGTACATTATTTAACTTAATTCTGCTGTTCAATAGTTTTATTCTCGCTGAAGCTGGGCAACGTTCATTAACAATTATCTAAATTATTTTCAAAGTGTGCTACTCTGACGACTTCTACAATGAATAATATACTCTATTGTAAGCAATACTTTAGTGCAGTATATCCATCTGAGACTGGTTAGCTACTAAACGCTGCTCAAGAGATGATTGTGTTCCATCTGTTGCAAGAAGCTATTTTGTTTAAGCTGCATTAATAACGTAAATGTTTATTATAATATATATGTATTGCTAAGTACTTATGTAATATACCTGAAGAATTTGAAAATTGTAGAATGATTACACAATTCATTATTTAACAGCCTTAGACACTCTTTTTTTTAGCTGTATTCATGATTTTTGCAGAAAGATCATATATGTCACAATATATGTCCCTGATTTTCTGTTTAACTTGGAAAATCTGAAAATCGGGTCGAGGGTATGAAATTTCGAATGATCCGAATATTTTATTTGTGTTTTCGATTGGACTGAAATGTGACAACTTCCCCACTTTTCCAATGAAAACGCCATAAGCTTTGGATTGATCCAAGCGGAAATGCATAAAAGTTCAATCTTAGACAACAACAACAAAAACAGAGCTTGCAGACAGCTTCATTAGATATAATATGTGTTGACATGGAGACGATATGATGTGTAGTACACATCACCATTGCAGCAACTGAAGATTGTTATTGAAAAGTTTAACAAGTAGGTGGAGTTGTCGAGGGGAGGTGGAGGGCTGGACAGGGATGGAATGGGCTCAGAAGGCAGGGCCTCTGATCGCTCAATCATATTCTACTTCTTGCCATCCTCGGTTGCACTCCATTAATTTTACCCCCCCTTTGTACTCCACTATTTGAACACCGAGGCATATGTATGCATTGGAACCTCATGGGGACCCTTTAGGACCCACGTGTCTGTGGTGATGATTACACAACGGTGCAGTGCCCATATGAGCAAGGTCATAAAGTTTGCAACATAGTCAAATGTTAACTAACCTGCTATGCTGCACTATATGAAACCGCAAAGATTGCTGCCTAGACATTTCAACGTCGTGTTTGCAGAGCCATAATATTTATTCACCGATATTGTTGTGTGTGTGTGTGGGCAGTGGGGTTGGAAGGTGTGGAGCCACTTTTAAAATTCTAAGTCGTATAAAAAAAGATTGGTCAAATATGTTACGTTCTATTCATTATGTTAAGCGTTTATCATTTGTTTAATGTTTGTTTTACATTGACTGTTGTTCCACTCCTGAGCCCTTTGTATGTGACCCTTTTAAACAAGGTCATCCACGGAGCTGTTCATATGGAAAATGTTGGTGTCATGTTAATCTCACGCTATTGTGAATTGTCATCAAATTGGAGAGCTTGCAGCTGCCCCTATATTCTCAACAAACGTAGACATCCGAAAAATAATAATCCACTGCTGGATAAAGGCTCCCCGTGTTTGCTCATGGGGTTATTTGAAGCAACAGCTGGGACAGGTCCGAGTAGTGGTTCAAATGTTGCCATGGCCGGAAATTGAACATAGGTCACTGGGTTCAAAGCACAGTAGCGCTAACCTCTGTGGCACAACGGCATCCCTAAGACACCCTCTTTCAATCCCTATTTGATAACAATTGCAATTGAGGCTTCCCAGTTTGCATTGCATTTTCGTTGATACTATTTTCAGAAATAAAAACAAGTGTTATCTTGACATTTCGAATCTCCATCATGCTAATAAGAATTGTTTGGAATCTTGTGAATAATGACAACCTTGTAGGGGAGATACATTTTCTTATGACATTGGCAAACAATTTGATCTTAGGTTGCGACAGAACAGATACACAGATACGCAGGCTGTCACTAAATAAATGTGCATTTGGTGTTCAATGTTTACCAGGCCTAATGTGTTGCATATATTTGTTGTATCTACACAGTTTCTTCAGCAAGTTCTTGAGGCCACCCCTGCTTGCTGTGCAGCCAGCTCGTTAAGAAGGATGGTTGCCATCCTTCTGCTGCCCTTCTGTTTGTTTTGGCTGTCTGGAGGTTAGCATTTTATTTCCTCATTTGAAACATGACATCCTTTGTATAGATAAGCCTAATCTGCAATGGGTTAACAAGTACTACCATTGTTAACCATTGGCGGTGTTATATGATATGTCTAGGGAATTGACAGCGATTGCATGTGGTGATGTGAAATCTTGATTTGAAGCTTTCGTGACTGCAGGAATCCATACTCTTTGTTTCTTTCGGTAAAGTCACGTAGGTATAAATTAAAATACAAATAAAAAATAATATATCACGACGTTTCGATCGCAACACAAGCGGTCGTCCTTAGGTGGAAAAAATAATCCAGCAGTGAAATTGCTGGTTCAGCACTGCTGGTTCAGCACTGCTGGTTCAGCAGTTCCACTGCTAGATTTGTTTTTCCGCCTGAGGATGACCACTTGTGTTGCGATCGAAACGTCGTGATTTTTTTATTTTCTACCTACGTGACTTTACCGAAAAGAACCAAAGAGTTTGAGTGTGGTGATGTATTTATGGTGCCAGGTAAATGATACTTTGAAATACTAGTCATGTATAACTGTGAGTGCCATACTATGAATCATCTGGGTTTACATGTTTCCAAGCCATATTGGCCACTGCTAATTACTAAACAATTTAATTGAGTGCCTTCCTGTGAATCATCTGGATTTGCATTACTCTTCAGTCATATGCACTACTGATAACCATGTTAACATTTAATGACAAGCGTGTTGCGTTTTTTTAAGGATCAGGTATACTACTGTTTGCCCGATTTCACCGTGCTTTAGAAGGGGACAAAATTTTTGCACGTTTCGTCCAACTGTGTCAATTGGCACCATTTAACAAAACCAAATTATTGTAATATTTGCTATGTGAGTGAAACATGCTTACAATGTGGTCCTGTGGCTATTCGCTGTCATGAATATATTCTGGAATTCACACGAATTAGTGCAGCACAATTTAAGATATTGCAATAAAGCACATAGCTTCGAAATGTGTTAAGTATATTAGACGGATATAAGTAAACACATTCTAACCCATCACATTAAATTTACAAAATAATAACTAGGCGTCGTTGTAAAGAATATAAGTAACAATGATCATGAAGTAAACAGAAAATACCCTTCCATCACATCTGTCCCTCTGCTTATAAAAAATAATGTACACATCCCATCAACCATACAAGCCTTCTGGGAGTGCATATTTCTTGGCAACATTGCTTTAACACAAACTCTTCACCGGTTTTCAGTGTCTCATCAGCAGTCGTACTTGCTTTAACTAATGCACCAGATATTTATTGGCAAGGACCATCTCTGTTAAATATGCGTCCTTTTGTGATGCAAAACTATTATACGTAACACAAAATAATCATCAACATTGTTGTGGGCAATATAAGTCACTTTAACACGTCGGCTTTCGCGACCAATATTAATAATAAAGTTTTTTGGGTTAAATCGCGTAAGTATAAATGTGTCGTGACCCTCCACCACTCAATAAGTTACTACTTCAGCCCACCGGTGTGTTGGAGAGTAAATCCACAACATTTACAATTTGAGTACGACAGCATAATCGGGCAAATCGCCCGTTGTTGCTGGATGTAATTACCAGCGAAACGTCGTACTACTCAAATTGTAAATGTTGTGGATTTACTCTCCAACACACCGGTGGGCTGAAGTAATCACTAATTGGCGTTTTGTTTACGTGACAAATCCCTTACTAATTGGCTGTGTCGGGTGGTGGAGGGTTACGACACATTTATACTTACACGCGCTAACCCAAAAACCGTTATTACGAATATGTCACACGTAAATATTTTTTTTGCTACCTTTATGAACAAAAAAGTAATGCATGGGAAATCTACCTTTGGTGTAATTTGCTGCATAAGCATTGAACACTGAAGTGTTGACCGTTACTGCTCTGCTTCCTTGAGAGAAAATGCTGCTATGGCCGATGTTCAACACTGAATGTGACTGTTTTACAGATTGCCTTCCCAACTTTTAAGTCCAGAATTACGATGGGTGGTACAACAATCTGCTTAACATTGACTGGGGAAGTGCAGGTAACCGATATATAAAACTGTCTTGTGGGATACATTTCAAGATTTTACCACCGTAAAAGCAGTGCACACTCGTAGTTCTTTAAAAAATAAAGTAGTAATTTTCTTTGTTTTAGTTTCACAGATAACAAAACAATATATTTGAATTAAATTTTGCACGATTGTGTTCACGTGCTTGGCTAAATTACCATTACAGCAGTGGGTAATGCTTGTTTACTTTATTTTGTATGCAGTTTAATATATTCTTACGCCAGTAATTTTAATAAGATGTTGATCTTGATTTAAAGCTTTCGTGACTGCAGTAATTCAAATTCACACCTGATGACGACCGATTGTGTTATGGTCGAAACGTCGTGAGAATTTTTATTGTTTTATATATTTTATTATTTATTGTTTCCCTTCAACGTGACTTTACCGAAAGAGCTAAGAATAAGATGTTGATCTTTGATGTTTCTTCAAAATTAAATAAAGATATTGATATATCATCATTGTAATGATTATATTTAAATACACCATTATAGAAAACACAAACATCAATATAATTGTTAGAACGAATATATCAGTCAATTCTATTAGCTTATTTACCTATTCATAGTAGAAAACAAGTATATGAATACCAGTTCATATATACAGTATACACTCATAACGCGGGCTTGTAATCGTGAATTCGCCAGTTCTCTTCGATCTCCCAGTTGAAACAACGGGGGCACGATTCTCAAATCCCCCCCACCACCACCTTTGTCCACCCAGCAGTCTAAGTGCATACACCACAGTCGATCAGCACGTGGGGAGGTTGGATGAAGTGTGGGTACCCCCACGACCGGCAGAAGTGACCTCCCCCGACATGCCACCACACCAGACCTGCCAATCAATGAATTGCAACAACAACAAAAATCACAATACATTCAAGAGTATTATAACCATGCGTTTGTGGGAATCGGGCAGAAGGAAGCAAGTAGTGACGAGGCTGTCATGTTCGACAGTGACATTAGCCACGGTGTCCATTTGCTCTTGAGATCTTGACTTCGTTGATGAACTTCCTGTTCCCCCCTTTCGTGTGCCCCCGTCTGCCCGAAGGGAGCAAGCTGCTGCGCCTGGCTCCGGCGTCGTTTGCCGATGGCGTCTACCAGATGTGGGACGAGCCCGCGGTGCCCAACGCACGCCGCTTGAGCAGCAGCGTCATGCGGGGAGAGAGCGGCCTTCCCTCGGCCCTCAACCGCACCGTGCTGGCCGTCTTCTTCGGTAGAAATGCCCTCATCCCAAATACATACGTCATAATGATAATGATTTCAACTTGCAACGTGCCGAACAGCATTCACTCAATTTTGAAGTATGGTTAAACAATCTTTATGGACGGCCTTCATCTAGCAGTGGATTGACAAAGGGCTGGCTGTAAATGATCGGTTTTAGTATTGTTATTTCCCAACTGCCCATCATCGACCTCACTCCTCAAGTGCAACTCTTATTTTAATTAGTTTCCTGTTTTATGAGCTTCATGTTGATGATCCCGCATGTTTTGCCCATCGCAGGTCAACATATCATGGATGAGATTATGGACACAAGACGGGCGGGCTGTCCTGCCGAGTTTTTCAATATCCCCATCCCAGCAGAAGATCCAGCCTTCTCCAATAGCCCCTACAAAGTCCTGCCTTTCCAGCGCAGCCAGTGGGATAAGACCACCGGTGCCTCCACCAACAACCCCAGAACTCCGGTAATTTGAGCAGTCTTCTATGAAAATTGATCAATTAATCAATCAATTGTGACCTGGGGATTTGCATATCCTGCAATGTGGCTGATTTAAATCTCTGACCTCATGGAAACCCAGGGCATTTTCAGGAGGGGGACAGGTAATTAAATAGTTCTTTGTAGAAATTTAAATAACAGTTTTGAGATGGCATACAATTGTGGAAATTGAATTGGCAATGGAGTTTTTGTTTTTACTTCCAGGTGAATAAGGTGACGTCGTGGCTTGACGGCAGTGCGATATACGGGCCTTCGAGGAGTTGGTGTCAGGCGCTGCGCACATTTGACAGAGGGATGATGAGAAGCAGCGACGAAGAGTCACTTCCCCCTGTCAGCGGCCACTCTCTGCAGCTCATCGATGCCCCTTCCCCATCCTACGAGACGGGCAGCTCGACAAACAAAACCGTATATGGTAACAGAACATTCTCCATCGCATTCACAGATTCAAAATACTACTCCCCAAATACAGAGTGATCCATTTATGGATGCTGCAGTAGTGTGTAATAGTTAGTCCACTGCAATCCAGAGGTTGCCGTTTTGGTTTTTAAATTCTCCAGCCTTTGTTGACCCAGGAGAATGAAATGGACACACTACAGTTGACCAACATGCTACTTTTTGGTGGGATAAGATGTGTATGTATATATTTATGTTGAACTTCTTTCGCACCGTAGTAGCCAACCTTGCGAATCGGTTCAATTTGTCGTTGCAGATTTTGGAAATCCACGGGGAAATGAAAACCCGTTCTTGAAAGCATTGGGCACTGTGTGGTTGCGTTATCACAACTTCTGGGCAGCGAAGATCCACAGTGAGCACTCTGATTGGAGTGATGAAGATGTATTTCTGAATGCGCGGAAATGGGTGATCGGGGTATACCAGGTACAGTGTTTTATTGGCAGGGGTCTCTGGTTACACCAAACAATGTTTATTTGTAATACGGAATGTCCCGTTTAGCCAGTTAGCCAGCTATATTGCCAGGTGCATCAGCACAGACTGAAAATAACATCAAAATGATGGGTACAGAGGAATAGGCAACATTCGAACACAGCATTAAATTCCCATGAGCATTGAGTAAATTTCATGGTATTGTAGATTTAAGTTCTTTAATAATTTCCCGTAGTTCCTTTCCATTGGTTTTTAATCACGTTTAGAAACTCAATAATGGACTGTAATCATTGCTAAATAGTCTTGCTGTACAGTACATATTTCTTCATGCAAAGTTGTTAAAAATGTAACTTACGGTATTTATTTCTCAACGAAATGGGCTGCAATGCGATGATGTAGTTACTTTATTTAATTGCGCTTGAAGGCCATTATGCATATTTTGTAAATGCATTGCACAATAATGGAGACCTTCATTCAGCAGTGTATGGACGAAGGACTGCACATTATTATTGTTTTTGTTACATGCTTTTCATTAGATTCATCCACTGCCTTTGATTTTAATTTCAGAACATTGTCCTGTACGAATGGCTGCCAGCAATGCTCAATGGAAGCACCTTTCAAGTGTCCGAATACAAAGGTATAAAATATGCAGTGAAAATAAATCAGTACAAGTTCACGACCGCGACTTATCCGCCCTGACAAATTATTCGCCCACACCAGTCCAGTATTTGTGCACAAATCCAACCGTTTCACACAGAGTGATCTGTTCTTAATCTCACGCTCCCATGTTTTCAAACAGTTGTGCTTTATTTTTGCCCAGTAACCTATGTGTGAATGGTGTGGCTGTCATTTTATATATGTCCTTTGTAAAATATGTGGCCTCATCACATATCCGCCTGTACCCCAGGCACCATCGAGTTGGGTATATGAGATTTTGTATTTTGAAATGTCTCACATTCATTCTTAAAGTAAACATGGAATTTAATGTCAAGCTGCAATTGTCAGCAAGAGCAATAGTCAGATACAGAATGAGATGTTGTCTCAGTGCATTCCTCTGCACCACAGGGTACAAGCCACACGTCCACCCAGGCATTGCGGTGGAATTTGAGTCGGCTGCCATGAAGTTCCACCAGACTATGATGCCACCAGGTGTCTACAGCAGGTAAATAAAAGGACTCGCAATTCAAATTAGATTCAATGATCAAGTGTTTTACTGCTACGTATGTGTTTGCGGCTGTGGTGTATCGCTCTCCGCTGTGTATTTGGTTTGTTCCGTGCGTTGTTCAGCGCGATGCCCGATGTTTTGCTGCTGGAAGCTTCTTCAAAAACGGAATTTTCAGTTCCTGAACTGGATTTCAGTTCCTGAAGAAGCTTCCAGCGTGTGGACTCAAATTACGAACATCACATCCAAGAGCTATATCAATTGTGTTATTTTACATCACAGTACAATGAATGGCTGCACCTCAAATGGCAGTAGTGGGGACATAAGCCCAAATGCATACAACATATATACATTTAAAAGCATTGATTCTTACATATACTATATTATTAATATATTTTGAGCTTAAGAATTAATATTATAATTATTTTCATTGCTTTGTTTGCGCATGGGTAATTGTGTCGATGTTAAACTATTTTTTTTTTATCATGAATTAATTACCCCACTGCCACCTGATGGTCATTGTCATGAACAAAAAGAAAGGCGAATTCTAAAAATTACATTTGACATCGGGTGTGAAGTGCTGCTGCAGTGGTTCGCATGCTTTGAACTCGGCAACCTGGGTTTTATTCCTAGCCACGGCTAACTCAGTGGCGAGTTATATATTAATCCACACTGATCAGCGTGGTGAAGTATGGCTAAATGACCCCTATGACTGTCACGGCTTGGGGAAGCCTTTATCCAGCGGTGGACTGACAAATTATTAAATTGTTATTCGTTAAATGTCTCATTAATATCACGTCTTTTGAATGTATTTTCTTCACAGGAATGCAACTTGCAGCTTTAATCAAGTTAACGCAAGTCGATTATGCAACCACTTCTGGACAAACATGGTAATTGTTTGGTTTTATAATTCCATGCAATATTTTTTATTACATAATTGACTGTTTGCGTCTTCGTCATAAAATGTGTTTATCGATCTCTTATGTTTAGCCTTTCAAGTCTGGCCGAGACGTTGATGAAATCATCATGGGAATGTCATCTCAAATCGCTGAACGAGAAGATCACATCATTGTTGAGGACCTCTTAGGTGAGTTTGGCCCAAAATAACCTCCTCTTTAGGACTTTCCTGGCTTGCCATAGTTTTAGTGTGGATATTGTATAAAATATAACATTATATCCATATATTCTGCAGCATGAAAGCAAAATAAGTCTGCACACAATTTCGTAAATTGCCATAATTCTATTTCTTGCTGTATGTCTGAGAACCTTCGTACATTACCCTGTATTCCAAGTGTCAAATATTAACATTTCATCACAATGTGCACACCAGCCACTCTTAATCCACATGTAGATGAAAGCCTCATCTCGCATTGTCTGACATGGGTTTTTTTTGGCCATACTTCACCACATTGATCAGTGGCGGGTTGGTGAAGAGGGGTGGGTAGCTAGGAACTGTTCTGAGATAATTTGCCACTCATGTTAGCCTTGGCCAGGAATTCACCTGGGGTTTTCGGATTCATAGTGCAGCGCTACTCCACCGTGTCCATGCATGCACGTATATTTAACTCTTTCGCACGGCATGTAGCCAACCATACTAATCTGAGGTGCGGGGGGGGGGGGAGGACAACAAACTCAACGCAGAAGCAGTTCTCAAGAAATTAGTTTTCAAACTAGATGTCAAAGTGCACATCTCCAGTGGCTTTATAATATCGGAAGAGCGTTCCAGACGGCCGCAGAAGCGCATCTTAATTAAACCAACATTGCATTAGTGTTAGTCTTACACTTGCCGTTGTGCACTTTTTCGCATTGCTCGCGACAGACAAAATGTACGGGCCACTTAAGGCCACCCGCTCGGACCTCATGGCCTTAACCATTCAGCAAGGACGGGACCACGGGGCGCCCACCTACAATGATATGCGGCGTGCCTTGCACATGACCCCCATCGCCGAATGGGAAGACTTCAATCATACAAACGCGCAGGTAAGAGGCCATTGTCTCGTATAAAATACGGGGGTGGGGTGGAGTGGTGTCCCTCGAGAACGGTGGTGGTTCTCAAACTTTGTTGGACCACTCAGCCGATGCAAACATTTCTGCGGATCCACACAGCGCCCCCCCCCCCAACCCAGGTGACAAAACGAATTCACCAATCTCTAAATTCCAGGAATACGAAATGATTTATATTACTGGAACATAAAAAAATATTTTTGTTAACGCAGCTGAGGTTTTTTTTTTTTAAGAGGGGCATTTAGACCATACAGTCAGGGTAGCTTGATCGGGATCGTTCACCTACCTTCATTGTTTTTAATTAAAATATCATAAGTATATTAAGGTCCGAAACAAAACCTATCAACATTGTTATTATTTCCGGATCAACCTGCATATGCACACCTGGAGGACTGTAGCAGACTATCGGTGGTCCGGGGACCGCACTTTGAGATCCACCGTGCCAGGAACTCGAGTTTCAACTCAAAGTGAAGATGTCATCGTGGCCAAAGCCTTGCATGCCAATCACACCTCGCGAATGCTTTGTACCTTCTGCCAGACCCAGCAGCTGTTCATTTGAAGTGCAAACAATACGAACTAAAGAAATATGTAAACATGACGCACAGGGCATGCCTGTGCATCATGTTTGAGTAATATTATCAGAAAATGTAAGCATAACATTGCTTAGAGTTATGATTTTGAAACGCTTCGGTTCAAATCATTCTATTTATTTTGACATGGGTCAGTGAATCATTGTAAAATACTTTGAGAAAAATATTGTTTAATATTAAAGTAATTTAAACAATGCCCAGGCTGGTACTATTTAGGTAATTGTCGTGACATACCTTTATATTCTTGTCTATGTTCCCATAACTTTGCCAACCTGCACTGACCAGCGTGGTGAAGTATGGTCAAATAATCCCCACAAAACGCAAGGCATGGGGCGGCCTTCATCAAGCAGTGGGCTGACCAAGGGCTGCAAATGTGCATGTAAAAATACAATAGATCTTCTTTGGTTCTTTCGGTAAAGTCACGTAGAATGAGAATAAAATAATAAATTGATAAAATAAAATAACACAATAATATTCTCACGACGTTTCGGCCACAACACAAGCGGCCTTCATCAGGTGAAGGGACGAGACTGTCTGGTAGGACAGCGCTGGAGTGACAGTCTCGTCCCTTCACCTGATGAAGGCCGCTTGTGTTGTGGCCGAAACGTCGTGAGAATATTATTGTGTTATTTTATTTTATCAATTTATTGTTTTATTCTCATTCTACGTGACTTTACCGAAAGAACCAAAGAAGATGAATCCTTGCAGTCACGAAAGCTTTAAATCGAAATTTAATACAATAGATGTTTACGTTTTTCTTCTTTGGTTCTTTCGGTAAAGTCACGTAGGATGAAAATAAACGTAAAAAATGTTTACGTTTATTTTAAAAATTGGAATTTTTTAAAGAGGCATGACATCTTATTAAAAATAAAAGGTACTTGGTTTTCACACCCCTAGTCATCAAGTGCGTGCAACTGAAGGGGCCCTTAAATGATATCTCTTTGTAAGTACGTGTGTGTTTGGGTATGTGGAAGTGGGAGTGTCGTGGTTAGCGCACTGCGCTATGAACCTGGCCACCCGAGTTTCATTTCCGCTCACGGCCAACACCAGTGACGATTATCTGAGCCGGTTATGGGCCTCTCCTAGGGCGACTCAGCCTCAAATTAGTACCTGGTGCGGTGTGTAAACATTGCCACTGGGAAGACAAAGGTGGTCGGGCGTGGTGTTGGCTACCCACCCCCTCGTGTGCCGTGCCGGCCTTCACATGTGCTCGCTAACAGCACTTGCCGCAATAGTCTGTTAAAGGCTATACGGGTGATCTTTGTCTTTGTGTGTATATCCGTGTGTGTGTGTAACAGGTGATCCAGCAACTGAAGCAGGCCTATAACGGTGACATCTCCCGTCTGGAGCTGTGGCCGGGGGGGCTATTGGAGTGCCAGGGGGGGCCTGGGCCCCTGTTCTCGCGCATCCTCGTCGATCAGTTTGAGCGCATCCGCGACGGGGACCGCTTCTGGTTTGAGAACACCAACAACGGGTGAGGTGCTACTCGTGCTCATTTACTGCTAAATGGGTAAAATATTTAATGAGTGTTCAAGGTGAAAATCGCGAGGTCGTCATGCCCATTGCTTTTTATCTTTTGTTTACAGTCCTGAGTCACATTTTTATGGAGAGGGAAAGTCTACTAATAGGACAATCACTGTTGACTTCCCCATAAAGTGGGAGTCATTTTATAGACCGTGGAAGGATTAGGGGTTCAGTCAATCCTCAGCGAGATTTAAAATTTGCAACTTTCCAACTGCGAGTCGCTCACTCTAATGTTAAGCTTGCCACGGTGTACACAGTATATTCGTTGTGTAACTGAAAATGTAATATGTTTGAAATTACGTAAATGTTCAATGTTACAATGGGGTACAGTTCAGGCAAATGAAATATCGTGGACTGGATTATACAGGTATAATAGACAAGTCAGGCTGTCTTGCTGCTTAAGCCAGCATTAAGGAGACTTAATGTCAGATATTTTACAGCCCCTTGTCAATTCACTGTCAGATCAAGCCCTCAGTCAAGGGGATTACGTGACCACACTTCTCTCTGAAATAGTCCAGGCCGCCTCCTCTCCACCAACCCCACACTTTGCTGAAGTATGACCAACCCACTTGACCCGTGTGGGGAGGCCTTCATCCAGCAGAAGGGTGACACAAATTGTTGTAACGAAAAATTTATTTTAAAAAAGTGGGACGTGTCTCTGCCGTTCAGGATATTCACGGAGGACGAGGTGAGGGATGTGCTCGCGACGCGGTTCTCACATGTCCTGCAAACCGTGATGGACATTGACAACAGCAGCATCCAGGGTGAAGTTTTCTTTTGGAAAGATGGTGAGACTGGACAAAAATAATAATGATGTGCTTCAGAGTGTTTAGGTTCATGGTGTCAGCTCAGAGGAAGAATGGAAGTCACCAACACTAAGATGAAGATTTATTTGTGGACAATGTTTTGGTTCTCATGTCCTCGTGGCAGTTGTTTTTCAGTCACAATGTGTACCACTTGTGTGTTGATCAGTTGTGAGTTATCTTAGTTTTTGAAGGTAGTGTTATAAAAAGTCATCAGCCATGACTCATTCACTGCTAAGTGATTTTCTGCTCAAAACAGGAGTCGGTGCACATCTCTGATTTACATCCCTGAGCCAGTGGTGGATTTCCTCATATCTAAGGACAACCATTGTCGCCTTCCCCACAAAGTTGCCATCAAAAGTGGTACCCATTAGTGCAATAATAGCAGATAAAAAAAAATATAGTTATGCCGCACAGTAATTTTAATTCTCGTAAAGAAATTCGGACAATTCTGTTAGAGTAGAATCATTTTGGCACGTATATATGCAGATATTACATATACTATATTAATTGTTTATTATTAGATACAATGTCATGTTTCGGGCTGTTGTTTTGTACACTCCATCAGGGGACCCTTGTGCACAGCAGGAGCAGCTTACTGTGGACATGTTGGAGCCGTGCACACCTCCCAAGTCGATGGATTACTTCTCGGGCAGCGTTGCTACCTTCATAGTCACGAACTTATCCCTCTTGCTCCTACCCACATGTAAGGCACATTTCGTCGATCGTGAACACATGAAGCATCTCATAAGAGCGACATTTTCAGAGTATCGTTGGTAAAGTCTGCCCTCGTTTATCAACGCTCACAATTCCCCCTTTTGTGCTGTTGGGCGACAGTGTGCTTTGTTATTCTGTGGTACTTGTCCCGTCGTCGGAAGAAGAGCTTTGAGAAGATGACCAATCAGAACACGTCAAGCGCGGGGATGAGGACGGAAGCGGAGGAGCATCATGGTAGCAACATTTTTTTTAACGATTTCATTTGTCTACGTGAATGCGTAGATGTTTCTATAGATTCTGTTTGGTGTCATCGTCATAATCATCATCAGCCATGACCCATTCACTGCTGGATGAAGGCCTCCTAGAGTCAATTCCGTCTTCCATGCTCCCACAATGCAAAAATCCGTCCTTCTACACAAGCTGATTTCATCATTCCATCTCCGTGGTGGTTACCTTTCGAGTGTGTTTCCCTTCTTAGCTGCAACTCTTTTACTATTCTGGGCCCTCGGCCATCATTCGTTCCAACGACGTGTCTTGCCCAAGCCTACTTAATTTATTTAACAGTCAAATTTATATCTCCAATATTTCACGTGTCATTGTGAGCCGTGTCCTCCTCCTTTTTTCTCTACATAATCACATTCAAATGTTTGGTAAGGTGACTTATTGATTGACGACGTTCATTGCTTCTTCACCTGCATTGCGTTCTATCAGCCAGCGAATGGCAGGGCAAGAAGGAACCCCTGCGGGACGTGCGGTTGAGATTCGACGACGCGGGATCGATCAAGGTGCTGGACTGCGCGGGGGCCCTGCTGCGAAGCCTGGAGGTGAAGGCCCTGTCCGGCGTGGAGCTGCTCTTGGCCAGCGACAGGGGCAACCTGCTGCTGGTGCACGTGCCCAAAGAGTACGACCTGGTGAGGCAGCAGCAGCAGCAGCAGCGCAGCCGCCGCACCGCGACGTCGCCTGGCGTGCCGCGCAGCCGCCGTTGAGCTGTGCACCGTCAAGAGGTCAAAGGGCAATACCGCTACGGTTACGAGTGCGCGATATTTGGTAAAACATGATGCTTTTGCTGCACGTTGTGGGCAACAGAGGGCAGTGCAGCAAAATAAATATGACTAGAGTACTGTACCTCTATGCCCCCACATCTATGATGCCTGGTTTCACATTCCCATGATTGGACCCTCCTTTCACCAACCTGAGCTGATCAGCGGAGTGAAGTATGGTCAATTCACCACCCCCCTTCCCCGCCTCTCCAACAATCTGCAGGCCTTCAGCAGTGGATTGGCCTGTACATGTGCACGATGCGTGAACGTCAAAGAGGTTTCTCTGCTGAGGAAGTGTTCATCTCGAATGGTGGCTCCGAGCTAGTGGTGGACATTTCACATTGCCATGGTAGAGGCCAGTCTCACTGTTGACTCCCTGTGAAGATTTTCTAATTTTTCACTTGATACTACGCTTACAAATAATTCATTGCCTTAATATTGCACAACTACTCAACTTGATTGTATTTGTAAAAGCGTCTTAATGAATTGTAGTATTGTTATTACTTTTTGGTTCTTTCGGTAAAGTCACGTAGACAAAATAAAATAAAAAAATAAAAATCAATTAAATCACGACGTTTCGGACGCAACACAAGCGTCCGTCATCAGGTGGGACAACCACAGCAAGAAACAATTGCTGAAGTGGGCAAAAGAGCTGCGAGTAACAGGGGATTATATAGATGAGGGAGGGGGGAGGCGGAGCCAAGGATAGAAAGGGTGGGGGGGGGGAAGCAAATATGGCATGCACGGCAAATATCCTGAAGACAGGGAGCAGTAAATGACCTGCGCTGCAAGCTCGACATGCAACGGCAAATTTCCGAATGATGGGAATGAGCAGGGCTGGGCGTAAGAGACTGGAGATGCGGACGTGAAAGCAAACTATAAAGCAGCTAAGATTTTACCTGGTTAATAACATCCTTCCAATGATTGCTCAATTTGTATCCATCTTCCCGGTTGAAGTTATGTCTATGTTTATATATCTGGATGGCTCCATGAACAAACCTTTGACAGTAGCCAGACGGTTTGCAAAGCACCTTGGTCTCGGAGAAAACAATATCACGAGAGCCCACAGCATTATAGCAATGGTCTTATTCAATTTTGTCTACGTGACTTTACCGAAAGAACCAAAGAGTATGGATCCTTGCAGTCACGAAAACTTCAAATCTAGAAAGAAAGTATTGTTGCCGTTTTAATTTATTATTATTATTATTAATTGAACTAATATTTTCCCCCAGGTGTTGTTCTTTGATTCTGTCATGCAGAGGAGAACTTTTGAAGAAAATATAGAAAGAAGCATGAGCAATTTGCATTCTTTTACAGTTCCCAAATCCGTGGGAAGTGAAAAGACATTGCTGAAAAATGCATTTACCAGGTCGCAACGACAAATCATATTGGAGAAGTACTTTAGAACATTCTTTGCCAAGGTAACGTCAATATTTATTTAATCGGTCTTTTTTTATATATAAAACGGATGATACTTCTGATTGGACACCCTACAGTACTGTGGTTGTAAATTTTATTGTCCTGTTAACGGGGGCAAAGCTCTCATACAAGACTCCGGCCGCAGAACATATTAATCCGACGGGATTTGGGCTCTTGACGATTCTTCTGCCCGACTCGACAGGTTTTGGAGATGGACTCGAATGAGCCAGAGCCGGACGAGTTGGACACGCAGGCGTGGGTCCAGCAGTCACTCGCGTGCGACCTCTCTCGCGACGAGCTGGGAGAATTGCTCGGCTTGAAGCCCGACTCCAGTTTTCTCCAGCGCATGTTCCACGTGGCGGACAAGGACAGCAGCGGCTACCTGTCCTTCAGTGAGCTGCGCGACATTCTCGTCATTCTCGTGAAAGGTGAGATGATTCGATTTTCTGTTTTGTTTCGTTATCTTGTTGTTATTTTTTTATTCAACATTTTTTTTTACATGTCCCTTTAAACACAGTAGGGCTGACAAAATCGCCCGATTCAGCTGGTTGTAAATCACCGGCGAAACGTCGTACTCAAATTGTAAATGTTCTGGATTTACTCTCCAACACACCCGGTGTGCTGAAGTAGTAACTAATTGGCACGATTTGTTTAAGTGTTGGTTGTGTCGGGTAGCCAGTACATATGTCCAGGTAGTATGAAGTCAAAATTTAGTATTAATGACATCTTAAGTTTCAGCATATCGAAATAATAACGACGAAATTATGTAAACCTGACTCCTAAATGTATATGTATTTTTTCGTGACCAGGCACTACCGAGAAGAAATCCCAGCTCATGTTTCACATGTTCGATATTAACAGTCATGGCGACATGAAAAACGAAACGTTTAGGGCAATGCTAAGGTTGGTATACCAGTTTTATATGTGACCCTCCCCCTGCGCCTCCCCCAATGTTTATCACTAATAAAATTAATTTTTAACCAAAAACAATATCTTATTAGATCGGCTTATTTTCATAGAACATTGTTGTACAGTTTGTTGGTAACTTGGCCACCATCATCCAATGCTTCTGCTGCATATCTGTACGTTATAGTAGAACACCTCTTATCTGCGGTCATGTGGTGGATGGAAATAACTGATCCTATTATCCACTGCGTTATCGCGAGATTGCTCAACTTACCCACGAAACAAATTTCACGAACGACAGGGAGAATATGGGCACGGATAATGGGAGATTTCGTGGACTTTTGAGGTCACGTGGATAATTGGTGTGGCGGATGATACGGTCACAGATAGGAGGAGTTGTACTGCAACGGCCTTGCATCGGCATGGCAAAAGCAAGTTTTCGAAGTTTGTTTGAAAGAAAATGGAGGGGAGAAAATGTATTAAGTTGCAAAAGAAAATCACGGAAAGGTTGCTTTGGCCAGCTGAGCTATTCCAGACCACGATGAAATGTGAATCCTGGAAATCCACTCTCTTCCGTGCTGCTGCTATTGCATGAATACTTCATATTAACTGTAAACAACGCTGTATATTCCGAGGTGGCTCAACGGTTGAGCAAGCGGCTCGAAATCAGCAGTTCGCAAGTTTAAATATTAGCTTAGGGGTTGATTCAGCCCATCAATCCCTCTGGGATCAATAAAATAATACATCACTCTGTGAGGACGTCAACAGTGTTTGTTCTATGGATAGACTTGCCCCTGCCATATGAATATGGAATATCTTCCACTGCCTCACGGAATACACATTGTGACCACCAATCAACTGTGTGTTTAACAATTTGCCACCACCAATCAACTGTGTGTTTAACAATCTGCCACCACCAATCAACTGTGTGTTTAACAATCTGCCACCACCAATCAACTGTGTGTTTAACAATCTGCCACAAAGTCTCGGCCATCATCGACATATCAACCAATAGATAGTTAATGAATACATCTTATTTGAGCAGGGAATCACTTTGGCTATTAATGATGATATTTTGTTTACACTAGTGTCTTAGCGTGTTCGAAGGGTTCACAAATTTGTTAATTGTAACCGTGTGTGGGCATGTGTGAAATGCAATTTTGTACAGCAACGCCGCACAACATGCATTTGCACTCCTGTGAACTCATGTTTGTAATACTTTCCCCTTGGCCGTTGTGCAGCTCATTTCTGGAGATGTCCAACTACAGGCTGCCAAAGGAAGAGGAGGAGAGTATCTTGAATTCGTTGCTTATGGAGCATGGGCTCAGCAATAAGACAAGGTTCGTCTGGCAGGACCTGCACGCAATCTTGAATGAGCACTTCCAAGATGCGAACAATCTGCAGATTCATCTCAAAGGTGTGCAATATATCCATTGGTCAAAATTGTTACTGTTTTTATTTTCAGCCTGCAACATCCCATTGCTGGGCAACGGCCCTCCTCCATATACTTCCATTCCTCCTTTTCCGTAGTTGTTTTGGTCCAATAGTGGCCTAATATTAATGTTATTGTCTCAACCATGTCTTTTGCCGTCATCCTCTGCGTCAGTTGCCTTCTCGTGGTCTCCACTCCTTGGTTAACTTTGTCCATCTCTCATCTGTATCATGACATGGTCTGCCCATTTTATACTTAAATGTCTTTCTTAAATTAAATTCGCTTACACTTATTTACACATTAAAGCCTGTTAAATTTAATGGCTCTTTTTTCAGGAGGTTCTAGCCAAGTTTTTGCAGGAGTGGGAGCTGATCGCTATCTATATTCCAACCGAGTGATTTGCGGATCATTTTTCAAACTCAGCAAATTTGGACCGTGACGCCGAGATCTTTAACGGCCACCATGAAACGGACAACATGTATTTGTGACGTGTTTTTAATGGGTTTTATGGTTAATACAGCAGCAGTATTAATCAGTGACAAGAACCTCTACAACAAGGGGCGAACGCATTCCACTAGGCCATGTTATAGCCCCCCCCCCCCTTTTTAACAACAGCATCGGTGACTCTTTTTAGATTTCCCTTCTTTCTTAATTCCTTCGCCTTGTTCACAATTAGCCATGGTTTCAAACTGTTGAAGATTATTTTGCAACGCTGATCATTTAAGATAAATTACGGTAACTTGTATTCATTATTCATTGTATTCATTCTGGATCATGTGTGCATTGTTTATTCATTGCAGGCGTAAATATTCCCAAACCTAAATCAAGACTCGAGAAAACTGTCTCCTTTATGCAACAGAGAAATTACAACAGGTAAACTGGAGAAAACTTGTGTTTTTTTATGTCTCTGATGGGCTTTTCTACCTTATTTAGTCACAGGTATATACGATACATGTTTTTTTGTACATCAATATGCGGATGGCCAAATCACTCACAATGGGCTCAGTCCCATCAGACCTCAGAAGCTAAGCTGGCTTGAGCCTGGATAGTGCTTAGAAGGGTGACCACCATAACACAGATAAACAGGTGTAGTCGGTGTTGTGGGCAGTAGAAGGCAGTGCAGAAAAATCCATTGTTGTTCTCTACTCCCCCCAACCAACCCGCACTGACCAGCGTGATGATGTGTAGTCAAATCACTCTCATGGGCCGCATCGCACGGGGAGGCCTTCATGCGCATTGATTGACAAACGGTCAATCAATGCGCATGTACGTCCGTGTGCTAAGCGACGAGAAAGCCGTCCCGGTAATCTTGGTATAAATTGATGGGTGAGCATTTTTTTAATCTCAGGAATGTGACGTTCAAAACCATTGCAGCTTGTTTTCAAATGCTAATTGAAATGTGCTCATTCGTATGTCACTTCACTAATGGTATAGTTAAGCGATGCTTAAAGGGTCGCTGTAGATGTGGATTCGAGATGAGGTTGACGGCACAGGTAGTGGAGGCTTTGGAGTGGCTTGAGACACCATCGTCAGTGGTTCAACTCTGCTCGTCAACATTCACGAGCGCGTGCCTGCTCATGGCTAGCGGGTGGTGGTGGTGGTGCGTGAGACAGTGACATGAGTGACATTACGCGTCAGGTCACCCAAGCCGTTACACTCGCGTGCCCAATACTCTATTCCTTATTGCTTTAAATTACTTACAATGTTTTTTTATTTCAGTGGCAACAAGAGAACGATTGTGCGCTCGACTGTTTTAGCCGTTTTTATTTTTTAATCCGTAAAAAAAAAACACGGAAATTTTGTTTTCACATTTTACGAGGCCAAAACTTTCCCTTAATTAACCAATCCTTTAACTTGTCAGGAAAACAAGCCTCCCTCAATTGGCTGTTGTAATATGCAAACTATTCCGTACACTAGACGATCACATCCACAGCACCAACCCACATGATCTATAGCCATCCGAAGAACAGTTTGAAATTGTGTCAACTACCTCAGCTTTTAAGTTGTAAAAGCCTGTAAAATGTTAGCCAAAACACATCACTGCTAGGTCCTAGTGCTATGCTATGCGTGAAAGTTGCACTGCGAGACTACGTTTTGCAAACAACCGTGTCACTGTTTGGGAAGAAGCGAGTTTTTGCAAAATAATGAAGTACATCGTATATAAATAGCCAGACCAAAGTGTCTCAGGAGAAAACAACTAAAAGGGTTAAAAATAGAAAATCTATGTTTTCGCTAAAAGATTAAGCAGATAACTTCCTCATTGCAAAACAGCTTCCTACTTTGCTGTTGATGGCATTCCTCCAGACACAATAGTAAAAAAAATAACTAAAGTGACATCACAGCCGTTCTCTTTGATGTTGTAATGTGTCTACAAAATTCAGTGAAATGTTTCGGTTGGTACTCTATAATGACACGCTTCTTCACGTTGCATTATTTCCCTTGTGAAATGATGCGTAGTAATAATAATACATTACTGCTCTATGCAAATCCACTGCTGGGTAGATGGTCTCTCCACACCTTTCGGCCCAAGGGGAGGTTATTTGACCATATTTCGTCACGCTGGTCATTGTGGGTTCGTGAAGTAGGAGGGGGGCCCCCCCCAGCAGAGCACAGGAATCGAGGACAGCTTCAGGATATGGACTCGCCACTGACGGTGACCATGCCCCACAATCGAACTACAGTAAGCTTATGCTGCAGTTCATAGCTCAGCGAACGAGCCGCTGCTCTACCCAGAATTGTACACTCACCACGAACGCATGCGTTTATTGTGACGATGCAAAAAAAAGTGTGCGCTGAATGTGCTCAGATCTTTGGCAACCTTAATCAGTATGTCACGAAATACATAACGTGCATATTCACAGCTCGAAAGCCACTTCAACTATAAACCCAAATGTACGCACAGTATTAGTCTAACTACACCGCACTTGACGTGATGTAACATTACTTTATTTTAAAGCACAATCACAGACTATTTACATGTAGTATTTTATAATATATTGTATTATTGAAAAAATGCTTAGCCATTAAAATGGTCTTGCAGTGGTTAGCGCACCGTGCTGTGAACCCAGCAAACTGAGATCGATTCCCAGCCACAGATAACATCTGAACCGGTCCGGGACTTCCATCTTCACCAACTTGCATTGACCAGCCTGAGGAAGTTTGATCAAAGCACCCCCATTGGCTATAACACTGCCGATGGGATTGTTCGTCTAGAAGTGGATTGAGAAAGGGCTCTAACATGTCATTATTAACCATTCAAATGTTAAATATATACAGGTCATTTTATTTATAGACGTAAATAAAATTGTGATCACCCACAGGAAGTCACATTTTCATATTTTGAAAATTTAAATTCTACATTCATGATCTGCTGCCTTTGCAAAGGAGCGTGTTACATTGCGCATGCCTTAGAGGACACGGATGCCATCGTGGTGTAGCGATTATCACGCTGGACTTCCACTGCAGAGGTCACCACTCCATTCTCCAGATGAAACAACGGAAACGTTTATTCAATCCACCTGCAAATGTCCACCCAGCAGTATAAATGGGTGAACTCCAGTTAGTCGATCGGCAGGCTGCTTGTGGTAGGGGAAAAGCGTGGGTTACTCCCACCTCTTCCTGGATGTCTGGCAGCAAGAGCAGGACCAGAATACTCTCTCGTAAGAGGGCCTCCTATTGAGGACGCTCTAGAGCAGTGCTCTTCGTTGCAAGGCCCGCGGGCCGCTGGCAGCCCCTGGTGGCCCTTAGTGTGGCCCCTGACGTGTGGCCCTCGCATCATGCTGTCAAACGCAACAGTTTCAAACGTGTGGCTGCCTTCACACACTAATATCTTATTGGCGAAAGTGCTCCCCCCCCCCACCCACCCACCTCTGAAAATTCACGATGTAACACAATTTTTGTTCCTGGGTATTAAGTGTTATTTTCGAATTGCTTATGCGTCAAAAGTATAGAGAATGGCTATTATTCCCCACAAAGTTTGCTTTTGTGACCGGGACTTTACGTGAAGGAATGACACAAATGCACACCACGTTTCTCATTGAAAATATGTAAATTTCAAAATATCACTGTCCTGGTCACAAGAGCAAAGTTTGTGGGGTATAATAGCTATTTTCTGTACTTTTGAGGCATAAGCAATTAGGAAATAACACTTACTACCCAGGAATAAAAACAAAATTTCGTTGTTACAAAGTGTTAAATTAGTAAAGCACGCTGCTCTAGAGGTGGCCCTTCCATCAGCTGTGGCAAGAGCGTGAGCAGTAAGCAACCGCAGAGAGCTGCAACGTGACCTTTCGACCTTCTTATTACAGGCCAACCTCTCCACGAGTCTTCACAGAGGCTCGGCACGAGCCATACAACCGGAGCAAGCTGAGCCAGAGGACGCAGGCCTTCAAGCGCTACGTGGAAAACTACCGCCGACACATCTTCTGCGTCGTCATCTTCTACGCCATCGTTCTCTGCATTACCGCGGAACGCGGCTACTGTACGTACTGCGTCTTTCGTACGTGCGTTGAACTTTTGCACAATGCGTAGACAAGCGTGCTAATCGAATGACTTTTCAGGGATGATATGTTAACTACATCGCCTGGTGCACAGGAGGCCGTGGGTTCGACCCAGAGCCCTAACGCCTGTATATTTTGAGTCTGCATGCGCTCCCCGTGTGGTCGTGTTTATTTTTCCACACGATAGGCCACTCCGTTGAGCATTTGTGGCCAGTGGGCCTTAACCGGTCAAATAAAATATAGTTTATACTCTTTGGTTCTTTCGGTAAAGTCACGTGGGTATAAAATAAAATCAATCACGGACGTTTCGGGTGCAACACAAGCGCCCGAAACGTCGTGATTTATTTTATTTTATACCTACGTGACTTTACCGAAAGAACCAAAGAGTATTGATTCCTGCAGTCACGAAAGCTTCAAATCAAGATTAAAATATAGTTTAGTTTAGATGCAACCATGGTGTAATGGTTTACACAATCTACATGCAATGCAGCGCTTGCTGGTTCAATCTCCGAGCCTGCAAGTTGAAAGAATGGGCATGTTTATTAACCCTCCCACCCCTCCACCCTTACCTCTGTCAACCAAGGAGTGTGGCTACTCCGACCTACCAGTGTGCAACAGTCGGCCAACATTCCCGACGGAGGGACTCTATAGAGCTTTCTCTAGCAGAAGCCCTGCTATAGGCAGGAATGCGCCTTTTACCTTACATATATTTTTTTTGTTTACACCTTTTAAACCAAAGAAGGTTTCGGGTTTGTAAATAAAGTATTCGAATGAAGGCCTCTTCCAACTTCACAATATACTTTGTCTTTCAGATTATGCCGTTGCCTCTGAGCACTACGGGATCCGGCAGGTGACGGAGGTGGGGATTATCGTGTCCCGCGGCACGGCGGCTGGGGTTGCGTTCTGCTACTGTTTCATCCTCCTCACCATGTGCCGGAACATCATCACGGCGCTGCGCGTGACGCCACTAAACCACTACATCCCCTTCGACTCGGCCGTGGGATTCCACAAAATCATCGCCATGACTGGTCTCGTTCTCTCGCGTGAGTGGCAATAGGTGCCATTTTTTATTTAGAGATTGTAAAAATCACGTTGAAATGTAAAATACATGTGCATTATTTTCCACTATTGATTGGAGGAAGAGGACAAGGAAGGCAGACCCGATATGAGTAGGGCAAATTTTTAGGGTAGACGAAAGAAAAATAATTTGCATACAAATGAAGTACATATAGAATAAACATCATACTGTACATTGTTCTAGTTTACGCCATTCATAAATTGGGCGTTATTTCCACGAGGGTGCATGCAGTTCAAAAGCCAGGCACTCTAGATTACCATCAAGCAGCCTTGTAATGTCAAATTACCTGTTCATAGCAAGAATCCTGGTCGTACAAATAAATCAAGAAATTCGAATTTGAAAATTATTGCCTTCTAAATGCTTATAGTCAGCCATATTCATACAGTGATATATATCTCTAACAGTTGTCTGCCATTTTCACCTTTGTTAGGGCTCATCCTTAAAGTGTCACACGAGTATTCCATACTGCCTTGTAAAAGGCTATTTCGGCGATAGAAATTTGCAATTTTCTGCACGCCTGAAGCCTTTTTACATACGGTCTAAATTCGATTTTTTTTCATGGCCTTCCTTTCAAAACTTGCTTTGTGATGTTACACTTTAAATGCTACATAAGCTCCATTGTGTTGTAAAGTGGACCGATATAAACACGTATTCGCCATACAAAGCAAGCATCCTATAAATAAAGATTTAATATTTTTTGTTCAAAACTGCAAGATGTACTCTTTGGTTCTTTCGGTAAAGTCACGTAGGTAGAAAAATAATAAATCACGACGTTTCGATCGCAACACAAGCAATCGCCATCAGGTGGGACAACCACAGCAATAACAAACTGCTGAAGTAGACAAAAGAACCAAAGAGTATGGATTCCTGCAGTCACGAAAGCTTCAAATCAAGACTGTAAGATATGTTTTCACAGTTCATGTGTTGGTGGTTTCGTGTGTCTCTTCCTCAGTCCTCCACAGCATTGGCCACGTGGTCAATGTTTACCATTTCTCAATCAGCCCACTCAGCGTTCTGGCGTGTCTCTTTCCAAACGAGTATCGCAATAATGGGTGAGACTTGAGCTCTGGATTGTTTTGGACTCAAAACCTCTGACCACTTCTTCATGTCACTTGAATTTTTTGCCGTGTAGTTGTAATGGCTGTTGGCTGATATATAACTTTTGGTGATTTTGCCCCAGGTCAGAAATACCGTCCAAGTTCTACGTTTGGTTTTTTCAAACCATTCCAGGTAAATACAAATATTTTTTTTCTATTAAAAGCAAGTGCTTCTATTGGCTGCCATATTACATGTTGCAATACACTTATAGTAAAGTTTAATAGATCGCAATAATTTGAGTGCTTCAGTGGTGAGCAATAGCATACGCTGTATGTATGTAAGTGGCCTCCTCAAAATCATCCACGTGAACATACTGCTAAATGCAACTCCCGTTTTTCAATTCTGTGTTCTTCTGGCCTCATGTCACTCTTGCGCGAGGAACGTTGCTCAGCTGTGCCGTTGTTGCTGCCCCTCCAGGCTTCACGGGTGTGCTCATCCTTGCGGTGCTCGCTGCGATCTACATCTTTTCCAGTCAGTTTTCCCGCAGCAAGAGCTTCAACGCTTTCTGGTGGTGCCACCAGCTCTACGTGCTGCTCTACATTTTGGTAGGCAACTGCATCGCTTGAGAAAACAAAAAAAAGTTTAATTAATCTGGGGGTGAATGAAAATTAGATGTTAACTACCTCGCCGAGCATACAGGAGGTTAGTGGGTTCGATCCCGACCCTGACGCCTGCTGTATATTTGCAGTGTGCATGTCTCTCTCTCCCCGTGGTTGCGTGGATTTTTCTCCGGGTCCTCCGGTTTTCCCCTCCACATCTAGAAACGTGCGTTTTGAGTATTTGGCTGATATAAATTTCCACACAATAAGCCACTTCGTTGAGCTATCATTTGTGGCCAGGTCGCTTCTGAAATAAATAGCTATATAGCTCAGTGGGCCTTACCTGGTAAAATAAAAAAAGTTTAATAGTTTTAAGTTGAATTTACCACGACATCACCAACTCCTCCCCAGTTTATAGCTAAGCATTGTTAAACCATAAACTATACTTGTTGCTACAATTCCCTCAATCCAATGCTTTCCATCTTATATGAATTAAAGATGAGATCCCCAGCAGACATCGATAAACTGTGCACTCCTTTGTGTTTACGAAACAGACCATTCTGCATGGCAGTGGTGGTCTTGTCCAGGCACCCTTCTTCTATAAATACCTTCTACCACCTGCACTCATCTTCTTGGGCGACCGACTCATCAGCCTCAGCAGACGCAAAGTGGAGATCACCGTGGTCAAGGTGGAACTTCTCCCATCTGGTTTGTGTTGCCCTTTTGTCACGTGGAACACGTGTATACACGCACACACGCGCGCACACTGAGTTCTCAATCTTAATAAGAACTGGCTCTCTCTATACCGCAGAGGGTGTTAATTGCGTAGCGTGGTTCAACAATCATCGGGTGCGTGTAGCGACGAACGAGTTAAACGGGGAGTAAATTGGTGAACGCGGACAGACGTGGCGGGTAGTCGTGAGGACTTGCGTTTGGGAAACTTTCCACTGAAGACTGAAATTGTGATAAAACATTAAAACAATATACAAATGAGAAAAAATGACCAAGTGAATATATGCAGTACAACGTCATCTATCCAGTGCAGTGTTTGTGCACGGTGTAACTGTCATCGTTCACGCAGTTGACCTTTTCACATATTCACCTGTCTATATATACGGTATACAACTCAGTCCCTAGTGAGTCATAAATCTGACGTCTTCTTTTCGTTGGCTTTGAAGATTAGTCAGGCCTGGGTTATTTTGGGACAATTGAATTGCCATGTCATCAAATAAATGCTATAGGTGTGTTACAGATTCCCATGGTGCAGTAGGGTTAGCACATGAACTCAGCGATTAGAGATTCCTGGCTGCATCTAGCATCAGGGTCACGTTCTATCTAAACCGGTCTGGGACCCCTCCCTATCCACCTGCCCCCTTTGTCAACCTGCACCGATCAGCGTGGTGAGGTATGGTTAAACAAACCCCATAACTGACATGGAATGGGAAGGCCTTCATCAGGCAGTGGATTGATAAATGGTTCTACAGTGTTATGAGCATACATGAGCCCAATATTACTCACATTTCGGAGCAATTATGTGAGTGTTATAAGTTTCAGAACAAATTTTTGGGTTATGTCCAATGAAATAATGTCAAAACTCGTGCTACATATTGAAATCAAAGGCTTAACATAACCCTATCAGCTCCACTTGGGAGGATAATAATACTAGATTTGTACATGTCATTGACTACTATTATATCATATTCTTGGTTCTTTTGGTAAAAGTCACGTAGAAGGGAAACAATAAAATAATAAAAATATAAACAATTAAATTCTCACGACGTTTCGACTGCAACACAAGCAATCATCATCAGGTGTGAAAACCACAGCAAGAACATTTTGAAAAAAGTGGCGTTTTTTTAACGTTAGCACCACGGAGAGCGATTTGGCAGTTATTCAGATGGACTAGTCCATCTATGTTCGGAAAAGAGGAGGGGGGAGACGAAAATAATGGATGCAGTCTGAAAGCCACCGTAAGCATGAACAATAAATTAAGACCCGAAATGATTGATCAAATCCTTCCAATGATTGCTAAGCCAGAATCCATCTTCTCGGTTGATATTGTCTCTGTGTTTGTATATGTGGATAGCCTCATGAACGAATCTCTCATGGTAGCCAGATGGCTTGCAGAGAACCTCTGTCCTGGAGAAGTCAATGTCATGTGAGCCTCCTGAATAATAACAGTGATCTGCCACGGCCGAGGTGTTGGTCCTACCGTGTTTTAGGTCTGCTTTGTGTTCACGGATGCAGTCCGAGACATGTCGTTTGGTTTCTCCAATGTAACTACTACCACAGAGGCAACTTACCGAAAGAACCAAGAATATGAATCCCTGCAGTCACGAAAGCTTTAAATCAAAATACTATTATATCGTTATAATGCATTTCAAAAGCATAACAATCAGTCACAATCATTGGGACATGTTCCTTGTAGTTTCAACCATTTCGGTTTTTTTTCAATTACAGTCAAACTTCGTTAATCTGTGACTCGATTATCCGTGATTTAGTTTATCCGTGGCCGGGGGACTTGGTTTTCGAAATATCTGGGGGTCCAGGCCATGGTTAAATTGAGTTATTCGGTAAATTCTGCCATTTATCCGGGGTTTTCTGTGGTCACGCCACCCAGACAAACAAGTGATATCCCGGTCAGGACCCCGGTTACCACGGATAAATGTGCTTTTTACCGTAAATTCAAATTGTTTTAAAATTAAGCAAAACTAAATATACGTGTAACTCTGCAGCTAGAATTGCATTCTAATATTTCAACAAACACGGATATTTGTTTGGTGTAAATTCAGTAGACGTCTTAGTCACACTAGAGGCACACCATGTCACGTTAATGTATAAAACTAATTTATTTAATGCTACGGCTTTTTGTGTGTGCATTCATTGGTGACAAGCTGAGACCGTAAACTCACGACACTTGAAAACTTCGTTGAATAAATAGCAGCTGCCCATATTTGGACCTAGCATCTTCATGATGGCAGCTCAGTGCCTCTTAAGCCACGTGGTCATTCCATTGACACATTTTATCTTGTGAATATCCAATGAGGTTTAAAAAAATAATCAACGGTGGTTACGTAGTACGAGGAATTTACAACTATGCACTATATTGTATATTTCCTCAACTCTCTTATGCAAACACAAATGTGTTCCCACCCTGCCACATTGTGTAATTGTATTCAAAACAGCTGTTAGAGTATGGTGTTGAGAAATAACTTTGACTAAAATACACTTTTGTGGTCCCTGTAAAGTGTAAAATGTGAGCACAGTGTGACTCATCTAGTACAAAATTGCAGAGCAACTGTCAAAAAGTAACAGGTAAGTCCTGAGGTGGTGCCCATCTCCTGTTCACAGTTCTGAGCCAGTGGTGGATGAAATGTCACATTCCTATGAGGAAGTATTCAGCTTTACTTCCCCTCAAAGTGGTACTTATTTTTTATCAACCCCGGGAGATCATGGCCTGAGTCAACCCCAAGCCAGGATGCAGTTGGTGCCATGGCGGTGAGATGTCAACTCCCTCGCCTGGTGTACAGGAGGTCGTCGGTTCGATCCCGACCCTGACGCCTGTATATTTGGAGTTTGCGAGTTCTCCCCTTGGTCGTGTGGAATTTTCTCTAGGTCTTCCGGATTTTTCCTCTACATTTCGAACCAAAATGCGTTTCGAGTGTTTGGCTGCTGTACATTTCCATGTAGGTTAAGCCACTTCGTTGAGCTTTCATTTGTCGCCAGGTCACTTCTGAACAAGAGTTACTGTATATAACGCAGTGTGGCCTTACCTGGTAAAATAAATGTTAATGTTTTTTTTTTTATTGAGGTAAGTGCACAAGCCCGGTACAACGCGCCCCGTGGTTTCTGGGGAGGGGAACAGAAAAAAACGTTCCGTCGCTTGCACGTGTCTAGGTGCGGGGGAGGAATACACGGTGCTGAAAGTATATTTTTAGATTTAATATATTGTGAGCCACCCACTCTACCATTGAACATCAATAGCTAGCCAATGTTAATGGACTGGTGGTGTTGGTCGCCTGTCATCCAGAACTGTGGAGGCGAGGGTTGGGGGCCGTCCATAAATGACGTCACGCACCTCGGGGGGGGGGGGGGCAGACATTTGTGACGATGTGTGATGAGAAAGGGGGGTTTGAGAAATGTGACATCACATCAAAATGCGCAACTTTAAACACGTTCTACTTAATTAAATAGACTTTTTAATACATGTTTTCTTATATAAAATCAGAGTGCAGCGCCACATTAAATACGCACTACAATGACAATAGTTTAAAGCAGACATGGGCAAAGTACGGCCCCCAGGCCGTATACGGCCCGTTGGGCTTTTTAATCCGGCCCGCCGAACTTGTCCAAATAATATTATTATTAAGTTAAATTTTACCTTTCTCCTGTAATGCCCCCATTTCCCCATTAGATGGCGCACTTTGACCGGGAGTGTGTTGTATAGGGCTCGAAAGGGCACATGATCTCGCAATGCATTGTGGGCCGTCAGCGCCATTTTCAGGGTTTGTTTACATTGCTGAGTTAGATACGGTGCTCCGTTCGCTTTTTCACTTTATCCTGTGAGTCCTTCTGTAAAATGAGCATGTCAAGGAAACGAAAAGTGGACAATGAGTGCTGCGTGTTTAACACGGAGTGAACAACAAAATACTTTTTCACTGAAGTCCAATCAAAGGCTGTATGCCTGATATGCCGAGAAACTGTCGCAGTTTTCAAGGAGTACAATATCAGCCGTCACTTTGCTACGAAGCATGCTAACTATGCTAGCAAAGCAGTCAACGCAAGAACGGGCGGCTACGGCTCAGAGGTTGGCGGTTAATTTACAGACTCAGCAACATTTTTTTCACCAACAAACTGCGATTCAAGAATCAACTACCAAGGCAAGTTTTTTGGTGGCATTAGAAATAGCAAAGGCTAGCAAGCCATTCTCCTAAGGCGAGTTTGTAAAAGAATGCATGGTACAGACAGCAGACATCTTGTGTCCGGAGATCAAAAGCAAATTTGAAAAAGTCAGTTTATCACGCAGGACTGTGACTCGCCATGTGGAACTGATTGATGAAAATATAGCCAGACAATTAAACAAAAAGTCTGATTCCTTTGAGTTATATTCACTAGCACTGGATGAAAGTACGGACGTAAAAGACACTGCTCAGCTCCTCATTTTTATCCGAGGCATTGACGACATTTTTGCGATAACAGAGGAGTTTTTGACCATGGAGTCCCTGAAAGGAATAACGCGGGTAGAGGACTTGTATAACCAGGTGTCTGCTGTCATCAAAATAATGAAGCTACCTTGGAGTAAACTTGTCAATGTCACAACGGATGGATCGCCAAATTTAACTGGAAAAAATATTGGCCTGCTGAAAAGAATCCAGAATAAAGTGAATGAGGAAAACCCTGACCAGGATCTTATTTTCCTTCACTGCATCATCCATCAGGAATCCCTGTGTAAGTCTGAATTGCAGCTTAATCATGTCGTGAATCCAGCCGTAAAATTTGTTAACTTTATACGAGCAAGGGGACTTCAGCACCGTCAGTTTATTTCGTTCCTGGAGGAAAGTGATGCGGATCATCAGGACTTGCTGTACCACTCTCGTGTCCGCTGGTTAAGTTTGGGGAAAATGTTACAACAAGTGTGGGAGCTGAAAGAGGACATCATCGCATTTTTGGAGTTGATGGGGAAATCTGACGAATTCCCTGAGCTAAGCGACAAGAACTGGCTTCGTGACTTTGCGTTTGCTGTGGACATATTTTCACACATGAATGAGCTGAATGTGAAACTGCAGGGAAAAGATCAGTTTGTTCACGACATGTACAAGCATGTGAAAGCCTTCAAATTCAAGCTCACTTTGTTCTCCAGACAAATTGCGAACAAATCTTTCGCTCATTTCCCCACACTTGCCATGCAGGAAGAGGCACCGCGAAATGCAAAAAAAAATACAGCAAATCACTTGAGGACCTGCACGGAGAATTCTGCCGTAGGTTCTCTGATTTCGAAAACAGTGAACAGTCACTTCCGCTGGTGTCCTGTCCCCTGTCACAAGACTCTGAAACAGCACCACAGGAACTGCAGTTGGAACTGATAGATCTTCAGTCTGACTCCGTCCTAAAGGAGAAGTTCAACTCTGTTAAACTGAATGACTTTTATGCTTCACTTAACAGAGCCACATTTCCACACCTCCGGAGGACTGCACAGAAGATGCTGACTTTGTTTGGCTCGACTTATGTGTGTGAGCAGACATTCAGCGTCATGAACGCCAACAAAACCCGTCGCAGATCAAAGTTAACGGATCAGCACCTCAGATCTATCCTGAGAATTGCCACAACCAAAATAACTCCGGACTTGGATGCCCTGGCAAAAATGGGAGATCAGCAACACTGTTCCCACTGAAACTGAAAGTGATGATGTGTTGCTGCAGCGAGGTTGGAGCCAAATCTCCGACACACAGCCTGCGTGGCTGCTCCAACCTGTCAATGTAGACAATGAAGAAGGTCAAGTGAGGTCATTGGTTTGGGCGCAGGCCTCAGATGTTTTCATGATGTTTGATCAGTCACGTGACGACATGTTTTTTTTTTAAAGGACGCGACCTGGGCTTGCTGTCTTCACTCCAACGCTGTCCTCTGGACAGTCCAGTCCCTTCACCTGATGAAGGCCACTTGTGTTGTGGCCGAAACGTCGTGATTTTTTGTTATTTTATTTTTACCTACGTGACTTTACCGAATAGAACCAAAGAGTTTGTTAAATTGCCTTGCAAATAAATGCTTTGCTACCTATTCTTAGTTTTTTCGGTAAAGTCACGTTGAAGAGAAAGAACAAAATAATAAAATATATATATAAAACAATAAAAAAAATTCTCACGACGTTTCGACCATAACTCAAACGGTCATCTTCAGGTGTGTTGGTTCGCATAAATTAATTTGTAAACGGCGCATTTATTTATTTATAAAAAAAAAACGTTAGCGCCACGCGCAACGATTTGGCAGTTTACCCAGGACTAGTCCATCTATATTCTGAAAAGAGGAGGGGGGAGACGAAATTTTTTATAATGTATGCTGTCTGAAAGCCACTGTAAGCGTGAAAAATCAATTAAGACCTGAAATGGTTTATCAAATCTTTCCAATGATTGCTAAGATAGAATCCATCTTCTCGGTTGAAATTGTCTCTGTGCTTGTATATGTGGATAGCTTTGCTACCTGTTAAAGGCCAAATCCTTTCATGTAATGATTTTTACACGTTATTTATATTAGTTCACACAAACACTCCATCCATCTGTTCCTGGTCCGGCCCCTCTGTCAAATTTTAGAACCCATTGTGGCCCGCGAGTCAAAAAAATTGCCCACCCCTGGTTTAAAGCGATTTTAAGTATGGGGGGGGATGGGTGGCAGAGCTTTGTGACGTCATATTTGAGGGGAGTGGGGTCTGACTCTTTTGTGACGCCGTGTGACGAGGGGGGGGGAGTAAAAAAAATCGTCCAAAATCGCGTGACGTCATTTATGGACGGCCCCTTGGTGGATCGGACAAATGACAAAATGTTGCGAGACTCCCTTCCCGTGGGCATCGAAGTAAATACCCAGGCTTGCCAGCAGAAAGCAGTGCAGCAAAGTGTGGCCTGCTGTCGCGTGTGCATCCTGTACGGGGTAGAGTGTTGCCCCCCCTTGCATGCGTGGGGTTTTCTCCAGGTGCTCAGATTTCCCAGCAGATAATCATAATAATCACACTCTTACAATATACTCAACGTGGTACCATCTGAAGCTCCTTTGGATCTATAATTTCGTAAGATATTACCGCGCATTTGTGTGTGTTTTTTTTTAAACAGAATACTTTTAACAATTATCCCTATGGCGTTTACATTTGATATTCACAATTTGCAAACAAATGATAAAAGCAATGCAGGTGTTTTTAATGGTGAAAAAGATATCGGGTCTGCAAGAGGTCGCAATTTAAATGTAGATGGCTTCCGTGTAAAAGTTTGAATTTGTGAAAAATGGACGTGAACTATTTTCCTGCCTGTCTTTTGCATTTCGAGGGCGCTTTTCATAGTGTGCACCATCTCACTGCTTCACGATCTTGCTTATTTGTTGTGCAGGAGTCACCCACCTGCAGCTCAAGCGCCCCCAAGGGTTCAAGTACAAGTCTGGGCAGTGGGTGCGCGTGGCCTGCCTGGCCCTGGGCCAGAGCGAGTACCACCCGATCACCATCTCGTCCGCACCCCACGAGAACACCCTGAGCATCCATGTGCGCGCAGTGGGACCCTGGACCACGCGTCTCCGTGAAATATTCTCCACAAAGAGCTCCGATAATGAGTACCAATCCAAGGTAAAATATAAATTTAAGGGGAAAAATAAGGTTATTTTCGGTCGTAATCTTCATTATGAGGATGCCGTTGCATGATGACTAGTGCACTTGGCTTGCAATCCATTTGATCATGCGGCTTCTTCTTTCGTACGGCTGATGTAGATGCAGTGCAACAACTACCAATTTCACATTCAGGTGATCAAGCCAGATAACCGTGGCAGGAGCGGCGGAGTGTGTCGCTGCAATGCCTCCTTCGCATTTTTGGGCTCGGGCAATGCGTCGTGATATGTTGCATGTTCGTTGTGTTGTATGTACATAATGCACGTTGATTACCATATAAATAACCCAGATGTAAGTGGATACCCACAGTCATGTATATGCATTCCTCAATCTCCCCCTACCACTTCGCGCAAGAAGGGCACGCAAATGTCGTCATCACATCTACGCCTCTATTTAAAGAACGAAACAGGAGGACTTTTCCACAAATCTGCCTGTCGCCTGATGAAGCTGGTTAGAATTACTGGCGAAACGTCGTACTCAAAGATTGTAAATGTTGTGGCTTGGCTCTCCAACACACCGGTGTGGCTGCACGAGTTGGCCACGTTCTGTTTTCGTGACAAACCTTACTAATTGGCTGTGTCAGGTGGTGGTGGGTTTAACAACAAATTTATATATTTACGCGATCTAACCAAAAAAACGTATATTATGGCAATCGCCAGGTTCCTTATGATAGGGTAAAGTGTGGGTACTCCCTCTCCTTCCTAGATATACAAGGGTGCTTCAAAAAATGTGAACACTTCCGAGAATTTGCAACAACACCACAAGAAATGTGATGCTGCCTCTAGGCTCTGGAGACCGCCTGGAGTAGATTCCAGGCCACGTGTTGACAACGGTGGCAAACACGTGGGAGACTCTTTGACTTTTTGAAGCTATTAACATTACATTTGTTATCATGTTAGAGTGTATTATCCGTTCTTCTTCCACTAAAAACGATAGTCCCATGTAAGTGTTAACATGTTTTTGAAGCACCCTGTACTATGTGGAAAAGTGGACCAAAATACCTCCTTGGAGGTGCTCTCTCGAGCTCCATGGAATGGAAGGGCCTTCTGCCAGCAGAGGCACGAGCAGTTGGAGGACGGCACCTCTGCTTGTTACTCTACAACAGGGGTGGGGAACGTCCGGCCCGCGGGCCGTATGAGGCCCGCGAAATCATTTGGTGTGGCCCTGCAGGCGGGACTCGAAATTCAATAAATCCAGGAGCAAACCTGGAAAAGCAGTTGCGAGTAACAAAATCATCAATACCAGCTGCTAACATCATCACACGCCTCGCCAAAGAGAAGCAGTTCCAGCCATTGCATTAGGGGTGAGTTCATTACATGTTTGACCAAATATAACAGGCTCATTTTTAAGTTGATCATTTTGTATGGCCCGCGAATGATGTTATAAATATCCAAATGGTCCTTGACAGAAAAAAGGTTCCCCACCCCTGCTCTACAACAATAGTAAAATGTAAAACTATGCAAAGAACTGTAATGTACTTTAAGTGCCAGAGAGTGGCGTCAGCATGCACTGAGCCCCATTATAACAAATTGTAATTATGTACAAATAGTGCGCTGCCCATTGCCAAATCTTCTATGACAGTCTCCTCATGCCGTATCCATCATGGGGGGGGGGGGGGGCAGTTGTTTGACCATATTGCATCATATAAGTATAAGTGTGTTATTAACCCATCACCATCCGACACAGCCAATTCGTAAGGTTTGCCACGTGTTACTACTTCAGCACACCGGTGTTTACAATTTAGGTATGAAGTTTCGCTGGTAATTATATCTAGCGTCATCGGGTAAGTTTTCCAGAATATTGCTCGTGACAACCTACGTGTCAAACATATTTCACCATACTGGTCAGTGGAGGTTGGTGAAGGGAGGGTCCCATCATAGGAATGTGGAATTTACAACCAGTGGAGATGAACCCTACTGAATGTTAATTTCACCACTGACACATTACTTATATAGTATATCTGCACATGCTGCGTGTAGGTGTATATACAATATTTACCATTTATATTGTTACATATTGTTAACCTGTCATATCCAAAAAATATACGTTTAAAGCAAGTGCATAGCCAAACGCTTGCAAGGCAACCATATACACATACACATTACACAATGAGAATGCAAATAAAAGTAACACAATAATAATATTGAAAACAAAACATGAGTTGGGCTAATTGAAAGCATGGTTTTAAAATGTAAACGTTAATTGTTGTATAAATGTGGTAGACATTTATCTCTTACGATAAAAGGTAAAGTCCACTGACGTTGTGCTCAAATACTTTTCTCATTCGTCTACATGCAAAATACTTGTAAATGTCAACCCAGATGAATCAATTGTGTCATGTTACGTTCAGCTATGTACTGACAATGCGGTCTGTACGTGTGCAGATATACCTGGACGGTCCGTTTGGGGAGGGACACCAGCACTGGAATGATTTTGAGGTGTCCGTGCTGGTGGGAGGAGGCATTGGAGTCACTCCCTTTGCGTCCATCCTCAAAGACATTGTTCACAAGTCGTCGATCAATACCCGGCTCATTTCCTGCAAAAAGGTACAGTCTCGGTAGTTTTTGTTACGTACAAAGTCGCCCCGAAAGCTCGCTCCTGATCTCATAAGATATGAGATGCTAAGCAGAAGTTAATCTTGTTATTCGTACTTGGATGGGTACCCACCAGGGAGTTGCCAGGTGTTGTAGATGTGGGACTGCAAGGTGGCCAGGAGATGCCGATGTTGAGTTTTACCTTTTGTTTTTGTGGTAGGTTTTTAATCCGGGTACTCCAGTTTTCATCCCACGCAAAAGCCAATTCTTAATAATGAAAGTACCCAAACATCTCAATGCAGGACCCTCTTGAAAAGAAGCCTTTGATATTCTCAATATGGCTTTCCAGGTAAAATAGTTTGAAATTCTTATTAATTGTACAATTTATTAGGGGATACTGCCATGGTGTAATGGATAGCACGCTGGACTTGTCGTGCCGAGGCTGGTGGCTTGCTCTGCCACTGCGGTGTTTGAAACAATGGGTATGTTTCTTGAACCTTGCCATTTCTGTCCCCCCCACCCCACCCAGTTAGTCAAACAGCAGGCCACGTGTGTTGGGATTAAGTGTGGGTACTCCCAACATATTCCAAGATGGATAACCAGCGAGGAAGAGTAGACCAAAAACCCTCTCCAGTTATTATCTTGAGCTCCCCGTAGTGGAGGCTCTCCTGCGAACAGTTGCATGAAATAATAATTGCCCCTTTTACAATGTATCACCATGACCCCAATTTCAATTCAGAATTGTACTGAGAATAAGGTGTCTAGGTCACTGCTGACGCAATGGGATTTCGCGATATTTGTTTCTTCCTGTCGTGCCAGGTGTATTTCATTTGGGTGACACGGACACAGCGGCAGTTCGAGTGGCTGACGGACATCATCCGAGAGGTGGAAGAAAACGACAAGAACGACTTGGTTTCTGTCCACATCTACATCACGCAGTTCGCCGAGAAGTTTGACCTTCGTACAATGATGCTGGTAAAAGAGAAGCGCTAGAGTTCAAGTGTTATACTTCCCTTTGAGTTACATGAGGTCTCTTGAATGCATAAATGAGTCTCCATTTACAATTCCTAGACATGTATTGTGAACCCTTCTGTGTGTGTGTCTTAAAAAAAATATTTATATCATTATATCCGCATAACAAGACACACGAGAGAGTGAGACGAAGCCAAACTTGTTTGTGCCCGGTGTCATAAAAGTTAAACAAATCTGGTCACACACCCACATTCTTACCGGATTATGAGACTTTGGCTTTGAAAATGAGGTAGTCATGTGGAAAACATTGGTTTAATCCTATGCACATTACAAGCTTGTGTTTGACAAGTACTTCAGGGGTTATCTTCTCAACTGGCAAAATAAAGTCAACAGTGGGATATGTGACACTCTATAATGCGATTCAAGCGTCAGAGTAAACTACTTTGACCTGGATATTCGTATTTAAACAATGTTGAGTCATGAAACAAGTCAAGGGTGGCGCAGTAGTTGGTGCACCGCGGTGTGAACAGAGCGATGCAAGTTGGATTCCCGGCCATGGCCAACATCAATGGCAAGTGATATCTGGAACCGATCCTCGGCATCCCCATTCACTAACCCGCACTGACGACCAGCTTGGTGAAGTTTGGTCAAATATTCCCCGTGAGCAACAAGACATAGGGTGGCCTTCGTCTAGCAGTGTATTGACGACGTTTTTTGTTACTACTAATATACAAGGCATGGCATTTATTTAGGAACGTTTTACTTGTTTGGGTTTGCTGCTGAGCGGATTAAACTGGTGGGCCGCACTGTAAGTAGGACGCAAGCTCTGTCAACATCATAGGCTGCTGCAATGTTCCCCCTTTGCTTTCTTCTTTCCTGCAGTACATCTGCGAGCGTCACTTCCAGAAGATGTCCAACCGAAGTCTGTTCACGGGCCTTCGCTCCATCACGCACTTTGGCCGCCCGCAGTTTGTGCCCTTCCTCAACTCCTTGGAGAATCTGCACCCACAGGTTTGTTTTGACTCTCGTGTGTGTGTGTGCGTGCGCGCTTTTGTTATCGATGGAGTTTTGTTTCTTCTGATAACACTTACATTCACTCAGTCGTGGAATGATAGCTGAGAAGACAGAGGGAATAAGTTCGTCGCTGAGCCATACTGCAGAGTGCCTATAGGTTCACATCCGAGCAGCTGTGATTAAACCAAATCCTTAAGCTCTCCGATGTGTTTTCGGGGTTTTAACGAGTCTTGTTCGGCATGATGTCTGACGTTTCGTTGCACATGCTGTTTGCTGAAAAACAAGTGGTACAGTCCAAAGAGGCAACGGAGAGCCTACACAGCAGATTCATAAGTGTAACGAGCTGATGATTTGCTGTTGACTTTTGCTAAATGCATACAGCGGAATAGATTTTCGTTACATGATGTAATGCTCTGCTGATTGTTGATATGACCTCAGAGCACCACTGCGATATAACTAGTGATGAAAGTTAAAAAAAATACACTCTACCTTGGGAGATCACGGAATAAATGGCAAGTCTTTCATAGATAAATAAATGTATTATCATTGTCACGCAACATCTTGGGAAATATGAAAGCAATTTAGAGCTACAGAGGTTTACAAAACGGTGGTGATGGTCACATGTGGTACATACAGACGCATTTAAATGATTTAGGCTATCTGAGAATTATTTTAGGAAACATAACAAAAATACAGAAGTGTATATTTAACGTCAGTGCTCTTGAATGGAGAGAGCTAAAAGGTGATTCGCCCTCTGAGAGACGTAAACGTGACAAGTTCTGTCAATTATCCAAAGTATCACGTTCACCTTGTCTGCGTGCGGTAGTTTAACAGGCGCTTTGGAGTTGTCTTTATCAATAATGTATTGCTGTGATGTGTTTTGTTGTTGTTTTTAGGCCGAGACCGTGGGAGTTTTTAGCTGTGGGCCTCCAGGCCTCACGAAAATGGTGGACAAGTCGTGCCGCCAACTAAATCGCCGCGATCAAGCGAAATTTGTTCACCATTTCGAGAACTTTTGATCACAAAACGTTGACTCCAAATCATAAACCGTGGCAGTTTTTTGTTGTTGTTGAGATAACCAAAGCTAATACGACTGCCGTGTTTCATGGTCGACTCATGATCGTCTTATTATTGCATGTGTGGCGTAAGTTAACGAGTTCCCCATTTCTAACGCATTTGAACGTGTTCTTTTACTGCGAAATAACAAAAACATACCTATAGTTGTACAAAAAGGTAATGATTGCTTACTGACGAGTGTAATGAGTACACCGATATCAAACACCAAACACAGCTACCACTCAAATTCTTTGCTGGTGGTAATGCAATGGTAAATGTTATTTCAGAAAAACAGATTTAGTGAATCGTATTTTGCCATGAAAAGTTTTAAATTTGCATTGATTTCTGTATTATATTCTGTTTCAATTGTCACGTATTTGGGGGGGTATTGTAAAATATAACGTACTTTTTTCTTTTGCTTAGTTTATAAGTAACAGTAGGTGAGAAGACAGAATAAAATCGTCGCTGACTGCACTGAGCACTGAGCCAGACTGCAGTTCCGTGGTTCACATTCGGGCGGCTGTGATTTCACCAAATTCCATTCAATTGAATGGATTCTATATCGTTTTTTTTACATGCATTTAATAAACTGTTTTATACATATTTTCCAGAATTTAAGTCAATGTAACAATTGTGTCTGCATTTAAGTTCACAGTATTGTTTGCTCAAGTTCTACCCCATTTTTGTGAAAGTACAATGGAAAAAGGGACCACTTTTTTAAATTAGCTCAAGGCCATAGTTGCAATACATTTCTTAAACTATATACTTCAGTGGTGATAAAATATGCACCTGAAAAAAGTAGTTAAATATCCATGCATTTTTCGTTTAGAAATTGCGTTCAAATGGTTCCAGTCAATTTGAGATATCTCGCGACTGAAATGAGAAATTATTCCGTGCCTATCTCCAATGGTGGTTAAAAGCCAGCATTACGATGGGATAGTGTGGTGCCACAGCAGTGAAGCCGCTCCGTCGGAGCCGTGCCTGCTGCTGTGATGCCGCAGCAGCGAAGCCGTCCAGCCGACTCCGTGGCCGCGACGCCGCCACCTCCGAGCGACGGGGCCGACGCTGCTCTTCCCTCACCACCCCCCACATGAACACACACACACACAGAGCCCCGAGGGGAGGTCACCTGGCCGACAGGTTTTCACCCAGAAGCCCTCTCATGGGACTAATCTTCACGGTTTCCTGCGACCAGGGAATTGGGCGACCTCCCCCGAGGCTAACTCGCATCGCGGCGCCGTGACTTGGGTTGTAATCACGTGGTCACGACGGGGCTGCTGAGCCACCGCGGATAGAAAACACCCACAACACACACGGGCCAGCAGGCAGGTAGGGGGGGGGACGGAGTCACGAACGGCGGGAAAAACAGGGCCGGTCCTCTGATTGGTAGGACAGATGCGCTTGTTTAGAGGGTGAAAAGTGGACGTCTGAGAGATCACCGGTCCGGGGAGAGTGGTGGGAAATCTGAGCCACCTGATTGGACGGGAGGCCAGTGGATCAGCGCCAATTTATCTTTGATGTAGAGGACAATAAAAAGGGTAGAGAAGGTAGGGAGAGTTAGTTCGTATTCTACTCAAGCCAGGCTCGGGGCCGTCGACTTCCCAGCCACTCGAACGTCCGTGTGACGAGTAGAAGTGCAGCGAGGATCCGACCCAGCAGCTCCGTACGAGTCAAACTGTGAGCACCCGAGAGTGAGATATTGAGGCCATTGTGAGATTGTCTTAGGAGAGTGATTTGAAAGAGGCGATACAGATCGGGTCTTAAACGATCGGGAGATAGGTTAGACCTGCCCTGCTGACTCAAACTGACTCGGGTAATTTAGCCTCGGACTCGCTGAGAATAAACTGTTGGGGATCAATAAACCTTGTCGTGTGGTTTCTGCGAGGGTGGAACGGATGCATGTTGGTGTGCGTCGTTGTACCCCTGTGTTTGTGCGTTAGTGTGTATTTACCCACGTGTTTGCGCTCGCCCATACGTGTAGCTCGTGGTTAGCGTGTGCGTGTGGTGAGCGGCGGCGGACTCGTACAGGGGCACGTGAGATTACTCATACGGGCCTTTTTTTAGCGTGTGCGTGGGGTGAATGGGTGGCGTACCCGTGAGTTTGTTCAAACAGCCCTTTAAATAAATCTCCGAGATGACCCCCCAATCGGCTGCGCGTGTGCGAGTGACGTCCCTGCTCTCTGACCCCCGACCCCGAGTCCCGCGCGTGCGATTGGTGAGTGGCACGGGAGAGGAGCGACGTCGGATTTCGAGTGAGTGGGTGTGAGTGAGTGTGCGCAGAGATTGTGTTAATTGATCCCAGGTGGCTAAGCGCCAGCCACGAATCATGCCCCGAGGGGCCGCAGCGAAGGGGGTGAGAGTCGGTGAGCAGTAATCCTCCCCAGTGGATCCCACTGGGGAGGGTTACTGCTCCCCTCTCCCGTGTCCCCAGGACACGGAAGAGGGGATCAGTGGATCCCACGTGAGTGAGGAGCCGGGGGTCAGCCTACCCGACAATAACACCTAAAAATGTTTAAATATGCCTAAGTTAAAACACATACTTAGGAGTATTAATTATTGTATGTGTTTATTTTTATTTAAGTGATACAATTAGTTAATTGCTGTTATCATCGAATCAATGTTTACAAACTTTGTTCTCGAATAAATTATTACACTCAAGCAAAAAAAAAGATCGTAATGATTCCTAGGCACACACAACTTAATGTAAACCATCTTCATTGTTAAGATTTACATCAACAGGTGAAAGAGAATGATGGATAATAATGCGTTATGGTGTGTTGGGCCACTTCGTCGATGGGAGACCACCTCGATAAGGTGGCGTCCCACGTCGATGAGATGGGACACCACCTGGAAGAAGCATGCGAGCAAAGCACCCTGTGTGCCCCGTAGGCCTGAGGCCTGAATACGTGGGCAGGGGCGCCAACACAACACTCAGGTACTTTGGCGAGGGACACCGAGACAATGCCCGCCCCCCCCCCCCCCCCCCCCCCCCCCCCTTGCAGATCACATAACGTGTCCAAGAAGACGTCGACCGAGGAGATGGAGTGAAAGAATGAGCCCCTGTGCAGTTAATCTGGTGAATTATTACAATGCAGGATCGTGAGAGATGGCAACGTCTTGGGGAGGCCTTCATCCAGCAGTGGATTGATCGTGGCTGACGATAATGGTGATGATGTTCGGCCAATACCAGAGTACTTAAATAAAACAAAAATAGATGATTGGGCAATGCAATATTATATAATCTGTACGGATACACCAGCAGCCTACTTGCTGTACTGCCACACATTGGTATACTTTTACGCGAGTGTCTTTCACCGCGAATGCTTCGGTAATCTGTGTGATCCACCAACCCTACTCCAAGAGGACCACAGCAGACATATATGAAAAAAATAACCGACCGCTATGCAATGTTGCCGTGCTGGTTTAAAGATAATGTTACGTTTGAAATAGATTTGTATGTTGTCGCACACCTGTGGTCCGATATTAGGTCACAGTCCCTCAGCCATTCATGATAACGTACAATTTTACCTAATGTGATGCCTTTGTGTGATGTGAGCCCGCACTTAAAGTCAAGCAAAGCAGCGTAACTCTCGTAGGTGGGGTTTTCGACATTCTGCAGGCTGGGTGCGGCCCATTGAGCCACTCCCAGCCTGCAGGTAAAGAGGACGGTATCGGTGACAGCTCTTGCCTTGAGGTCACTGGGTGGACTGCTGTGGGTCTCCAGTACTTAATCTAAGTAGCCGATCAAGATGCAATGATGGGCCATAGCCGCTGGCACCACCACACCTCGCCAGATCCCACAGCGGCTGCACAGTCGACACGCAACCTCCAAGGATACGGTCCGTCGGTTGCAAAGTGGCCCCTGTGGTTGCAATTGTTTTTTTTTTTATTTTCATGTGTGCGTGAGATGGGCACAGTGCCCGCGTGCGGTCCCATTGTTTTCTGGTCAGATCGAAGCCAGGGGGCTTCCTTGTGTGGAGTTGGACGTCGTGTGTCTGTTGTAGGTGTAGTGTAATAGCGCCGGCTGGTGGACAGCAGCGGCAACTGTGGTGGACAGACAGCACACACGCCGGTGGGGGTGTGCACGGTGTGTTGGCAGAGAGGAGGAACTATGGCAGAGGTCACGGAAGATCCCATCTGGAGTCCCCTAGAACCTGCAAGCGGGTTCTAGAAGGGAGGCGCGGTCAGGGCGGTGCCAGGCCGCGCTGGGAGCATAAAAGGAACTCGAGAGCGGGGAGCTCGAGGCTGCCGGTTCTGGGAGTGGACTCGTCTCGTCGTCGCTGTCGTCTCGTCGCCGCTAACGTCTCCGCTAGACGTTGCGCTACGAAGGATAGCAGTTAGCTATCTCAGTCAGCGCCGTCAGCGTAAGACGGCCGGTGTTGTGTACAAGCTAGGCTAAACTACTGTGGAGGGTGTGTGGACGAGACCGTGGAAGATGTTCATGAAGGTGCCTCCTATAAACTGTCTCTGAATCGTTTACGCTACACAGGTGCTCCTGGGTGGACGATGGCAACTTCCTTGCAGTTGTACAAGTTACATGCATCGGCACACGCTAAGCGTCACCAACCAGGCCCCTGGCCATCGTTCAATACGGTGTGTAAAAAGCGAATTACATTAATGCTGCTTCAGTAAGCCTCTGGTACAATGTGAATATAAGAACTCCCCTATGGAGCACGTACAGGTGTAGTGTTATCCGAAGTAGTGTGCTTGCATTACCCATCTTTCCTCTCCAATATTGTAAAGTGAGCGTTGCTTATATTGGAATGGTGCTTGTATGTACTTTATAAGGTGCTCGTACATCCAGCTTCTAGCGAGTAAAAAAATATTCCAGAAATGTAGTTGCCTGGAGAATACCCGTCAATCCTTGCCTCACATGTCTCTCAGATGAGGCATGTGAGTGACTGTATGTATTTCACCCTCTTAGCGGCACATCAGCATGCCAAATTCAGCTGGAGATTGCTCGACACATTATGAAGTATTCCACGGGCAATGGACCAATGATAAACAATGAGGACTATGGAAAGAGTAAATATGATTTTAAAAAAGGACTTTGTTCAGTAAAAATTACATGAAAGTGTATTTTATTTAAAAAAAACTGAAATGGTACAATTGCAGGCATAAACACATATTTATACATTAATATAACTTTTCTCATGCTATACGTACTATGCACGACAGGTTCATAGCACAGATTTTTTTTTACTTCAGATGATACAGGAGTATCCAGACCACATTGAATGAAATTCGATATGTCTGCAGTACTTCCACAAAATGCATTGTGTATTCGTGTAAACTTAACAGCACCACACCTATTCAAAACATATTTCAGAGTTCCACCTTTCGCAATGACCACATCAAAATGAAGTGGAAATCACAAAGTCATCACTGTTGCTCAATGTATCATAAGCGTTAGGGAAATTCCCAGCCACATCGTTATGCTATCTAGTCTTATGCAGTCAAATAGCTATACAATATAAAACGAATACAAAATGTACTTCACAGATTTCCATAAATAAATCCATTAATCATAATTTACTAATTATTTCACAAGTGTAGATATTCAACAGTTTGACTTCTGGATATGTTAGAATTAAAATAATTCCACGAAACGCCGGACATCACTATAATTATACAATCAATACTATATCATAAAGCAATGTTTAAATATCGTGTACATATAACACAGTTATAAAAAAAAAACATCTCTGCAAAGTCAAACTTAAAAAGCAGGCTTCGAAGATATCAAACGTTTATCACTTGGTGAATACATTATCTAAAGATCTTAATCTCCTTGAATGCTATGTTCTGTATATTTTTGGAAGACCAATATCTTCATCACTTGGTGAATACTATTAGATAATCTTTTTGTCAACACAGGCCTCAAAGTTCAAGCGACCAGGAACAAACGACACACAGGGTTAAAACGCTTTTTGAATTGAGCATGGCTATTATAACAACTCGGGAGAGGAGTCAATCGGAGGGAAAACTCAAATAGAACTGGGTTAGGGAAGAGGCAGATAGATAATTATTGTGACCTGTAGTGCGGTGGTAGAAAATATCTCAATGCATATAATCGCGTATTATTTTGTGTAAGCAATCATATTTCTCACTTGGTGAACGAATACTCATACAGCATCATTTCTTATGAGTGGCCATTTATGGTAGGATAGTTGTGTGGTAGAGAGTTAGTGGCAGTGCCTTGAACATCACATTGAGAATGTATGTTATTTACTTGCTGGCTTCCAATTTCCTCCGTGATCTGAAACCATAAAAAAAGATGAGTTAGAACACATATATACGTGTGTGTGTATGTTACTTCTGACAATATAGTCTTAACTATGGAGGTTTGCACACACTGTATATGTATATCCTGCAATGTCTTACCATGACAGTCACACTCCTCTCGACGGATGGACCCTGTGTGAACGCTTCATTTCGATAGCCATTGTTTCCCAAAGGAACTTTTTCAGATTCATCTGTAGAAATACAATACAATAAAAAAAACAATTATTTGCAGGCATATGTTGTGGGCATCATAGTGAAATATGCAATCATTGTCAAGCTACAATGTGCGCCGCTGTAAGATAATATATCCATGATGCGTTAGCTCCGTCAGAACATTTTAAACAGCGAGTTAGTTTTATGTTAGCAAGTTCATAATGTTTGTTAATGACACGCAAATAAAAAAAGTGTCTGCCTGCTCAAGCAAGCGTGCAGCATTTGCTCATTTATGTTGGTGAATGTCGGTGGTGGAAATTCCACAGTCTTATGGCAGGACAAGTCCCACAATAGGACAATGAACGTTAATTTCCAAAATGTGGTACACATTACATTACCTCCATAGCTTTGATGGTTCGAATCCATCTCTGAATCAAAATTTAACTCATGAAACCTTTCCATTACGATTCAAGCGCTGTGCTACAGTTCAACAATATGTACGCACGGTGAACTTCTTTCGGACCATACATAGGGAAGGACAACCAAAGGCAATGCGAATGCATGGGCTGCCATTGTGTGTGTGTGTTTTGTGTGTGTGTGTTGTGTGTGTGTTGTGTGTGTGTTATGTGTGTTGTGGAGCGCATGCAAACATTACATGGATTTGCAGTTTCTTCTTCAATGGAGAAAAACACCTCCAGTGTGTGTGGAGCCAAAAAGTGAGCGCCAATGACCAAGCTTCCCAGCAGCAGGCAGAGCACAGCTGTCATCGCGATCCATCATGAGGGGGAGAGAGGGAGTAAGAAACCAGAGATATTAATTTCTAACAATCCACACGGAAAATTCAACTCCGTCTGCCAGATTACATTTCATGTTTGGCCACGTATTTGCTTTAGTTACAACGCTGACGTACACTGAACCTCTGACTGAAAAACAGATGTAAGTTTTGTTTTTGCTTAAAAAGATAAACAACCTGTTCTCCCGCTTTCCGAAATCTGATGAGATCGGACGCATTCCGGGTGACTTGGTCATCGAGTATTTTAATTATGCTTTTATTTCCGTAAGTCTTACCGCTCCGTTTCAGGTCCTTGTGACAAAAAAAAACGAATTACCGTCTTATTTGGGCTACCACCTGGTTACAGCGACCAGTGGTTAATTGAATTTTGACCACTGACACCTGCCTCATCAATTACATTACAGCTGGAATGAATGAACTGACCCGAGTGGGGAACTTTTGCTACCCCATTGTCTAGAACAAGGGTCGCCAACCTGCGTCTCCTTTAAGGACCACGGTCTCGTATTCACATTGCAAAAATTGAGGTTTTTATTTTATTTTCGTTGCCGACCCCTGGTCTGGAATATAAGCAACAAGGATTGGACGTTTACTTAGAATATCACGGGACTAGTAGCTAGTTATACCAGCAAATGTGTGTACACGTACTACCCATTTTCCAATCGACTGCTGGATGAAGGCCTCCCCTATTGACCATATTTCACCAAACTGGTCATGTGCATGCTGTGAAGGAGGGGAACGGCGACAACATAGCTGAGTACAGTACAACAATGGGTTTTGCTGCACTGCTCTACAATGACTACATATTTTCAGTAATGTCCTGAAACAAAGGAATTCCTGTGTAACACAAACCGGTACTTCACCACGCACAGCATTCGTATTATTTAAGAAGCAGGCATGTCATACATTTCTTAATGCAAAGCATAAAGCCTCCTGACTTTGTCTATAACATCGATACGCCCACTGTTTGAGCACAGTGTCTCTTGCATTGCTATGCTACATAAATCAAAGTGGCTTTGTATTGTGTCTGCGCTTTGCTTAATGCAAGACGGTAGAGGCAACGGTGCAGACATGGAATTTATTTTCCCACGCCACTGCTGACGTGGAGGCCACCACCAGACTTCACCACACGTTCCCCCACACCCACCCACCCAACTTTTGATTTTGACCTTTGGAGAGACTGCAAGTCCAGTGTCGCTAACCCATCACGCGCACAGCGCAGCCTCCGGTGCAAGACTGCACCGTTGAATCAATGATTCTTGGCACGGGAGTGCGTTCGAGTGTCGGGGTGGGTTTATCACGGCTTTGCCGATGCTCTTTACCGTTGCCCAGCGTGAGCCAGAAGCTGGAGCCCAGAGCTGTGGCCAGCGTCGCGCCTTCCAGCCCGAGGTGAGCCCTGCAGAGAGGCTGCAGGCGGGTGCACGCGAAGGCGGCGAGCGCCACCAGCTGGAAGCAGCCGGTGAGGAGCAACGCCGCCCCGCCGTAGGTCAGCACCATCAAGAAGAACAGGTTGGAGAGGAGCCAGAAGGCGAACGCGACCCTGTGGCGTCGATGGGGGGAACAGAGGTAAACGCACGCTTCGTTCGTCATCCCTTCAGGTCGGAGAGCCGGAAGGGTTTGTTCCCGCACCCGGCAAACGACTGCCAGTGTACCCAGAGCCGACGTCCCCCTAGGGTACTACGAATCGGGGCAACTGCCCCGCAATTTGGGGAGGGGGGGGTGGCGGGCTTCGACGTCACAGTGTCAAATGTCATACTTCTGGTTTAGTTTGAAGGCGTCAGGCGGCTCACAAAGTGTGATTTTTTTTCCCCCCAATGCAGAGTATACCTCTCCTCCCGCTGTGGCTGTGGCTACGAGTTCATGTGTCCACTTTAAGTCCACAAATGAGTCGGAAAATTTTCAGGCTCTGGCTACAACGATGGCACTCGAATCAATGTTCATTCGAACATCAACATACAAAAGTCAAAGTGATTTCCCTGCTCAAACAAGCAAATGAGGCGGTGGTCATCTCCCGTTTACAGCCCTGAACCAGTGGTGGAAATTCTAGAGTCCTATCGTGGAGGAAAGAGTCAACACCCAAATCAGGATTTGAACTCGTAACATTTTTATTGCGAACCACTCGTTGTCAAACTATATCTTTAAGACAAAGAAGTTGAAATACATTATTTTTCAATTTCTGTTGAAAAAATATTTTATTTTTTGTGTTAGCTGGTGTTTACCTAAACAGTTACACTGTAGCAACAGATTGTTGAGTTGTCACTGAATCCTGCTGTAAGCACTGAAACCCTCACCATATCCCTGACTGGGATAAAATATTTAAACATGTTTTCATGTTTAAATATTTTCATGTTTAAATATTTTAAATGTGGCGTAACTGTAAAATAGCATCAGAAATTGTATCTATACTGCATGAATCCGATGAGCTACAAAACTCTTTTTCACAGATGTCCAGTAGGGGCGGGTAAGAACGTTACAACAACAAACCATACAAAAACATGATAGTAGATACAAAAACATGGTCGTAGTGTTGTATGAAATTGATCAACCATCGTTGCAATATTCTAACCGTGTCTCAATGTACATTTTAACAAACAAACAAAAAATCGACGATGTGTGGTTCTGAATCACACAAATTATGTATCTCAATACATCTTTGTCATCTGATGTACGATCCATGTTCTCACGTCAATGACGTCGAAGTATATTTATAGAAAAGAGGAACTCAGTAGGGGTTAGAAGTGAGCGTAGATTAGAAGGTGCTTCTTCATGTCAAATTCTGAACGAAGAGGAAATGTTCTAAAAATAATTTCACCACCCAATATTTAATTAATATAATGGGTGTAACTGCCTCAGGGTACTTCTATGTTGAATGAAATATGCCGCGTTTTAAATCAAACAACACATCTGTACACATGTATAAATCTCATTGCAGTAGACTTTGGTTGATATAAATTGATAGTTTCAGTAACATATATTTGCGTACAACATTTTTTTTCTCAATAAGCCGCATACTGATTTTTTGCCTACAATACAGTACCATAAATTGTGTGTGTTTTGCAGTTATTTAGTAGACTGTATATCCTTTTAACTATACTTATGTGTCAGCAAAAATACAGCTTTTTGAGCGACTGTGCGATCGACAGATTCTAGAATAACATTATGACACACCCCTTACTGCATTGACTTGAAGGCTATTTATTATTTGACAAAGCTGCCAGTGGTTAAGAACGACAGGTCTCATCAACCTTAACCCTAGAATACAGTTCTAGAAATCCCTTACGCTGTTCAAGGGGATCGGGTCTGGAAGAACAATCCACAACAGTTTTGAGTGGTAAAGGCGCAAGTCCTGCAACTGCTTGCTCGAGCCACTGTTGACGGAAGGGCCTCCGTGAGAGGGAGCTGCCGACGGCCTCGCTCGAGCACATTTGTGTGTTCGTTGAACTTCTTTCGCACCGTACGTGACCAACCGTGCTAATCGGCGGTTGCGGGGAAAGGACAACAAACTAAACACAAAAATAAATTCTAAGGAAATTAGTTTTTAAATATATAAGCGTTGTACTTCATAAATATGTAGGCCAGCGCCCACCATAGCCATGTGAAATTTACACCACTTGCTGTAAACAGGATGTGAGGCAATCTTGATTTGAAGCTTTCGTGACTGCAGGAATCCATACTCTGGTTCTCTCGGTAGGGTCACGCAACGCACAAAATAAAATAAATCACGGACGTTTCGGGCGCAACACAGCCGTTGTGTTGCACCCGAAACGTCGTGCATCTCAACCAGTGCCTAGAAGAATGCTGTTAAATTGACACAAGGGACCAATGACGTAGCTCTTTTAAGAGCGCAAGGTGCCCGAGCGCTGTGTTGCGCCCGAAACGTCGTGGTTTATTTTATTTTGTACCTGCATGCCATTACCGAAGGAACCAAAGAGTAAGGATGCGAGGCACCACCTTAATGCTTCTTTGAGCAGGAAATCACTTTGAGCAGTGTGTGTGTGTGTACATATATAAACAATGTGTAAGGTCATGCAGGAGCTGTGCGTTTATACCAGAGGAAGGCGGACGCGTAGAGTCCGGCTTGCGCGTACAGGTAGACGTTGGTGCAGGTGCTCGCGCTGAGAAACATCTCGGCGAGCTGCAGGATGGGCTTGGGCAGCCCCCTCTCCAACGCGTCGTGGTAGTCGTCGTTGATGCTTCCCGAAGCCCACTCGAATTGCTCGTTGTAGGCAATCGTCTCGTTGAGCTGGAGTTCTGGCAGGCCTGTTCACATCGCAAGGGAAATGGCCAAACGCAATGCGTTGCATGAGGGTGAGGAGACACGTACAATATTGACTTAATTTTTTTACAAAAATACTAATACTACCAGGAATGACGCCCGCAATAGCGACAAGCCTCGTAAACGAGATGCTCCATCTCAAGGGATTTTGCATGTAAAATATTGTTTACTTAGAAAAGAAAAAAATCATGAAAATTGTTGATAATTATATGTGTGTAGACATTGGGGGGGGGGAGCGGAGGCGGGTGCATTAGCACATTGCACTTTCAATCTGGTGGCCTGAGTTTGAATCCCGACCCAAGCTTACAATGGAGGCAAGTGGTATCTCAACCAGTGCCTAGAAGAAAGCTGCTAAATTGACACAAGAGGCCAATGATGTCGTTTATTAAGAGCGCAAGGTGCCTGAGGGCTGTAGATTGTGCCCATCAGTATGACGGTTTAGGTACTTAGCCATAAGAATGTACACGGCTGGCTCAGGGCCGACTGTGGGCTCTCGGGTACCTTGCAGGGTGATGTTGAAGCCGTGGAGGGAAACGCCGAGTCCGATGCGCGCCTTGATGGTGCTGCCATCCGCCACGCGGTACTCCGTCTGTGTCTCCACGTGGCCGACCTCCCAGTGCGTCTGGAAGTTCACCACTGCGCGGGTGGCGGCGGGGGACAGCAGAGTGGGAGCGTTAGTGCCTTCAACGCGTGTTGGTACAATTCGGACGCAGAGTGCACGGGGGGGGAGGGGCTGTTTTAAAAGTTCGAAACCTGGCTATGATTAAGTGTGGATAGAAACACGGATAGTACACGTACTAACAATAGTTCCGAACGGAGTATTAGGGGCCGTCCGTAAATGACGTCACGCGATTTTGGCCGATTTTTTACCCCCCCCCCTCCCCCTCGTCACACTGCGTCACAAAAAGTCAGACCCTCGTCAAATATGACGTCACAAAGCTCTGCCCGCCCCCCCCAAACCATATTTCCATTTTGAAAATAAAACATGCTTCAAATCACTTTAAACTATTGTCATTGTAGTGCGTATTTAATGTAGTGCTGCACTCTGATGTTGTAGGAGAAAACACGTATTAAAAAGGAGGCGTTGGAAAGCTGAAATTTATCATAAAATTCACTTGAAAATATTCAACGTCTAACTAAAACTGCAAATGTTCAGAATATTATATTGAAGTTCTCTTATAATTATAAAATACTAAAAGTAATTATAACTATATAAAAAAACTTGAAATTTTGTAGTAGAATGAAGCAAAATGGAGAGTACTATTATAACAATCACATATTCATTCCACAGAATGAAAAGCCCTGGTAGAATAATTAAAATAAAAGTGTTTAATAACAATCATTAAAAAATGTACAAAAAATGTATGCTTCTCCATTCTCCCATGGAGAAGCAAAATGCTCCTTCATAGAATAAATAAAAGGTGACCTTAGTCAATTTAAATAATAAAATAGTTAATAATGAAAATTAATCAAAATTAGTGTTGTTATAACAATTATATTATTTATATTTATTTAAAGTTGCGCATTTTGATGTGACGTCACATTTCTCAAACCCCCCTCCCCCCCCTCGTCACACATCGTCACAAATGTCCTCCCCCCCTAGGTGTGTGACGTCATTTATGGACGGCCCCTTACGAACTGCTGCACTTATGTGAGTGTACTAGTTAACCCTGCATGCTTGGACAAAAAAAAACATTTCAAGCTTCTCACTTGCACCGTTGTTTTGCCGCAGGGATATATTTTGTTTCTTGAACTAAACTCGCATTTACTTTCTATCTCGTGGGCAGCAGAAGGCAGTACAGTATAAACCATTGTTGTGCCAAACTTCTATGCCGCTCCCACCTGCCCCACACCCACCATATGCTCGCTCCCTCCTTCACCAACCAGCATTGACCCGCGTGGTGAGGTATGGTCAAATAACCCCAGCCACGACCCGCACGGCATGGTGTGGAGGAGGCCCTCGTCCAGCAGTGGCATTGACAAAGGCCGCTGAGCCTGTGCAACGATGCCGCAGTTCACGATCACAATCGTGCGAGACAAAAACGAGAGCCCGGTAGGAAGATTGAGAGTGTCTGTGGCGCCCTGCTCACCGAGTGTGATGCATCCGATAAGGAGGCTAAGGAAGACTCTTGTGAACCAGAATACTCTCTGAAAAAAACATAAATACATCACCCACACAATGAACCAATTGGTTATTCCAGAGTACTGTACAATGCTGTAAACGTTAATGAATAAATACATTTCAGCACGCGTTCAATATATATTAAATATATATTTAACAATTACATAGGACCATTAGATTGCCAGTATATGCCGCTTGATATTTTAGGTCGCACATTAGTGTAAAAACAACGCAGTATATTATAACATGGACAAAGCTACCTGCAAGCAACACAAAGGAACTGCTGTTTATGCAGCATAAGAACATATCACACCCGCTGTGAATGTGTGTTTTCTCTCAATATTTTTTTTATGTGTCAGGCAGTGATGGAAGTGGACATTTATAATTGTTCTGAATGAGAGAGCCATCCCATACCCAAGTAGAGTATCTATACATTTTGTACGTACAGTTTTATGAAGCTATTTAAATTTCACAACTCCCAAAGTGGATATAACTGGCAGGTTTTTGACCCTGCCTGTGACCCCCATCTGAGTCGTGGAATCAGTGTCTCCCTGTAAGGGCAGTCGTGCTTTAATGACTATATTTGACGTTAATACAAAGCTTATACCATGCACAGTGATGCAAAATAATGCGGCATTGAAAGAGTCATGATTTATGCCGACAATATTAAACCCATTGTGATAGTTCGTACAAGTTAATTTACCCGTGATGCTACATTAATCCGCAATGTTACGTTCTTTCCACCACCTATTGGACATTTCAAAGTTACATTCATCATCATCATCATCAACTTCAGTCGGCCATGATCAAACAGTCACCATCCTGAACAATCCTGCAATGACCAATCCACACGACATGTGGACGTGTTCCATCCCTTGGCTGCCACCGTCATTGTTCTTGAGCATCACGGTGTGTCCCTCTTAATGTTTTTGTTAAATCAAAGTTACATCACCACTGCAACGGACTGGCTGATGGGACAATGGACTGCACACCATTAAGCATACAACGGGGACAAACCAGCAGGTAGTAATTTAATCAACCCAATTACACAGCTTATCTGATGAACCTGCGTGAACCAGTGTATGCTAATCAGACTTAGAGAGGTGATAATTGAGAATGGAATACAATACGTCTGAGAGAACTCGCACCGTAAAATTGGAGGGATAAAATCAGAATGACGTTGCCGGATCGTGAGGGGGTGGCGGCGGCTTGGGGAGGCCTTTGTCCAGCAGCGGATCAATCGTGGCTGATGATGAATTAGCGTTGCAACGTCAGTCGTCTTTCTCTATGAGTCCCATGCAGCCTGGCCACACAACTCTTCGTGCATGTGTCCTCACACCTCTGTGCAGTCAGTTTGCCCACCACTCCTTCCCCTACCCCCCACCCCCATGCGAGTGAGATGTATGCGTTGGGAGATGCACTTACCGCCCGACCTCTGATGCCTGCGAGGATGGAGAGAAACCCGACAGCCAGCACGCAGAACACTGCCACCACGATATACTGATGTATGTCCACATTGGCGGGTGTGCGCCGCGGGCCGTAGAACGGAGGGTATCCGTCAGAGTAAGTCATTCTCTGCGCTGCAGTTGGGGCACGGGATGAGTCGTGGCGGGAGACCTGCGAATCAAACATTTGCCCAGATATCAATTTAGCCCCATCGTATTAATTACTCTGGATCTAAATCTCTACTCGGCTCCCTTCAAGCGGCAATGCAATAACCACAGGGTCGTAGCTGGATCTACGTATGCAATGCCGCGCAATTAACGTCCAAGACGGGTACGATTCAACGTGGCAGTGGTGTACATGTCGACTGTCTTTGTGAGATTCGAAATGTTCAACGCTCCTGGTGTGTCCGTTGCGACGTGCCCCCAGAGAAGTAAACTCTAAAGTCCATAGGCAAAAGCCATATTGTTATGGAAAATCCGTCGAAGTCAAATATCAGGCCAGCAATATAATAATACAATTATGGCGATTATGATAAATTGAAAATTTCGAGCATAATTTAATCAGTACACAAACATTCCAAAAATCTATACTCTGCTTAAAATCGTATGAAATATCGATGGGTAAATATTAATAATTAAAGTAAGGCTTTGAAACGAAGATTTGTCTAGCTAATTATATTATTCTTGCTCATTGTTCTAACTCAAATTTGTCTTTTGTTAAAGTCACACTGTTGTGTTGCGATCGAATAATTTAAAACAACTTCGACGTTGCGTTATTTTTCGTTATTCTCTTTGAACCTATCTACGTGACTTTACCGAAAGACCCAAAGAATATGAATGCCTGTAGTCACGAAAGCTTTAAGTCAAAATTGACTTCCTTCCACGTTTTACACAACTACAATTCAACCACTTAAACGACTACAGCAACTACAGAAACTGCACTTCATATTGACACACACACATTTTCATTTATACTCACAGATATTTGTTTGAAATCACGCTATAGTATGACTTTAAATCCTCATAAATACTCAACGCAAAGCAAAAAAAAAATAACCTCAGAGGATCGCTAAACGAATGCCGACCGATGAAAGACGCGCAAAGTCTTCGAGATGGTCTCAGCAACTCAGACACCTAGTCTGTATAACCTCACAGCAAACCGTTTTACAACTGAACCGGTATTGCTGAATACCGATATATATAGGGCGAGGTGGGTCAACAAATCAGGCCACAGGGCACCCACAGAAATAATTATATATGAAATCCAAGCGGATTTCCCATGCGCAATATACATGCCGGAGATGCAAATCTCGCTGACCGGTCGTTGCACATGCAAAACGAACGTGTGCCCACGCCAATCGGTAGTTTAAAAAGGAGGAGCAAAAAAGAACACTCCTGGGTCCGAAACGAGCGCCTCCCTCCTCCTCCTCCTCCCACCGCCGTTCAGTCGCCTGTCCATCATCATCGCCACGGTCGCACCGCAAGCGTTCGGACGGCGTTCGTTGTTGGACGAAAGTTTCTTGAGCGCACGTTCGGCGCTGCTCAGCATCAACCGCTCATATTTTTTTTTACCATCTCTCTCTCTCTCTCTCGCTTCTCGATCTCGTTCAGGTAAAGTCGAACGGTTGTCGCATCTGGGATTGTGCTGTGTCGCTGTTGTGGGTTTAAACCAAACGAGAGCTTTGGAGCGGAAAACCTTGGCGCAGTAGTTCGTCGTAACTACTGCGTATAGGTTTGCCGCGGTTGTGCTGCGGAAAGTTATCGCTCTCCCGATGTTGTGCTCGGGTTGTTACCGTGCGTTGTCTGTCTTTACGGTGCCCGACGCTCTTTGCTCCACGTGCTGGGAGATGCTTCAGCACGTGGACCGAAACGTCGGACATCGTGGGTATAACCTGAAAACGCATCCGCTGGCTTTTTTTTTTGTATGCGAAGTTGTGATTTTGAGTACAATACCGCGACTAATAGTGCATGAAGCGCTATGAGTGTATACCTATATACTGCATCGTCTATTCTATTAAACGACACGCCGTGATCTTATATGTCAAAAAGTACACATTATGTTTGCCAGCATTATTAATTAATAATGAGGTTTAAACTTTATTTTAAACATCTGTATTCATTGCGAGAGCACAAGCCGCTGTTCGTGTGAATATTTGAACACTGCATAAAATATGTACTGTGTATAAGCAAAACGTTCTGCGCACGACAATGGAGCACTTTATTACTCAGCGTGAGATATAAAATATGCAGACAGAATTTAATGACGCAAAATCTCAGTAATTATGGTAAAGTATCGTATAAGGGGTTTACATTGGGCCGTCCATAAATTACGTCACTTACCTAGAGGGGGGGGGGGGTCAGATATTTGTGACGATGTGTGACGAGGGGGGGGGGGGTGAGAAATGTGACGTCACATCAAAATGCGCAACTTTAAATAGCTATAGACAACACGTTCTACTTAATTAAGTAGACTTTTTGATAAATGTTTTCTACTACAACATCAGAGTGCATCCTCACATTATTTACGCACTACAATGACAATAGTTTAAAGCGATTTGTAGCATTTTTTTTGGGGGGGTAGGGGGGGCAGAGCTTTGTGACGTCATATTTGAGGGGGGGGTCTGTCTTTTTTGTGACGCCGTGTGACGAAGGGGGGGGGGGTAAAAAATCGTCCAAAATCGCGTGACGTCATTTATGGACGGCCCCATAGATAATGTGCAGACATAATTGAATGACGCAAAATATCAGTAATAATGGTAAAGTATCGTATAACCTGAACAGGCTGTTGGGGGAAGTGCTGTTAGTGAGCACCTACGAAGGCCGGCACGGCACACGAGGGGGTTGATGGCCAGATCCACGCCCGGCCGCCTTTGTCTCCCCTGGAGCAGCTTAGATAATCGTCACTGGTGTTGGCCATGAGCAGGAATCGATCTCGCTGGATATCGATCTCGCTGGGTTCATAGCGCAACGCGCTACCGCTCCCCATATAATCTTAAACGTCTTACTATACGGCAAACCCACATTTACAATATTATGCAGAGATTCATTTCTCAGAGAATATTTTCCGAAGCCCGCCAATCCTCCGTACCCCGCCCACCCCTCAACCCCCCCCTCCCCCCCAATTTGGGATTCGTCACCTTGGTACCAAAAATGGCATGCAGATGACCCAATCATTCAATAGGTGGCGCTCTTCATAGCTGTTAAATATTTCGTCACCGAAGGGTTTTTGGCCGGCCAAAAAAGTACTGGGGTATTGTATTTACGTTGTGCTCCATTGATACCGTTGTGCAGCAAATTACGTTCGCACTAAATGTCATGATAGAAACGGGGGGAAATATTAGTTTTGCGTTAAATTGCCCGCTCTTTCCTAGTTACGGTTTAACCCAATATTGAATTATATGTACATATGTACAGCTCTTTCGTTAATTTATAAACACTTGTAGATTTATATACTCTTTGGTTCTTTCGGTAAAGTCACGTAGGTATAAAATAAAATAAATCACAACGTTTTGGGCGCAACGCAAGCGTCCGTCATCAGGTGGGAAAGCATGACCTGCTGCTGAGACGGACTGTTTGGCAAAAAACTGGCAAAAACTTGTAGATTTGTAGAATACAATCTGAGTAGCGTTACTTGTAGATTATTATTTATTATGATTATTTTAAAGGGGTGTCTCAATATCATTTGCAATTATTTTATTACACGACAATGTTGTAATAAATAAGCAGACAATGTCTCCTTTACATATCCGTATGAATAAAAACCCCCCAAAAATGTCATCCGCACGGCCCTCTGGGAGTGTAGAATTTCAGCAGAATTGTTTCAGGCCAAGCAAAACTCTTGACGGGTTTCAACATCCAGCCTGTTATCAGCAGTAATTGCATTCAAGACAATTTCCCTCCCCTATCTTTCATTGGCCCAGTCCACACTCTCAGATTGTTCACCCCTATGGCGCGTTAGCAGCCTTCACCACCCTCCACAGATCCGATAAGCGATGCAAATTGTAAAGGCGCATTCTCTACAGCTAGCTTCCCACTATTACAACTGCTTACGTTTACCCACCTCGGCAAAGGGCATACAGGCGGTGACAGGGGGTTGGCGTATTGTTGCTTGGCTTTTACTGTTCGCCATAAATGTAACGCTACTCAGATTGTAACGTCTGGCGTGAAAGCACGATGACTCTTGTGCGGTATATCAATGGGACCCTTGTCATCATCTCGGTACTGGCAAAAAAAATTCCCGTAGATATATTAACTTCTCGACCCGAGCTATTCGTGCGTTCATATTTGTATGGTCTTTGTGCTATCTTGATTTGAAGCTTTCGTGATCAAAGGAATCCATACTCTTTGGTTCTTTCGGTAAAGTCATGTAGGTATAAAATATTTTATTTTATACCTACGCCTTTTGGCGTTCTTTGGTCTAACACGTTTGAGACACGATCACAAAGGAGGCTATCTCTGGTGTAGCCCAATATATTTCTAGGACAATGCATACATTATTATCAAGGCATATTTGTTTTCATGTTTTGCCACGCGCACGTACGGCTAATACAGACTTTGATGCCTTGTGATAGGTGTCTATTTGGTGTTTGAACATCTTAATGTTGCCATAATCTCACGCAGTATATACACACACCTTGTCTCAAGTCTGTGACCCTTTTTATTATTTTCGTTCCTGAGCGGGCCACAAATAGGAAGGAAGTCTACATTCTTTACACTTGTAAAATCACATTACACTCTTACGAAAATTCCCTTAATCTTATTGACACTTGAAGGGATGTTGATATGATGGCGTTTATTAATTGTTAAACATATACACTGTAACTTATAGGTATATATTTTTTACCTATATTTTTAATTATCAAACTTTAGCCTGATAAACTCTCTAAAGCACATATGTTTGATAATATGTTGCATCCATATATACATTCCGAATTTAGTTGTAGGATTGATTTATTCACTTCCCTAAAGTAGATATTCCTTTACTTGCTTAAATATTCTACGTGGATAATCCCTTGGAAGGGTGTCCAGGGTGTAGTGTGTCACATGTACGTATACAAACATTTTATACAACATACACAGAATACTACTTGTTAACATTTCAAGAATACAAATAAAAGTAATATATATATAGGGTTTTTTACTTAAGTATTAACAGTCTTGGATTAAGTACTAAAATCAAGTATTTAGGTCGGCCAGTGTCAAAATATAAGAATAGGTTTTCCCCTTTTATCTGGCAAAAAAACAGGTGTTAAGATATTAAATCACCAAACTGAAACCTTTTACATTAAATCATGTCTGCATTAACCACAGATACTTGTGGTGAAAATAAAAAAAATATGCTCTAACAGGATATGCATTGTCTTTGAAACTGATTGGTCCACATCAGAGACAGCTTTCTTTAGAGCCGAGTCTCAAATGGTGTTAGATGGGAGGACGCCAAAAGGCGAATATCATTGCTTGTCATATTAATACAAGCAAGCTTACTTTATTTAAATTCTGCCCTGCACATTTAACAATGAAGTGCAAGAATAGCGCGAACATGTATATGTTGTGCACTTTTAAAATTAGTAAATGGGTCATCTACATGAAAGATTGTAAAATGTATCATGTATATTTTGTTCAATTTGTATTTTTTTGTTAATTTGTTATATCACCCCAGGAACGAAGAAGCAGAGAGGTCCCATCATCTATCCTGATCCAATTTTATGCGGCCAGACTTCACAATGCCTCTGCTATTGTTATTGCTTTGCTCCATGTGGCTGTCTGCAGGTGAGTCATTCACCACATTTACAGGCCACAATACAAAAAATAATAATTAAGCAAAATATTGACCTCGTGTGGTTTTTCGCAGATTGTCTTCCAAATTTCGAAGTGGAGCGCTACGATGGGTGGTACAACAATTTGGTGAACATTCAGTGGGGCTGTGCAGGTGAGCATTGTGTTTAAACGGCACATAGCACTTTGCTATGGAACTTTTAAAGAATAATAAGAAAACATATACTGCAGCTACATATTGACAAGTTAACTTTCCTCAAATAACCTATCTGGATAACATTATGAATATATAATACTTTTGAATAGGACTTGTATTATTTTTAAATCAACATATGTATGTTTGTTTAACTTCTTACCGCACCGTACGTAAGCCAAAAATATGTCTCGAGTTGTACAACTTGCCCAATCTGGTCACCCACCAAATGAGCACAAAAGGTACTCAAGTTTACAGCCCGAAGTCATTGCTGGAAACCTTGATACGTAACTTTTTATGACAGCCATTTTATTTATGGGACAATCAACTATAGTTCAATAACAGTGGACAATAAATGACTGGCTTCTGTAATAAAACGTTGGGAACTTACACCACTGGTTCAGTCATAGATGAGCACAACCGCATTGTTTAGTAATAGGTTTTTACCCTTTTAGCTGGCACAAAAACTGACACCTTTATACAAGGGATCATGTTTGCAATAACCACAACACAAGCAGTCAAAAAGCCGTCTCGGGTGTGGACCAATCAAACGTTACACAGGAGGTCGTGGGTTCAATCCCGACCCTGACGCCTGCTGCATGTTTGCAGATTGCAAGTTCTCCCCTTGGTTGTGTGGATTTGTCTCCAGGTTCTCCGGATTTTTCACTCCACATTTAGAAACATGCGTTTAACATTTGGCTGCTATAAATTTTCACTTGATGAGCCACTTCATCGAGCTATCATTTGTCGCCATATTATTTCTGAAAAATGAGCCATATAGCTCAGTGGGCCTTACCTGGTAAAATAAAAATCGTTTAGTTTAGTTTTATTTTAACTTATTTTAATTTACGTCAGTCTTATTTGAGCCGCACCCTCTGCCAACTCTCCTGAATGATGACTGATTGTATCCCTCAGTCTGCACTTTTTCTGAATTCTTTGTTGCCTACTTTCATTAGCCAGTCGGTTCATTAGGATCTTACACAGAAAATACTGATCGTACAATAATAACAATGGCTTATTTGATTTAACAATATATAACTTCGTTCATGCATATTGCTGCAAGAATTGGTAACTGCAGCGACTGATAATCATGCTGCAGAATTAGTAACGCGCACAGTTTTTCGCACAAATGTGTCGAAGCGTCATTCAGTGGCCTTTTCTAAGAGTTCATGATTCACTCACATCGATATCTGAGCACTGAAACCACCGTTGTCCATGCATCGCATTTCCTGCCCCTGTGCCATCTGCCCGAAGGGAGCAAGCTGCTGCGCCTGGCTCCGGCGTCGTTTGCCGATGGCGTCTACCAGATGTGGGACGAGCCCGCGGTGCCCAACGCACGTCGCTTGAGCAGCAGCGTCATGCGGGGAGAGAGCGGCCTTCCCTCGGCCCTCAACCGCACCGTGCTGGCCGTCTTCTTCGGTAGAAATGCCCTGTTCGCACTGGTCACGCTGTTTTTGAGTTGTACGCCTTTTGGCGTCTTCTGGTCCAACACCAGTGGAGACTAGGCTCTAAGAAAAGCCGTCTCGGGTGTGGACCAATCAAATTCAAGGACAGTGCATATTATTATCAACGTTGTCTCTTTTGTTTGCATTTTGACTGCTTGTGTTGTGGTTATTTCAAACATGATGCCTTGAATAAAGGTGTCAGTTTTTGTGCCAGTTAAAAGGGTAAAACCTATTACTATATCTTTATCTTCTTGCACTGGGATAGCTTTCGAATGCGTCTTTTGGATTGCACTGCGTGTTTGTTGTTCAGCATGATGTCCGACGTTTCGCTCCACTTGCAGTGAGCGATCGTCAGAAACTGAAACATCTATGGAATTCAGCTGTCATCTGGAAAGATTGTGTTTCATGTACACAACTTATTTTATGGGTTGGAGCATTGCTATGAGCCCACATCTTCATCAATCTGCCACTAATCAGCAGGTTGAAGAACAGTCAAACAACATCCATTACTGATATGTCATGTAGAGGTCTTTATCCTGCCGTGGATTGACTATTTTATGGAAAAGCTCATTTCAGATAAAAATTTGGTATTATCCAGGTTGCTTTCACACCCAAGGGGATTATAAGAATAAAGCCAATGATTTGAAACCTCCAATATATCTTTCCAGCGGACTGTGGCATGCGTTCATTATCCTCACATTTACTCACTTTTAAGTCATTATATACACACAATGCAATAATATAGAATATTCCTTGTGGTCCCCCCCCCATTGTATTACAATCGGGCTGTCGATATAATTTAATGAAATGAAGATTACATTTGTAAATCTCGCAGACCATTGCATCCCATGTGTTAGAGACTGGCTGCAGGAGAGTATGGTTTTAGGAGTCTACTCCAGTAAAGGTCCATATCAAGTGGCCTCCTCATCCTTCAGACAGCAGAGGTCGAACTTTGTCCTCGACTCTTCACTGAGATTGTCGCACCACAGTCTAAACAATATTTTTTCATTCTCAAAGATGAGATTAAGCCAAATAAAGCGATCAGGCAGAGACCATTACATTGTTATACAGGAAACTCCATTTTAATCACGGGTGACACTTACATTTAAGACGTTTTGAAATATTGCCTGAGACGTTCTCATATATATATTCCTCTTCAGGACAGTGGTATTAACGAGTGTGTTCAGTTTTTGTTATTCATGGCATGTGTAGCAGTTACAATATAACGATTACATTTTAGTATGTACATAGGTATGATCATTTAAACATTATTAAAACAATGATAACAAGAGCAAAAAACATTCTGTTTCTCATGGTACGTTTACCTGGTGACAGGTCAGCAAATATTGAATGAGATCATGAACACTAAACAGCAAGGCTGCCCCGCCGAGTTTGTCAATATCAGAATCCCATCGAATGACTCGGCATTCTCAAATGGCGCCTACAAAGTCCTGCCGTTCCAGCGCAGCCACTGGGATGAGGATACTGGATCGTCTCCAAACAACCCCAGGACGCCGGTAAGATGCTCATCAAACAAGTAGCGACACATCGAGCTGTGAGATTCATATTGAGTCCTGGGCTTCACCACCGTGTGTTTGAGAAATAGCAACACGTTCTAAACAACGTGTGCAAACGATGTGTAATAATATTTTTTTTATTTATTTTACAAACCGTCATTCGTGTAGATTGCATCAAAAGATGCGGAGCATTGCGAGCCCCATATTGACATCCAAGAAGAGTTTAGATAACTACAAGGAAACAGAACAGCCCAAGATCAAGGATACAGGGTGAACGTAACATCGATCGAGGGTACAGGGTAAACATAACAATGAACGCGGTAGGGGGACAGCAAATGTCACGACATGCTGGTGTTATAATTAAGCCAAGGGAGTTAACAAAAGCGTACAGATACCGAAAAGAATGGGAAACAAAACACACAAGGCCGTAAATATGAGACGCTTTTTTTTTAAATCGACTTTTCAACCGTGCATTGTGCCAGTTCATTCAATTACCGAGAATGCCAATTATTAACATCCAAGTGATTAGCACGTAGAAATATTATTTATTACACATCGTTTGCACACAACAACGTGTGCAAACGATGTGTAATAATATTTTTTTTATTTATTTTACAAACCGTCATTCGTGTAGATTGCATCAAAAGATGCGGAGCATTGCGAGCCCCATATTGACATCCAAGAAGAGTTTAGATAACTACAAGGAAACAGAACAGCCCAAGATCAAGGATACAGGGTGAACGTAACATCGATCGAGGGTACAGGGTAAACATAACAATGAACGCGGTAGGGGGACAGCAAATGTCACGACATGCTGGTGTTATAATTAAGCCAAGGGAGTTAACAAAAGCGTACAGATACCGAAAAGAATGGGAAACAAAACACACAAGGCCGTAAATATGAGACGCTTTTTTTTTAAATCGACTTTTCAACCGTGCATTGTGCCAGTTCATTCAATTACCGAGAATGCCAATTATTAACATCCAAGTGATTAGCACGTAGAAATATTATTTCGTGTAAAATAGGCAATACTGAGACCTAGAGGATGTCTGTTTGTTCGATATGTTTCGTGAAATTAAGGGAGCTCTGACAGAAACACACGTCACTAGTCAGGGTGATGACCGATGGTCAAGTTGCAGCCAAGGAGTGGAACGCACCTGACGGGGCCCTCCGTTGTGGAGATTGAGCAATAAAATGTGTTCTTGTGTAGCCACAAGGCGGATTACGACATCACAGGATTGTGGGAGGATGATGGCGGCTTGGGAGAAACCGGCTGAACATGGGTGATGATGATTTATAACAAACAAAAAACATGTTTGTTGATGAATATGCGTGATTTACTTTTGTTCTCTAGTCGAATATGGTGACGGCTTGGATTGATGGAAACTCGATATACGGATCCTCGCAGACTGCTTGCAATGCACGCCGCAAGTTTGCGAAGGGAATGTTGAAAACCAGCAGCAATGGGTTTCTTGCGCCCCTTGCAGAAGACTCATCCACATTGATTAATATTCGCTCTCCGTCTCACGAGGTTGGCAGCGTCGTGCCTCAGACCCAATATGGTGAGTGTAACAGTTCCGTTTACGCAGACACGTTGATAAAAAAGCACTTTTTTTGTTATAATAACCTGAGTTTAATTATTTGCATATTTGTACGGTCATTACATAGCTGTATTTATCGCATTACAACTGCAGGAATATTCCTGCATCACTTTAATGGAGCACGCTTGTTTAAAATATTGTTTAAAGGTGCACCGCGGTGGTGAGATGTTAACTCCTTCACCTGGTATGCAGGAGGTCGTGGGTTCGATCACAACCCTGACGCTTCTATATTTGGAGTTTGTATGTTCTCCCCATCGTCGCATGGATTTTCCCCTGGTTTAGAGTATTTGGCTTTTATAAATTTCCACGTAATAATCCACTTAATTGAGCTATCAGGTCGCTTCTGAAAGAGAGCGAAATAGCTCAGTGGGCCTTACCTGGTAAACTAAAAAATAAAACATTTGTTTAGTTCGTGAGATTACTCTCCAACACACCGGTGTGCTGAAGAAGTGATACGTTTGGCACGCTTGAATCACGTGACACGTTCCTTAACAGGCTGTGTCGGGTGGAGAAGGGTTTTACAGGATTCAACCCAAAATAAACGAACGCTTTATTTTGATTTAAAGCTTTCGTGAGTGCAGGGATTCATATTCTTGGTTCTTTCGGTAAAGTCACGTAGAAGGGAAACAATGAAATAATAAAATTTTCTTGCTGTGGTTTTCACACCTGATGATGATTGCTTGTGTTGCAGTCGAAACGTCGTGAAAATTTTATTATTTTATAGTTTTCTTTTATTATTTTATTGTTTCCCTTCTACGTGAATTTACCGAAAGAATCAAGAATTTGAGCGCTATATTCTCTAGGATTGAAAGTTTTAATGCCAAAAATCTGAGACGAATATACTTTGGTATTTTTTTTTCATTAAATGGCCTGTAATCAATAAAGGCCTGCCTAGGAAGGTAATGTTGCATCTCACAATTACAATTATTGGGGGAAGACATTGAAGCACTGACGTGCTAATCTCTCGTGAGAGTTATGTTTTGCACAGCCAAGAAACTGTAAATTGCTAATAGCGAATCTTGCTCATACAAATGTGCAGATCTTGTATGCCACACAAGAAAGCAATGCTTGCTTTTGTCGTGATTTATCAGAGAAATATTAGGTTGATCAAATAAAAAAATAAAAGAATGTTCTCTTTCAAATTAACACTCTACAACTAAGGTTGAACACATGTATGAGTTAGCTCCGTCTGCCTGTCTGTCCTTGTATGTCTGGAACATGGGGGTCATGCCAACTCTCGTACAGATGATCAAATGCAAATAAACTTCTATTGTAATAGCGTGTTGCTGTTAGTGAGTGGCATGCTCTATTGAAAACATGACACATTGATCAGAGGGTTGTTCAACGCCTGGCCACTAAATATTAAGCAAAAATAACTGTTTGCGAACATGCAAATGTATTTTTGCCTTCAGAGCTACCCGTTGCATTCCATACTGCTAATTACATACTTACAAATACGCGCGCATGTTGGAAGGGGTGTTACATAATGAATCCACCATCATTTTCCCTTTCATTCTTTCTTGCAGTTTTTGGGAGTCCGTGGGCAAATGAGAGCCCGTCCCAGAAGGCCTTGAGCACGGTGTGGCTGCGCTACCACAACTACTGGGCAAGGAACCTGAGCATGGCTCACCCTGATTGGAATGACGAGGAAGTATTTTCAAATGCACGGAAGTGGGTAGTGGCCATATATCAGGTGGGTGATTTATTAATTTATCGTGTCAAAATGAAATGGCAGGCCAGTTGAAATGAACTGCATTGGCATAATCGATTACGTTTACGGATGATAATGAATGAGCACACTGGCCATAAATGATGTTGCCGCAGTGTCAATGGTTCCACACTGCAACTTGCAATCCAGAAATTTTCATGTTCCATCTTCTGGCGCCGGCAGTTGAAACAAGCACCCTGGAGTCGAAATGGGTAAACCACAGTTAGTCGATCGGCAGGTTGCGTGCAGTGGGGTAAGGCGTGGGCATTCGCACCTCGTCACAAGTTGTCTGGCCAACATGAAAGAATTGGCCAAATATCCTCGATGGGGGGGGGGGGGCACTCTAATGCTCCCTCTTGTGGAGGTCCTTTCCCCAGCAGTGCTGTGAGCAAGTAAATGAAGGGCTGTACAATTTCGATTTGAAGCTTTCGTGACTGCAAGGATTAATCTTCTTTGGTTCTTTCGGTAAAGTCACGCGGAATGAGTCGCTACGAATCTTAACATCGTTCATTGAAGCTCTGTCGTCCCGACAGTTCTGTACCTTTCACCTGAAGACGGCCGCTTGCATTGTGGCCGAAACGTCGTGAGAATTTTATTTTGTTATTTTATTATTTTATTCTCATTCTACGTGACTTTACCGAAAGAACCAAAGAAGAAGGGCTGTACCTTTGTGCTTTTTACTGGAATTAAAGTTTCGTATTTTCAATGCATCTCTCGCTTCATTTCCAGAACATTATTCTCTATGAATGGTTACCAGCGATGCTTGGACAAAATGTGTCAGACTACACAGGTACAAAAAATAACGTTTCGTTATAATCTGCATTTTGCATTCCTTTTTGTTTTATTGATGCATTCCATATACGGTGGCAAAGCAACGTGCAAAACAAAAACTGTCACTCTCACACTTTTGTTGTGCATTTCAGGGTACAAGATGCACGTGCATCCAGGTATCTCGGTGGAGTTTGAGGCAGCCGCCATGAGGTACAGCCAAACCATGCTTCCTCCAGGCGTTTACACGAGGTGAAAAGCACACGTTAAGTACACGCCATCAATGAGTTGTGTTCTCATATTAATCGCCGTGCGCTAGCTGCCGTAAGTGCGGCAGACTACTTTATTCACAAACTGAAACCAGGTGTTTAATTTGTCGATGCCGATTTTAGACTTGGAGGTGACTAATATTCACAGCGGCAGTGAGAGGTAATACTCGATGTTGTGTACCGGGCACGGGAAATATTTTCCTGGTGACTGACTCAAACAGACCTGGCTGAAATGAAGCCCTGTTCTAAACTGCACGAGAAGTTCGTGTTTAATTAGGCTGCATTACTTTGTGCTCGGTCTGACATCATCATTGCTCAGAAGCTGGAAATAGGTGGCTGTCGGGTTCCACTCTAACTAAATAATTTGCATTCTTAAAAGCCAAATTATGAATAATATAAGCTATATACTAACCAAGTGATATTGTGTTGTTTTGAGATTTGTCTTTAAAAAAAAATGCAAATTAACTGCCCATATATTATTGCACAATACAGTATATTCTTATTGACGTATTTGTTATTGTACGCCACTAGGAATGAATCCTGCCATTTCAAGCCAACCGAGTCTGGTTTTATTGCAAGTCGTGTGTGCAACAACTACTGGAATCATAAGGTAATCGTGCATTCGGTGAACTTTCAACCCTTTCCCGCTCCGAGAATCTCCGAACACACAAGCAGTTAGCGTTAATTTTCTTTACAGAGGCATGGGTGCCACTGTTTTTAAAGACATTGTATTCACCGCAGAGAACTGTAGTGACACGACCGCACTCCATGATAGCTGGCATCAAACTGTGCCACACTCCCTCCCGCATGGCTTTGCGGGAGCCTCGGGTACGTCTTCCTACCTGAAGACGGACCGTGTACGTCATCGGATTGCAATCGGAAGATGTACACGTATGTCATCAGAACGGAATCGGAATAAAAACTGATGACATACATGTAGTACATGTACATACATACATGTAGTACATGTACATGTATGTCATCGGAATGGGAAAGGGTTAAGTGCATCAATCGTACACAACTGTGATGAATATCATTTTGCCAAGTGTAGAAAAAATCCCCACGAATTATACTCAATTGGGAGAACACATTGCAACACTGTCCTTTCCTGCTAAACAAATGCAGGGCCCTCCTTAAAGAGAGCCACGAGACTCAGTGACGATTTCCTGAATCAGTAAAGTCTTTCATTCTCCCCTGTGTCACGTACGCTGCGTGTGGCGATACAGCACGCACAGGCTCGCTGTTCAACTGGCTAAGGCTCCCTCTCACCTTTCCCCCTTTATTGCCCCAACTTTTCATCTCAACTTCCTCTGACAACAATGGGGTCTGTCTTGCCCCTTCATCCCTTAATTGTGGCTTCATATACATCACCTTCCACCAGCTATTGGTGCCACTCTTCTCCAGCGACCCAACATTTTACGATCCAAGCCCGCTCCCCTTTCATCTTAAGCAATGCTAACCTAGGCGTGGCTGATTGTGCTACGTTATCCACCCACTTTGATTTCCCCTCTCCTGTCCGCTTTAACATTTCTAGCAGACATGCAGTGGCGTACTCGCAAGCTGAATGAGTCGCTGCATGAAACCTGCCCATTGTCTAAACGAAACACACTTCAATTGCTCACAGTCATCTCCCCGTAACCGTTCTCCCTACCACCAGACTAACTTCCAATTGCAGTCTGGTGCTGCATGCGCAATGCGCCACAGACGGTCAGCCGGCACAGGGGGTCCTGGGAATGGTTTAGGCTAGATGTGATGTTCCTTGAGTTGCACTTTGGGTTGTTCAGGCATTTAAGCGCCAAACGAACGAAGACCCTTATTCTTTATTCTTCTCCAATTTGCTCGTGCCATTACACTCGTACAGAGACGTTGGCTTCAGTCGACTTTCCCAGATATACAAATAAAGGCAATGGAGCTTTCCAAGAAAACCAGTCTGGCTGCAGTCTAGCAGTTGGTGCAATATCGTTCACCTGTTATTTCAAGTGTACAGTTAAATCGCAATATATTTTCACCTTAAAACTAAATTGTTGCGATTCTAACATAATTACAAATATTGCATTGTGTTTAGGTTTTCGAATCGTGGCATGAAGTTGACGAAATTCTGCTGGGAATGGCTTCTCAGATCGCTGAGAAAGAGGACCACATTGTTGTCGAAGATATCCTTGGTGAGACATTGAATATACAACACTGTCACGTGGTAATTGCAACATGCTGACACTGCTGAGATCCTGAGTTCAAAATCTGGGTTTCAGTCATCTGTGATTCAACTGGGTAAATGGTTGCAGTGGGATTGTGGTCTCAGCTCGGTTACTGTTGACTACACACACAAAAAAATCATTCGAAATTAATTTTGTACTTAATTTGGATAAAATGGTAGCAATGATAAATAAAAGTATGTATCGGTTTGACTTTAAATGTGACGATCATGACTCGATAGCAGAGCAGGTGGGAAAGTGTGTGGGTCAAGAGGTTACTTGAGATTTGATTTGAAGCTTTCGTGACTGCAGGAATGCATACTTTCTGGTTCTTTCGGTAAAGTCACGTAGATAGAAAAAAGAATAAGAGAAACACGACGTTTCGGTCGCAACACAAGCGCAGCAGATAATTTTCTCACCTGAAGACGGACGCTTGTGTTGCGACCGAAACGCCGTGTTTCTTTCATTATTTTTTCTATCTACGTGACTTTACCGAAAGAACCAGAGGTTACTTGAGATTTTTAGAAGCAGCTCCGTGATATCTCCTTCTGCAGACTCTTCTCTAACACATGGCCATGCACCATTGATATGCAAGAGTTCCGAATGGATTATATGTCTTATCACAGGACGCCAATAGAAAAATTGTACACAAATTATGGAAATAACCTTTTTCAAAACACACATTGTGACGTGAACTGCAGTACTGCCCCTTCAAGTGTGTTGCCTCTGGGTTTCCAACTGAATATTTTCAACGTGTTTTTTATATTCATATGCTTCTCACCATTGTTTGCCCACAGCGGTAACCACCCTCGAATACTCTGGCATGCTTTGAGCAAGTGTGGCCGCATTTAAATGACATCACCGTGTGTGCAAATGCTTCTCATTGCTCACTGCAGACAGGATGTACGGACCTCTGAAGGCCTCCCGCCTGGACCTCATGGCCATGAACATTCAGCAGGGTCGCGACCACGGAGCTCCCAGTTACAACGAGGTGCGGCGAGCTGTGAAGCTGCCTCCTGTCTCGCAATGGGGAGACATCAACCCCAGGCTCAATCAAAGCAACCCCGAGGTACATGGCTCTGCACTGAAATGTGTCCGGTTGAAAGCAAAGGTGCATCCCTGCAAATTGCACACTCATGCCGCTGCTGGTAGAAGGTCTCCTCCAGAGGGTGTTTGCCCTACTCTCAAACACGTAACCTGCTGATAGACTCACACTAAAGTCGATTGTAGCCATGAAACGAAAACAATTGTCGAACTTTATGTTTCAGATGTAGCAAAAGGTTGCGTTATTGCAATGTTGGCCATGCATATGCAATTATTCTGAGTGTTTTTTTTTGTTCACTGCCTACTACAGGTCTAAAGCTATGTTTGCAGTCAGAGCTGCTATACATGAATGGCATAATAATGATCTTAGGGAAGGAACATGTTTTTTTCCAAGTGTGTAAATTTACTATATGTGCAAAGGTACATTAAATGAGACCCACGTTGACGAGTGTAGTTGCTGCTTTGGATCTAGAGTTTCTGGACCATTTACAATTCAATAAATGCAAAGGTGAGAGCGATTTTAGTCTAAAACATTTCAATTTCAATTGAACATGTGGTGTATTTCATGCACACATTGGTATCTGTATGCGTGTGGAATACCATTTGTACGTGTTCAATTAAATGCTTGTGTACATGCTTGGTCTGCATGCCAGGTGACTGAGCGACTTGAGCAGCAATATGACGATGACATCGTCTGTGTTTATATATATGTGTATGTATATATATGTGTGTGTATATATATGTGTGTGTGTGTATATGGGGAGCGATAGTGTAGCGGTTAGCGCTACGCTGCGCTATGAACCTGGCGACCCGGGTTCGATTCCCGCTCACGGCCAACACCAGTGACGATTATCTGAACCGGTCCTGGGCCTCCCCTAGGTCGACTAAGCCTCAAATGAGTACCTGGTGCGATGTGTAAACATTGCCACTGGGGAGACAAAGGCGGCCGGGCGTGGTGCTGGCCACCCACCCCCTCGTGTGCCGTGCCGGCCTTCACAGGTGCAGCTCGCTAACAGCACTTACCCCAACAGTCTGTTTCAGCTACACCTGGTTATTTGACTTTTATCAGGTGATCGAGCGACTGAAGCAGGCCTATAACGGTGACATCTCCCGGTTGGAGCTGTGGCCGGGGGGGCTATTGGAGTGCCAGGGGGGGCCTGGGCCCCTGTTCTCGCGCATCCTCGTCGATCAGTTTGAGCGCATCCGCGACGGGGACCGCTTCTGGTTTGAGAACACCAACAACGGGTGAGGTGCTTTCATCCCCTTGTCGACAATTCCCCCAATTTCCAAATGGCACACACATTGAGGAGTTTGTCAACGTAGCCTTGTTGAATTATTCTCAGTTGATGGTCATCATTTACCTCGTCGGGCTGTGGTTAGAGCAATGTCAGGGATTGCCATTACTCAATCATGGTTGATTAGTACTGTGCCACTTTATGACTGGCATCATTGCCTGCTGCAGCCATGTGTGCCGGAGGGTTGTTCGTTGACCAGCCCCCTCTGTCTACGAAGAAGCACGGAGAGATGCATGCTTAGAATTGCACTGACAGACAGAAAGGCAAAATTAGAGACTTCCCACTGACTGTTAATGAGTAAGTGGGCATCTCACTTAGAAGAGAGGATGGCTGGTGGAATAGGCTAATTAATAGTGGAATGGAGATGGATTAAACATGTCTTCGAACATGATCACTGCTGAGATGGAGCAACGAGAGATCACCTCATGTGCCCTAGTGAGATTGTTTGTGGCATCTCAGAGCCATTTAGGAGAGTGACAGCATGGGGAGGACTTCATCCAGCAGTGCAATGATCATGACTGATGATGATGAACGGTTGTTGTTGGGGAGGGCTTCATCCAGCAGTGCAATGATCATGACTGATGATGATGATGATGAACGGTTGTTGTCGGGGAAGGCTGCATCCAGCAGTGCAATGATCATGACTGATGATGATGATGAACGGTTGCTGTTGGGGAGGGCTGCATCCAGCAGTGCAATGAGCATGACTGATGATGATGATGAACGGTTGTTGTTGGGGAGGGCTGCATCCAGCAGTGCAATGATCATGACTGATGATGATGATGATGATGAACGGTTGTTGTTGGGGAGGGCTGCATCCAGCAGTGCAATGATCATGACTGATGATGATGATGAACGGTTGTTGTTGGGGAGGGCTGCATCCAGCAGTGCAATGATCATGACTGATGATGATGATGAACGGTTGTTGTTGGGGAGGGCTGCATCCAGCAGTGCAATGATCATGACTGATGATGATGATGATGAACGGTTGTTGTTGGGGAGGGCTGCATCCAGCAGTGCAATGATCATGACTGATGGTGGTGAAAGGTTGTTGTATGATGTTTACGAAACGTACTGTATATACAACATATTTTTTTATCATTTCAATACGTTGAGGAGTACCCTGCTTGGTTATGCTGCTCAGGATGTTCACAGACACGGACGTAGAAGCGGTGCGAGGCATGCGGTTCTCAAGCGTCTTGAGGGCTACAATGATGATCGATGAGAACTCCGTCCAAGAAGAGGTTTTCTTCTGGAGAAACGGTGAGGATCCTATCGTATCTATCTTAATGTAATTTATATCGCGCCTTAACCAAGGCACTTTATGAAGAATGAACAACGGTACAACGTGCGTGAATGTAATGGTGGAGATGAGGTGAATGAATTCGATGAGAGGTAGCAATGGGCAAATCTGTGAATTCGGTGAAAGAGAAATTGATGACAGTAGATGATGATCAATGGATTGAATGAATGGGGAATGGGTCATCGCCGTATAATGAGAATATTAAGAGGGAACAGTAAGAAAGGTGGTTATTAGGGGGGGTGGGGGGCATTAAGGGGTCGTGGGTTGAGCTTGGAAAAATAAGTGAGTTTTGAGCGAGGAGCGGAAATTTAGTGAGCGAAGGTGACTGCTTAATGCCGGGGGGAAGTTTGTTCCAGTGAAGGGGGGGGGGGCAAGAAGAGAAAATGAGAAGGATGGCAGAGGGCGCAATCCATCACATGCAAAATTACTTTCACAAAGATCATTATTATTTTGTTGACCCATATTTTCATGCCTGATATCTGGAAGCAAAGCAAGCATTGGTGCAGTACTATTATTGTAAATACTGCGCTTGTTTGAACCCAGGAAAGCCTCACTTAGTCTTAAGACTTTTTTTAAGGAGCGTCCTGAAATACTCATTGGTGGCCCTCAGCCTGCGGAATATTTTCCACATTTTCTCGGCGGTGGCCACTGTCTGTGTATAGCAACAAGTTAAGTTTTTCAGGTTGATCTCCCATCCTAGGTCTCAGTGATATATTGTAAAACAAATGTGGCGTGTGGATCACATTTTAGAAGGCTATATACATTCAACCTTGGGTTTAGAGTTCCTAATGCGTGTGTCTTAATGAATGAAATTCGGACACGGTGCCTTCAGTTGATTTACCCGGATATGCAAATAACAATAGTTGCAGCTTTCCAAGAAAACCAGTCTGGCTGCAGTCCCGCAGTAGGTGCAACATACTTTACCTCTGCATTTTTATGTCCAATTCAATCGGAAATATTTGTTTTCCTAAAACTGGTAACACAAAGTAAGGACCAGTGCCTTCACGTACTTGCGGTGAGCATGCAAACAAACATGCATGTGGTGAGCATGCAAACAAACATGCATAGACGTGTGGTTAATTCGAACTTGATTCCTTGCCAAAGGTTTCTATTTGGTGTTTGAACATCTTAACACAAACTGTTTTATTGCCAAAAAGGTAAAACCTATTCCTATTTTTATATATATTACAGTGGCCACATCCTTGTGAACACATTATCTTTCCTTTGGCTGCCATTCCATAACCAGCCTTGTCCATCAGGCTAAATCCCATCTTGAGATGAGTCCTGCCCAACTCCATTTACATCGCCTAACTGTAGTTGTGTACATTACACCGTCACTCTTTAAAGATGTTTGCATTTCAAAGAGTTCGTGAGATTATAATTATAAAATATTTTGATGAATGACTTACAGCCCTTTCATGAACTCACCAACTCATTGCTGATGCATATTTACGTTGATATTTTATAACGTTTAGCCGTTACAGACAGATTCAAAACGCCAAGCGGCCAGTAACAACCAGTTGCATTGGCGGTGTTGCAGATAAGAATTAATCTCATGAGAAAGAGATCCCTTTTACACGTACCATATACATGTACAAAACTAACAGAGTGTAAATGCTCCGATGTGCTGCTGTGTTACGCAACACACACACACATCAGGGGACCCTTGCGAGCAGCCCAAGCAGCTCAGAGTGGAGGACTTGGAGGTGTGCACACCCCCACAGACCATTGACTACTTCTCCGGGAGCGTGGTCACCTTCATAATCACCAACGTGCTCCTCTTGCTCATACCTGCAGGTCAGTACATTGTCCGCTCCTTCCTCGCCCACGGTGAAAGTAAAACTCGAGTTTACTTGGAGTGTGTTTTGTTCCTCCAGGCGAGAATTCAGGAGACCGGGGTTAGTCTTAATTTGCAGGTCACCTGGGGCATTAGTCTGCTGTTCGGAGTCGATGATTGCTATGCACCTCCGATTAGCATGGTTGGCTCCGTACGGTGTGAAAGAAGTTCAACATACATACCTACGTACGTGGAATCCAAAATGACTACCTTTGCGGTGTCATTTTCGAATTTGCCAAATTTGGGCCATGACGTCAACACAAAACGACCTACCCTTCACCACAAACGATAGCTCAACGAAGTGGCTTAGCACGTGGAAATGTATAGCAGCCAAATACTGTAAATGCACGTTCATTCTAAATGTGGAGGGAAAAACCGGAGGACCCGGAGAAATATCGACGCAACCACGGGGAGAACATGGAAATTCCAAATATACAGGTCGGGATGGAACCCCCGACCTCCTGTATATCAGGTGAAGTAGTGAACATCTCGCCATCAGTATGGCAGCTGGATTTGACCTGTGACAAGCGGCAAATACGCTACCCTCTAAACCTCATCACCCCCAACTCAAATAAGGCAAGTGTAAATAAGGTATTGGGGGTGGGGTTTCAGGGAGGTAACCGCAGACTATAAATAATCACACTCTTGTTTTTCTGTCACACCACAGCATGCGTTGCAGCTTTGTGGTGCGTCTCTTACAACCGCAAGAGGAGCTTCAAGAAGTTGACAGACCAGAATGACCCAAAAACTGAAGCAAAGAAGGAGACAGACGGCATTCCTGGTACACAATTGTCTGCACTGCACTCCACATGTAATGCACAATAATCATGAAGCATTGCTGTTGAGAAATTTTATAACATTACAATTAACATATTTTTTGGGTCTTTCGGTTAAAGCCACATAGATAGATAAAATAATCCAAATAATAAAAAAATTATAACAAAATAATAACAATATCACTGATATTGTTATTATTTTTTTTATTATTATTTGATCTATCTACGTGGCTTTACCGAAAGACCCAACGAATATGAATTCCTGCAGTCACGAAAACTTTAAGTCAAGATTTATTACAAATAACATCTCCATCTCGTAGTTGTCTCTTGGCAAAAAAAATAACAACACGAATTTACATATCCCATTGGGGCAGCACAGCCTTCTGGGAAAGCATCTCATCAGCATCATTGGTTCAACACAAGCAAACTCTGGAATGGTTTTGAAATTCAGTTACTCATCGGCAGAGTAAGGCTTGCTCGAACTAATGCTGGCGAGGCTACCCAATGTTTACAAGCAAGAACCCTCTCTGTATAACACCCAACAATAAATACTCATTAAGTGTTGTTGTGGAGAATGTTTATAGCGTAGTAAATGATGCATCATTCCTGTACTTGTCTCCCCACATAACTGTGATTACATTTTCTTTTGGTCTTTCGGTAAAGTCACGTAGATAGGCTCAAAGAAAATAACAAAAAAAACTAAGTTTACGTGACTTTACGGAAAGACCCAAAGAATATGAATTCCTGCAGTTACGAAAGCTTTAAGTTGTAATCACATTGTGAGAGTGATTAAACGGTAGCCATATTATTATTACCATGCTTCCCTACCAAGATGTGTCGTGAAGGAAATGCATACCCCTGCATTTGATTATTTTTATAATTTATTAATTGAAAAAGTGAACACGCATATAAACACGTGAAAAGTAGGATACCATATACGTTTAACATTAAAAAAAATTAATGTGTATTTTGCATTTAATTTAGATTATTGTACACTATCATTGATTTGATAGTTTATAATGGTTCGCTTATTTGTTATACGGTTTTTGTACGTAAAAGTGCTGCCCTTTTATTTGAACGCTGGTTTAAAAAAGATATGTTTGTTTAAAGCGAACTTTAAAGCGAAATAGTTATCATATATTCATGTAAATATGTATAGCGTGGCTTGGAGAGGCTTTCAACCAGCAGTAAATGAACCATGGCTGATGGCGATTTTTGTTACACGTATATTTAAAATACATGCATTCATTTTCTACTACGGGTCCACGAACAGTCACACTTTAACTATAGACGATTGGAGCATTTCATCGCCGACTCTTGGTATTCCACTGCTGACGGAGGACCTCCCCACGCGCGCAATGTGTGTTGTGTGGGGCATTATTTGACCGTATTTTTTGTCATGCTCTATAACATGGGTCATTGAGAACATGGGTGACAAATTAACACAGATGCATTGCGTCCATCAGCCAGGGAATGGCGGGGCAAGAAGGAACCCCTGCGGGACGTGCGGTTGAGATTCGACGACGCGGGATCGATCAAGGTGCTGGACTGCGCGGGGGCCCTGCTGCGAAGCCTGGAGGTGAAGGCCCTGTCCGGCGTGGAGCTGCTCTTGGCCAGCGACAGGGGCAACCTGCTGCTGGTGCACGTGCCCAAAGAGTACGACCTGGTGAGGCAGCAGCAGCAGCAGCAGCGCAGCCGCCGCACCGCGACGTCGCCTGGCGTGCCGCGCAGCCGCCGTTGGGCTGTGCACCGTCAAGAGGTCAAAGGGCAATACCGCTACGGGTGTGCGATGCCGCGTGCGATATGTGTCAGCGCTCCACTACGCTGCGCCACGCGTGAGCACTGTGAAAGCTTTCTTTACTGTGCTCCATTATACACCCTTCCATGACGGTGTACATTTTTTTTTATTGTAAATTGTTAAAGAACATACTGGATGTATTGTTGTTACTGGCTCTGTATTTTTCCTACATTGTTCCAGGTAGCACTGCATAGGTGTTTGCGGTTATATATCCTCCAGCGCTCCAGTGTGTTTCTTGGAGCTGTGCTGCGGGTTGTTCAACGCGATGTCTGATGTTTTGCTCCACGTACTGGGAGCTTCCTTAAGGGGCTAAAGGCTTGGAGTTGTCCTTCCTCCAGCAGTAGATTGATCATAGTGGATGTGGATGATGCTCTATCTATTTAGCTGTCTATCCGGAATTAAGCTTCTGTGTTGCTTTGTCATTAGCTCAAAATAATGTATCAACTTTTATATATATAATATATGAATTATAAATGCATTGTTGTTTTCTTAGGTGATATTTTTTGAATCGACTATCCAGCGGAGTACATTTGAACATCGGCTAAAAGAAATTGTGACAAAAGTTGCCAATCACTCCGTTAAGACGGACGCTGGAACTAAAAAGGCAATTTTAAAACGTGCCATTACAAAGCAGCAGAGGAAGGTTTTGCTGGAGACATCATTCAAGACGATATTTTCCAAGGTAATTGATATTTTTTACGAACATTTATACATCAAATATTAAAACGTATTTTTTTTACCGCTATCTTTGTACATGTTGACCAATTGTTATGATGCTATGATATGATGTTGTAATCCTTTAAAATGATCCATGTAATTCAAAGTATTAATCGACGACTACAAAAGTTACGTGTTCTTTGCTTCATGGTTGTCCGGTATATCGGGCAATATTGATGCATTTTATTGTGGCAGGTTTTGAAGATTGACCCGGAGAGAAATGTGGAGATGCAGGCAGATGCAGTTAAACAGTCGCTCGAGTGTGAGCTGTCTCGCGAAGAGCTGGGCGAATTGCTAGGCCTGAAGCCCAGCTCCACATTTATGCAGGGCATATTTCATCTGACTGGCAAAGACGATGATGGGTACTTATCCTTTAATGAGCTGACTGATGTGCTTGGCGTCTTCATAACAGGTACGGCCTATTTGACTGCTATCTTTTTTTTACTGCACAAATTACGGTTTTGTTGTTGTTGTTTAGTATACTTTGCTTAGTTATTCAAAATGTTTAGTGACTAGTGGAACATAAGTTTCAGCCTCATGGACACGTGACCATTTATTTAACCTTATCTTTAGAAAATGAACTCTAACCAGACCACTGGCAAAAATATATCCGCAATTATTTCAAACCCACAGCAACCTCCACCCAATGTGCAATTCAGAACTAAATACTTAGTTAATAGGCCCCAAGGTAAGACGAAAATTTAAAATCTATATTTCCTCGCTACTGACCTATCAACGCCTCCCCCTTGTCAGCACACATTACCTCTCCCCCTTATTGTTTTAATTAAAAAATATATAACGGCAGTCATTAAATAAACACAAATGGTTCCAATTGCTTTGAGCTGCATCTAGAAAGACTGGAAAATGGCATTTATAATTTGAACTGTTTGTTTCAATTTGCAAATAAAGTTCTTCGATAAAAATCAAATAACACATACAACTAACACAGCACTGTGTTGTGTGTGGAACTAGGTACTGCTGAGGAAAAATCCAAACAGATGTTTGACATGTACGCCACGAGGAGGTGTGGTCCCATGACGAAGGAGAAGTATGAATTCATGCTCAGGTTGGTAAACGTCTTTCCTCTTGTAAATTTTCACGTGCCTGTAGACGTAATAATATTTAGTTATAAGCCAAAAAGAAAAAAAAAACATCGCGTACAATTGAATGGACAAACAGGTCGTGTACTTTTGATTCGTCCCAAATTTCAGGTCATTCTTGGAGATGGCGAACTACAAGTTACAAAAGAAGGAAGAGGACAGCATCATCAACGCATTGTTTAGTAAACAAGAATTCAACAAGACGGAGTTCACCTGGCAGGATCTGCATGCCCTCTTGGATGAGCACTACAATGACGCCGGCAGCCTTCAGATTCACATCCCAGGTCGCGTACTCCGTTGATTTTATCTTGAATGAATACGCCCCTTCAGTATAATCCTGTGGTCAATTGTTTAGACATGTTTTATCTATCCCATCCTTCGTGACACGACTTTTGTAGGCCTACATACGAACCGATTTTTAAAATGTCAAAGGTCAAAGTCAAGTTTCTTGATCAAACGACCACTGAAGCAGTGTTTATCTCCAGCTTACAACCCTGAGCCAGTTGGTTGAAATTCAGCATTTTTGTAGCGGGGTGAGTCTACAGATAGGACAAGCACTGTTGACTTCCCCACAATAAAATGAAAAACGTAGGATTTGTTGGTGAATTAACTTTTTATAAATATTCCACATTATCACTCATGTAATTCTTAGTGCGTTACAATTCTTTATAATTACACTAATTGACTAAATGTAATTTCGGTTGGGATCGAATGGCAGTTGGCGCCTGACGACTCATAGCCGACATGTCGCTCGGTGTTTATTTTTTTATAATTTGATTGTGCACACTTACAAGAATCTAATACAAATTCAAGCTTATTTAGCAACTTTAATAAAATCTCAAGGTGCTTTACATCAATTACAGTGGGGGGTTGAGAGTGGGTTATTTGGTAAGTACATCATTCTTGCAGTGGCTATTGACTAACCATCGAGCAAAGATGGTCACTGCATCGCACGCTTTTTAGATACGCTTCTGCGGCCGTCTAGAACGTGATTCCTTCCGATATCAGGAAGCAACTGGAGCTATGTACTTTTAAATATTCTACGTTGAAAACTCATTTATTCAGAACTGCTTTTTGTGTTTAGTTTGTTGTCCTCCCCCCGCACCTCCGATTAACAGGGTTGGCTATGTACGGTGCGAAATAAGTTAAATATACATGCAAGAAGAATCCAACCGAACTGGACACCCTGACTGTAACTGCTTTTTTAAATTCTAGGTATGGAATTGCCCCAAGCGAGACGTCAAGCAGAACGCACTGTCTCTTTCATTCACCATCGCAAACCAAACGGGTAAGAATGCTCAGGGAACGATTATGCGTGATATCGTCTTTACGTCTTCCGTAGCCAAGTGATCATAACAGGAGCTGCCACGGTGTAATGGTTAGTGCTCCTGACATGCAATCTGAAGGGTCACCAATAAGTTCGGCTGTTGTCTCCCAGCAAGTCAATTGAAACAATGGTGCAAGTTTTTTTTTCAATCCCCCCTCCCGCCACATCAATTCACTCACATAATTATCAATGTTCACATCACAATTAGTCTAAACTAAACAATCCGGCAAGCCGCGACTGTGTGTGTGTGTGGTGGGAGCGGTAGTGTAGCGTGTGGCGCGCCATGCTACGAACCCGGCGACCCGAGTTCTATTCCTGCTCACTGCCAACGTCGGCGACGATTATCTGAACCGGTGCTAGGTCGACTAAACCTCAAATGAGTACCTGGTGCGGTGTACAAACATCACCACTGGGGAGTCACAGATAGCCGGGTCGTGCGTGGTGCCGGCCACCCACCCTCATCGTGTGCCACATGCCGGCCTTCATAGGTGCTCGCTCACAGCAAGTCTGTTCAAGGCTAGATGCGTGATCTTTGTCTTTGAGGTGAAGCGTGGTGGGTACGCCCACCTCTTCCGTGTCTGGACAACATCAAAGAAAGGACCAAGTACCCTAATAGTGTTTGCTTTTAGTTGGAGTCCCTTCTGCCAGCAGTGGCATCAGAAAGCGACTGCCACGGGGCCGAAGCCTATGGCTCTTTTTACAAAGGCACATTGTTGTAACGCACACGTGTGTTGCACTTCCAGACAGGGTCCAGTCTGATGGCTGAGACAACCTTCGTCCATCTGACTGTTTGGTATACAGCCTGGTAGAAAGGAAGCTCCTCCACACCGTGGTTAAACGCAAGATAGACATCTTTGGGGCCATTGTAAAGGTTTGTTAATTGCTGTCGCGAGCAGTTTGGATTAAAAAAACGGCATGGTGTTTGGGGAGGGTGATAAATCCCCATAAAAGTAGGCACCAGTCAATTGGAAGCGATTCGACATCTGAGGTTGCTGAGCAGGAAGGGCGCCGTAATGGGAGCGTTTCATCTTCTATTGCTGAATGGTGTGAAGGTGTCCGGCGGAGGTGGCGGCTGTAGAAGGTCCGTGCCGTCGAGTGTTGGTTGCGACATCGCTGTGAAGGATGGGGGGGTTTGTTGTGACACTCTGGCGGAGGATCTGGTAACAGTGGCATCAAGAGCGTTCTAACATTAGAAATATTTCATTTGCACTGGAGGAATCCGATGAGCTATGAAGCTTATTTTGTTGCCCAGATGTCCAGAAACGTTACAACAACAAACAATGCAACAAACAATACAACAACAGACACAACGGGAGTGCAAAGTATAGGAAAGAGTCGTGCTTTCGTTGTCGTTCTTGTTAGAATGCAGTTTAAAGTTTCCAATTGTTCTGGATATTGTTTGATGGGGCCTTGCTGGGGAGCCGTGAAAGGCTGCAACTATAATGAGACCCATTGTTCACACACTGCCCGTGTTCCACAAAGGGGTCCAGTTACGTTATCACTAACGCCAACATGAACGGTGCACAGATAGATATTTAATCATGCAGTTTCTCGGTTGAAATTAATACATCAGTGCATCAAAACAAGTACTGCAATGGACAGAATACTGTACTTGACAGTGACGTGACATTTTATAAAGTACGCCTGGGTCTGAATTCGTGAACTGTATTTACACAGCAGTGATGTGATTGCTTAGACACACGCATCGTGGGGACCTTTTCAGTAAAACGCCTTGTAATCCAAGTAATTGGACAGCTGTTAATGCAACATTTTTAACTTTTACGGAATCTTGAAGTGAGACTGGCTTTTCTTTGTTTGCACAAGGTATAATTTAAAATGCATGTGTTTGTTGGGTTTGTGCACGCATGCATGTGAATTTATTTAAAGTTGGACGGGCTATTAAGATGAATTCAGAGGAGAGCATACTCGCGATATAAAACATTGTAGAATTTGGTTCTTAAAAAAAACCCAAGCACATTCGTCAATAGCATTGCCCTTAAGAGGAAAATACTGAGAATATATATATAACGGGTAATGTTTCAAGCAATATTCCCTCTTCAGATATGTTTTTCTGCTGCAAAGATGGGTCATTACCCGAAACGTTGCCTTTTATATATACTCGTCGGGAATCCGTTGCTCTGCAGTGGAAGACGGCTGTCATTTTCATACTCTTCTCACGATCCAGTACTCAGAGCGTTTAAAAGTAATCCCCTTTTTTATACTCTCGAGGATATTCGAATGGAATATTTTGGCAGGAGAATGACATAAATGAGCACAAACTGAAAAGTTATAGCGATTTTAAATGGACCGTGTCAGTCTTCTGTGTTAGTCCCATCTCTTCCGTGTCGCTGTCTATTCTAGTCTTCTACCATTTAATTTCACTTCAATATTTATTTATTTTCCCTACGGAAAATCATGTTTAGCCAGTTATCCAGCTAGATATTTGGAAGCAACAGCCCACAGCCACTAGCAAACAACAGGGCTATTGTTGGGGTGGACAGGAGCCTAGCCGGCAGCCAGCCAGGAAATCCAAGGCATAGATAATTTTTTAAAGTTATATATTTGTTTTCCTTTAGGCTCGTGTTATTGACGAACAGGGATATAAAACACATTTTAAATAAACTGGACACCTTTATTCATTTATTTTCATGAGTTTCAAATTATGATTAAAAAAATACATTTTATCTTCCCACGATTCCTGTGAGGGACAAAGCGAACCCCTGCTCCCACCCAAATATAGAAGTAAAACTCCGCCTATGGTATATATATTATTTTTACAACATAATCATAAATCCACCTTGAAAATATTTCTTATATATTTTTTTTCACATGAGCAATGTACCGCACTTCCCCCTATCACAGAACTACCGCCAAACGAGACCAGCCATTCACGGACGCTGCGTACGAGCGCTACGACCGGAGCAAGCTGGGCCAGAAGATGCAGGCCTTCAAGCGCTACGTGGAAAACTACCGCCGCCACATCTTCTGCGTGTTCGTCTTCTACGCCGTCATGGCCGGCGTCATGGTCGACCGTGCCTTCCGTGCGTATTGTGCCCCTCGTTACCAGCATGGGAATCTTCCACCACCATGTGCATTCATCACCGATGCCTTGGGTTGACAAATTTAGTGCGCCGCGTATATCCGACCCGCCACATGTCCACCCTGACCAATCCACTGGCCGCACCCAGGTGCTGCATTTGTTCTTCCTTATTGCGAATCTAGAGATGTCCACCAATTTGACCTTTTCACATGCAGTTTTTGGTATAAATCTCGGACACATTCGCTTACATAGTCAAGCAGATCCCTGTGTGTAAGGCAGTTTGTGCTTTATATTTGTCCAGTAACCTACATGTGGATGGTGTAACATCTGCCTATACCTTCGTTGCGAGTGAGTTGGCTAAGTACCACATTTGTTGGATGGTCAAGAGTGTCAGTGGTCGTTCTACGTAGACACAGATCGACACCATAGCAATATGAATAAGTACTGCACTGGCCCCTAATTGCATCAGTAGGACAACAATGCAACCTCATTGGGTACAATAATGTTCTGGCCTCCAGATACTTTCTACAGATATAATGATCCACCTTCCTTATTGCGAATTAACAAATCACCGCGAGTCAGGGTGGCAACTGGACTTAATCATCAGTTTTTTGTTGTTGTGGTGAATATAGTGGCCTCTCGTGGCTGGAGGCTACAGGGGGGATCACATGAACACATTATATACAACGCACGTGAATAACAAAACGTTGCTCCTTACACATGCAATTCGATGTATCATTACTCCTTCCCCCCCCCCTTTCCACCCCTGTTTCTTGTAGATTATCCAGGAGATGCAAAAGACATTGGTATCCAGCAGGTAACAGAGGTTGGCATCAGGCTGGCCCGCGGCTCGGCGGCTGGAATTTGCCTCTGCTACTCGTTCATCCTCCTCACCATGTGCCGGAACATAATCACGGCGCTTCGCGAGACGGCGCTCAACCAATACATCCCCTTCGACTCGGCCGTGGAATTTCATCGCATGATTGCCATGACCGGCCTCGTTGTGTCCAGTGAGTTTTCAATCTGAAACCTTGTATACGACTCTCTGTTCGAAACCAGGTTACCATCGTAGAATGATATTTGGTTGACAAGGCTCGATTATGTTTTTTTACTGGGCTACGTTTTTTTTTCTTGCAGCTCTGACTATTTGAATCAAGCATATACGGTTCTGATTTAACGAAAAATAATACATTTTTAATCATATGCAGAACTTCTTATACTTGACTATGGGAAATCATGATATCCACAAGAATACTTTTCATAATTGTTATTTGCTTCAAAATATTAATAATAATTTACAATGTTCTTTCAGTCATGGGATTTATTTGACCATACTCCAGCATGGTGGTCAGTGCTGGTTGGTGAAGTTGGTGACCAAGGCATATCTCGGATATTTCTCGCCACTGATCTTAGTTATTGTCTGGAATCGAATGCAGGTCGGCGGGTTTATCTGGCAGATACATTTGTATCTATAGTGTTCTCTGGGTCATAAAACTCACTACCCCTGTACTTTAAAGCAATATTTGGGGGGTGCATCTTATAATCAGTAGGTAGGTGTTTGCAATACGTTATTGACACCAGGCACAAGTTTTGTGGTGAGTTTTTCTTACTTTCTGGAGCATCTAATAAACCAGAGAATACGGTATACAGACATCTTTATCCATTCAATAGGCTCACGTGAGACCGCTTTACATGGGTGGTAGTTTTGGAGGTCATGGCGACCCACGGCCAGTCACACGCTTAAGTACTCTAGTAGTAGTATAATATGCACATTTCCTCCATATTTTTAGAATAAAAAGTGTGTGTATGTTTAACCAGATTTGCATGACTTTATTGACACCGGTCACGAGTTTTGTGGGTGCGTCATATGATGTGAGTAAATATAGCAATTAAAGGAAGTTTAATATCGGCATCGCCTTGACCTGTTCTCTTTGTTCTGTTTTACTCCATCAGTCGTGCACACCATTGGCCACGTGATAAACGTGTACTATTTCTCCATCATCCCGCTAAGCGTGCTCTCCTGCCTCTTTCCACACTGGTTTTACAACGACTGGTAAGTGTGGGTTTGAATAAACCAATGGATTGAATAAATCAATGGATTGAATAAATCAATTGATTGAATTCAACAATGGACTGAATAAATCAATTGGAAACGTTTATTTTGGTGCTTATTTTAACTTGTCTTGAGATGATGTGTCATGAATCTAACAATAATTCAGTCATGCAGTGATCATGATGTATGCCCTGATGGGAACCCATTTAAGAAGAAAAGGTAACTGTTGCAATGTAGCCCAACTCCATATGCAAAATTTTTTTATGAACATTTTATGGCATGAAACTGACCCCGGTGGATTTTACAAATGCTCGTGGCAGAAAATGGAGTGTTTTATTACTATTCACTATAAAGTTTGTCGTGGACCATTAATATTATACTGTGTTTACAGACGCAATAGTTTAATTCTTCAAGTTTCAGGTGTATTTCCTTTAACCGGGTTCAAGTAAACCTCAAGAGAGCAAGATCATCTTATTTGCAAGAGTGACCTGGGTCATAAAAACGGGACATATATCATGTTGACAATAAGAATGTTTATTGCTGCTCCTTGCCCCAGTAGTTCTTCTGTAAAAAGATGGGGTTTTTTCAAGCCACGGCATTGCATTGATATTAAACGTAAAAAAACAACCCCGTAAAATGCCACTGTTAGTTAACATTGTTACAAGGTATCACCGCAGCATGCAAAGTATTTGTAAGAATTCTATAATCTCCCTGCTATGCTATTTGCTGAAATGTATAGTCCATAGATAATACATGACTGTATTTCCAAAATGAATTCGCTAGCATGTAATTGTAGATACATATATTTTAAGTATTTATATTTTGTTCTTTAAAAAGGGCTTCCTTTACTCCTTATAACTATCAGGGCGTTTTGGTTCAATGCAACAATTATTGGCCCTGTTGTTAAAGGTCTTCTCATTGCTTATACTTATATAGCCTCATTTAAACTTGTTTGTTTTATGCTCCAGGTCTGAAATACCTCCAAAATTCTACTGGTGGTACTTTCAAACAATCCCAGGTAAATACTGTACATCTGTGATTATATATTTAAATGCATCTGAATCACAATATTGTATATCAAAGCTATTCTGGCACCAGCTTTATGACATATCTATCATAATATTCCATGGTGAACTAGCTATCACGCATATTTATGATCTATCTGTAAAAGCTCTTTCAGAAAATAATTGTTAGCATTTGCCACCATAAGTGGTTACCCATAAGCCATTTTCAGGCCAATGGCTCAAAGACCACGATAATAATTTCGGTCTCTGAGCGCCGCTCCTGGTGTTTCGTGTTGCTGCCAACAGGTTTGACAGGAGTCCTCCTCCTGGCGGTCCTTGCGGTGCTCTACATTTTCGCCAGCCGCTTCTCCCGAAGCCACTCGTTCAACGTATTCTGGCTGACCCACCAGCTGTACTTTGCATTCTACATTCTGGTAGGCAACCAGTCGATCGTTTTTGGTTTATGAAACCCGAATAGTCTGAGCATGCTCATCAGTGAAGCGTGTTCAGAGAAACTAGTGCTGCCTTGTGGGTAATCAAGGGTGAGTCCTGACCCAAAATCGTAAAAACGTGGAGTTTCCGCTTTTGGCGGCTCAGAGAGCCACCAAAGTCAATGTGTGTAAAATCCGACACTCGTTTGAGCGGGGAGACGGAGCAGAGAGATTGTAGCCACTACGGGCGGAAGGACCTCTGAGAGAGGGAGCTCTAGAGGGGGGGTTATTTGGCCTGTGCGTTAGCACTGACCGGACGTCATGGAAAAGGTGGGAGTACCCACACTTTACCCCAACACACGCCACCTACCAATTGACAGCAGCGTACCCATTTGTACTGACTGGGTGGACAGAGGTGGCGGAGGTTGGAGGTGGGGTGGATTTAAGAAACTTGCCAATGGTTTCAAATGCCATGTCGGGAAATTACCACTGAACCAGCAACTTCTGGATTGCAATTCCGCATGTATGTATAATGAACTTATTTCGCACCGCACGTAGCCAACCGTGCTAATCAGAGGTGTGGGAGTCTAGTGTAATCATGGCAGCATCCTTAAAAAAAACATTTGTAAAGCACCAATTTTTCCTCTCTGTGATAGATGCTCCTGCATGGGAGTGTTGGTCTCGTCCAGAAGCCCAGGTTCTACATGTATTTTCTGCCGCCGGCTCTCATCTTCATGGGTGACCGGCTCCTGAGTCTCAGCCGACGCAAGGTGGAGATTGATGTTATTAATGCTGAGCTTCTCCCCTCGGGTATGTTGTTCTCTTTGCATGCATTTTTTTGTTTGGTTTGATCTCGGTTTGCCTCTGAAATTGGATATTGGTATGGTACCCCAAATAAATTTTGAGTTACGATAAATACCTGCCCTAAATAAATTATTCTTAATAAGGCTGAGTGCCTTATTAGGAAAATGTCAGATGAGGACAACATGGTAGGAATGGATATCATCAAACATGCTTGGGTAGACTGCATCCTGGTGTTGCTTGTAAACTACTTTACCCATAGCAAGCAAAACAAGGCTGACATAAAACGTATTGATTGCATACACAAATACGTGTATATTGTGCTGTGAAATAATTGCTAGATGATATAAATTCCAGCCATTCTCAATTCACCAATGGATGAAGGCCTCCCCAAACCATGTTGGTCATAGATTTGTTTATTTTTATTTTATATTAACCATATTTCACCACAATGGTCAGGATGAGTTGCTGATGGAAATGAGGATGCGGAACCACTTCTGGTACCGCACACAGCTGTTGTAAGCCATGGCCGGAATTTCAAACTCGGGTTGTTTGCCAGCTTCATGGCGTAGCACACTAATTCCCCTGCATGGCCGTTCCACACCTGCATTGAGCTATACGTCAAAATCAATATTTAAGATCTCTCAATTTCTCATAAACTCAGCTGTTCTCTCTATCACGCCCACCCTTATATATTTTTTTGGCAGTTGCTTTATTGAACTATGTGCTCTGTGCCAATATTCAGAAAGCCCTGAAACCACGTTGCCACGGCTACCCTTGACAGATGGGTCCCATGTCGTCACACTGCGAGCATGTTTAGCAATGCAGACGTCATTTATCATAATCCATCACGGTTCAGCAAAAATAATGACCTTACTCTCACGTGAAAATGCCAGAAGCAAAATCAATGTTGGGTAACTTGTGAGTTTCTTGCAATTACCTGAGTTCATTCTTATGATTTACGCTACACAGTAAAACCTCGTTATTTCGGTATTTGATCGTTCGTAATTGTGGATATATATATACGGTGTATTAGCAATTTGCAATAAGCCGAATTGCCATACTGAATGGTCCAATTCCGGCGAGCACGTCGAGCGACTCCGCACACCACGATCCAAACAACGACTCGGTCTGGTGGCGAGTGTTAGTTCAGCCCCGTCGCTTTGGACTTTACCTTGTTTGTGCACTCCGTGCAAGCCAACCCTTCTCAGAAATGTCATCTACACCCATATCAAGATGTAATGGAAAGGGACTGTTTTATAAATCCCTTAGTCTGCGAGATGAATCCACGGTTGTGGACGTAATTGATGCAGGTGTGTCAGTGTGTATGGTGTGTGATGTGAACAGTTTGGAAAACAAATTTGGAAAAACAAATGTATTGGGGCAGGAGGCACTGGGGAGTACCATTGTACATAATTCGGGATATTGGATAAGGCCAGAGCCTCATATGTGTAGAATTAATAAGGGTTTACGGTATTGCAATTCATCACATCGCCATTTAAAACACAGCTTAGCCATTGTTTAATTCCATTCGGAAACAGTCCGGAATGCTCTTTTGGGAATTCTTGTGACACACCATATCAATCTGGCCTCATTTTGTCCTTTTAAAAAAAAAAAACCTGTCAATAGGGTTATATAACTGATTACAGGAATACAATATAGGGTACATTAATGTAGGGATATGGATATGCATACTGTACCTTGTACTCATCAGGAGTGCCTTATGCCACGTATCCATAGTCCAAGCATTCCAGAAACACCGAGTAAGAAATCAATCCTTGAAATTAACAATTATATTACTACAGATTGCTGTAAAATTCCATTTACCAATATATTCAATACTATTATTATTACTTTTCTGAGATATCTAACAATATTTCAATAACAGAAGCGAATCGAAAGCAGCTATACTCTCACCTGGTTATGAGTAATTGCATCGGTTATTCATATTTTATGTTATTCCACGAAATGCAGCTCTCTGATGTGTGTTCATAGTTGTACTGCGTGTTGTTCGGCACGACGTCCGACGTTTCGCTCCACGCGTACTGGGAGCACCTGAGAAAACCGAAAACACATCAGAGAGCTATATACAGTGAGCGAAAAAAGTATTTGATCCCCTGCTGATTTTGTGCGTTTGCCCACTGACAAACAAATGATCAGTCTATAATTTTAATGGTAGGTTTATTTGAACAGTGAGAGACAGAATAACAACAAAAAAATCCAGAAAAACGCATGTCAAAAATGTTATAAATTGATTTGCATTTTAATGAGGGAAATAAGTATTTGACCCCTCTGCAAAACATGACTTAGTACTTGGTGGAAAAACCCTTGTTGGCAATCACAGAGATCAGACGTTTCTTGTAGTTAGCCACCAGGTTTGCACACATCTCAGGAGGGATTTTGTCCCACTCCTCTTTGCAGATCTTCTCCAAGTCATTAAGGTTTTGAGGCTGACGTTTGGCAACTCGAACCTTCAGCTCCCTCCACAGATTTTCTATGGGATTAAGGTCTGGAGACTGGCTAGGCCACTCCAGGACCTTAATGTGCTTCTTCTTGAGCCACTCCTTTGTTGCCTTGGCCGTGTGTTTTTGGTCATTGTCATGCTGGAATACCCATCCACGACCCATTTTCAATGCCCTGGCTGAGGGAAGGAGGTTCTCACCCAAGATTTGATGGTACATGGCCCCGTCCATCGTCCCTTTGATGCGGTGAAGTTGTCCTGTCCCCTTAGCAGAAAAAAACCCCAAAGCATAATGTTTCCACCTCCATGTTTGACGGTGGGGATGGTGTTCTTGGGGTCATAGGCAGCATTCCTCCTCCTCCAAACACGACGAGTTGAGTTGATGCCAAAGACCTCCATTTTGGTCTTTTCTGACCACAACACTTTCACCCAGTTGTCCTCTGAATCATTCAGATGTTCATTGGCAAACTTCAGACGGGCATGTATATGTGCTTTCTTGAGCAGGGGGACCTTGTGGGAGCTGCAGGATTTCAGTCCATCACGGCGTAGTGTGTTACCAATTGTTTTTTTGGTGACTATGATCCCAGCTGCCTTGAGATCATTGACAAGATCCTCCCGTGTAGTTCTGGGCTGATTCCTCACCGTTGTCATGATCATTGCAACTCCACGAGGTGAGATCTTGCATGGAGCCCCAGGCCGAGGGAGATTGACAGTTATTTTGTGTTTCTTCCATTTGCGAATAATCGCACCAACTGTTGTCATCTTCTCACCAAGCTGCTTGGCAATGGTCTTGTAGCCCATTCCAGCCTTGTGTAGGTCTACAATCTTGTCCCTGACATCCTTGGAGAGCTATTTGGTCTTGGCCATGGTGGAGAGTTTGGAATCTGATTGATTGATTGCTTCTGTGGACAGGTATCTTTTATACAGGTAACAATCTGAGATTAGGAGCACTCCCTTTAAGAGTGTGCTCCTAATCTCAGCTCGTTACCTGTATAAAAGACACCTGGGAGCCAGAAATTTTTCTGATTGAGAGGGGGTCAAATACTTATTTCCCTCATTAAAATGCAAATCAATTTATAACATTTTTGACATGCGTTTTTCTGGATTTTGTTGTTGTTATTTTGTCTCTCACTGTTTAAATAAACCTACCATTAAAATTATAGACTGATCATTTCTTTGTCAGCGGGCAAACGTACAAAATCAGCAGGGGATCAAATACTTTTTTCCCCCACTGTAACACCTGTGGCAGTTGTAAAAACACGAAATTCATCAACAGTGCTTGTCTTGTTCAGGGGTTACTCACCTGGAGTTTAAACGGCCACAAGGCTTCGAATACAAGTCGGGGCAGCTGGTGCGCGTGGCCTGCCTGAAACTGGGCCGTAGTGAATACCACCCATTCACGCTCACGTCCGCACCCCACGAGAACACCCTGAGCATTCACGTGCGCGCAGTGGGGCCCTGGACCACGCGACTCCGTGAAACCTACTCTCCAGACAACTCCAGGTCCTTTTCCAAGGTACACAAAAGCAATATGTCGATGTGGATTTTACGTGCTAGAGAGGCAACTTATTAATAGTTTCCTGAAGATTTATATAGCATTATAATGATACTGCAACTGCTTCTCTTAAGACACTATACAGAAACAGTGGAACAGGGGCACGCTGGAGGAATAGAAGCGTGGTATTTATTAGGGGAACTGCGGTGGCGAGATGTTAACTACCTCGTCTGGTCGTGGGTTCGATTCCGATCCCGACCCTGACGCCTGCATATGGGGAATTTGCGGTGTCTCTCTCCCCGTCGTCCCGTGAAATTTTCTCCGGGTCCTCCGGTTTTTCCCTCCACATTTAGAATCAACGTCTGTTTTGAGTATGTACATTTAGAGATGTGGCTGAAAAAACTGCCAGTTACATTTTGGATCATCTGCAATGATATGACACACATTACAGTGTTCCTAACATGCTGCTCTGTACGTGTGCAGATATACCTGGACGGTCCATTTGGGGAGGGACACCAGCACTGGAATGATTTTGAGGTGTCCGTGCTGGTGGGAGGAGGCATTGGAGTCACTCCTTTTGCTTCCATCCTGAAAGACATTGTTCACAAGTCGTCGATCAATGCCCGGCTCATTTCCTGCAAAAAGGTAACGGGGTAATATCTGAAGTATCACATTCGTGATACAGCACTCATTAACCATAATAGAGGTTTTTGGGTTAGATCGCGTAAATATAAATGTGCCGTTTAACCCGCCACCACTATGCGACCGCACACGGGTGTGTTGGCGAGTAAAACCCACAACATTTCAAATTCGGGTATGACGTTTCGCCAGTAAATACAACTAGCATCATCAGGTGGACAGCCAGTGTTGTGGAGAAATCCTCCTTCTTCGGTCTTAAATAGAGAGTGATAAATGTGAAGTCGTCACTCGTGAGCCAATCTGGTGTGAAGGCCAGAGGGGGGTGGGTTAATGTATGCACATAAATTACAATGGACATCCATTATCGGTTGGTAATGGAAATGCACTCATTAAACCACAACTCTGTGTCCCAAAGCTTGAAAGTAATTTGAATGATGTTCCCTTCAAATGAATGCATTTGCATTAATATTCACGTTGAAACGGGTGTGAATTTTCGACCAGGTGTACTTCATTTGGGTGACGCGGACCCAACGGCAGTTCGAGTGGCTGACGGACATCATCCGGGAGGTGGAAGAAAACGACAAGAACGACTTGGTGTCCACGCACACCTACATCACGCAGTTCGCCGAGAAGTTTGATCTGCGCACAGCCATGCTGGTATACAGCACACGTTCTAAGATAACGCCGCGGTGCACTTTCAGACGCTTGATTTGTTAATTTGCTTGCCAAGGGATGCAATATCTCGTTTGCAATGTATAGCTGGTAATGTCGTCTGAAATAACAAATCACTGCCCTCTGTCAAACCACTGCTGGATGAAGGGCTCCCCGTGCCTGACTGGCTGTTCTAACGTCATCAAACGTGGACATCATCCCGTCTCTGTTAGGTGTCCCACGGGATTCTGTTCTTCAGCCCCATTCCCTTGGCAGCTTACGTGTTTCCAGTAGCCATGCTCATACAGAGTTTCAGTGTAAACGTATTCGTACATCAATATGCTGATGATAATGTACTTGAGCTTTACAACACTGGCTGATGCTCAACAATCCATAACTCAACCCCTCAGTATCTTAAGGCTATGATCCGTGGAGCTCGTCAGAAGTTATGACGTCTGAACGTGCCAGTTTCCATTCTTCGTGGCCGGCAGTTCCATAAAAAAAACACATGCAGCAATCTAAAGTTACTGGCTATTAAACGCAACAAACATCTCGCCTTTGAATCGCGTATCAGCGAGTTCATCTGGTCTTGCAAGTTTCACATCTGAGCTCTACGTTATATTCAGAAATTCCATAGATAAGAACGTCTCACCACAGTGGCGAGATTTTAAGTACCTCGCCCGGTATGGAGGAGGCTGTGGGTTTGATCTCGACCCAGACGCCTGCTATATATTTGGAGTTTGCGGTGTCTCTCTCCCCGTGGTCGTATGGATTTTTGTCCAGGTTCTTCAGTTTTTCCCTCCACATTTAGAAACATGCATTTAGAGCAAGGCGGTAGCCATGGAGTCAACATTGGGGGGGACCAAATCTTCCAGGGGGTCTGGAGGTCCCCTCCCAGAAAAAAATCTGCCTAAAATATTAAATAATTCACTAACACATGGGATGGACTTTTTATTTGTCTAATAGTGTGTTGTATTACATTGCTGTTTTTTTCTTTTTTTTACCTTTTTTAGTTTCATTGTATGTAATGGCAGAGATTAGGGATTCATAAAGTACAACCATAACTACAATCATATGAACAGAAATCTATGCAGTGTTATATGAAGACAAGTCCAGATATTGTGGCCAAGGTTTAGTAAATTGTTGTTTTTATTTACGTAGGATCGCAATTATTATTTTAAAATATTTGTAAAAATATTTTTTATAGCAATATATTGAGGGGGACATTTTTTAGCATATTTGAATATTGGGTGGAGATTTGTCCCCCCCAATATAATATTATAATTAAGGCCTTAATCTAGAGTATTTGCCTGCTATGCATTTTCACGTAATAAGCCGCTTTGTTGAGCTGTCATTTGTGGCTAGATCCCTTCTGAAAAAGAGCTATGTAACTCAGTGGGCCTTATCTGGTAAAATTGAAAAAACCTTTTCAAAATGGTTTTAGTAAATACCGTCGCATGTAGTCTGAATGCCACATGCCTTGATAATTATTGCAACTCTGTGCGATGCGGAGTTCACGATAGCCTCGGCAAACATCTTCAGCTTCTTCAAAGCACCCTCCTCACCAGTCGTCTGCCTGGCCTCCACCTCTCACAACCTCTTAAAACCCTTTGAAGGAGCCACATTGGTTAGCAGTGCATAAGAGAGTCCATTTCAAGATCACAGTGTTTGCTTTCATAGCTAAGACAACCGGTCAACCAACGTACCTGAGCAATGCCATCCACCCATATGTAGCATCACGAGACCTACGCTCATTTAGTATGGACCTGCTGCTGCCGTGTGAAATCTACTCGGTTTAGGACAGCAGAGCTGAGTTTTTCATCTGCAACCCTGGTGGTCTGGCACAGTCTGCCAGTCAAACCATGACAATCGGTGATTCAAAGACCGGACTATGAACATGTATTTTCTCGTCTGTTCGGTTTAATTGAATTTTCTCAATGCTATTCGTGTTTCTGTCTGGAAGATTCAGCCAACTGAAGTCCAGTCAGCAGTGACAATCGGTTTTTTCTAAGACCGGAGTAGATACATTTATTTTCTCTTCTGTTCAGTTTAATTTTCTCAATGTTATTCGCCCTTTAATCTCAGATTTTTGTTGAATATGGCGCGTTATAAATCTTGGATTGATTGATTGTTGTTGATTGTTGGTTGTGTGACCATACTTCATCATATTGAAGGTTATGCAGGAACGGTTCAGATATCACTCTAAGCCAACTTTAGTCATGGCCTGCAATCAAACTTGCTCGAGGCGTTCAGATTTCTAATACCATGTGCTAACAAGTGTGCCACTGCTCTACCCACACATAGTATACTCCTAATAGCATATTTGCATTTGCTACTGAATATACATTGCCAATGTTTGAAGATTGTCAGTCTCCTGACTGCTTGTTTACAATGAAGCCTTTGTTTGTAAAGCTATGTCAATAATAGTTCATTTTTTATGCTGATCCAAGTGTTGTGTTAAAAATGGTTTACTTCATGGTCTCTTCTCTAGTTTAAGTATACTGAAACTTGTTGTATTTTAACAGCTAATTTGATTCATTATTTGTCAAAGTTTTTAAATGCAATTGATGTAACGTAGATACACACGAGTACACTGAGGAAAAGCACAACAATAGGTTTCATCTGCAACAAATATATCAGTGGTGCAATAAAATATTACTATAACGACTGGCAAATGTATTCTTTTTTTTTGTTAACTGCAAATATGTTTTACGTGAAATGGCCTTTTAGATTTTTTTTAATGGAAAATGTATTGTGCTTTGTAATCTGTGTGTCACAATAATTACATAACCAAACACTGCTCTTTCACCTTCTATCCTGCAGTACATCTGCGAGCGTCACTTCCAGAAGGTGTCCAACCGCAGTCTGTTCACGGGCCTTCGCTCCATCACGCACTTTGGCCGCCCGCAGTTTGTGCCCTTCCTCAACTCCTTGGAGAATCTGCACCCGAAGGTTTGTCTTCATTTACCGACAAGCATTTTGCATTCATGAGTTTGTTTCGGGCACGCCTAACTTGCTGATTAGCCACCCAAACTCATTACGTGTTGCCGTGAGTAAAGGTTCATGTAAAAAATAAAATATGGACGTAGCACTCTTCATCAGCCTTGATCCTTCCCCCGCACCTTCCATTAACACGGTTGTCTACATGCGGTGTGATAGTCGGCTGATGGACTAAAAAAACCCCACATTTTTGAATAATTTGCTACATTCCTTTAATGGACCTTTTATAGACTCATGGGTTAACTTACAATTTAAAATTGAATCGTCAAATGTTTCCACTGCTCAAATAAGCACGGGGCAGTGCTCGTTTCATTTGATGGACCTGCACCCATAATGGAAATGTCACATTCATATGGCAGCAGACAGTCTATATATATATAGGATTATAGGGTACAAGACAAGTACAAAAATCCCCCCTATAGCCTTAACAGAATGTTAGGGCAAGTGCTGTTAGCGAGTGCCTATGAAGGCCGACACGGCACACGAAGGGGTGGGTGGCCAACTCCACGCCCTGCCGCCTTTGTCTCCCGAGTGGCGATGTTTAAACATCACGCCAGGTACCCATTTGATGCTGAGTCGAACTAGGGGAAGCCCAGGACTAGTTCAGGTAATCGTCCCTGGTGTTGGCTGTGAGCAGGAACCCAACCCTGGTCGCCAGGTTAGTAGCGCAGCGCTCTAACTGCTACACTACTGCCCCCCACTACCGCTGTATAAGATACCCACTATTGATCTCCCACACAACTGGTACTCATTTTATGGATGTTAAACGGACTGTGTGAACTCCACGATGAGATTTGAACTCTTTGCGTTCTGTTTGAGTTGAGTTAAGGACGTAAAGTACATTATTCACAATGAATCCTGATCACCCTAATCAACGTTAGTGCAGCTCTCCATGTTGTGACCTGCAAAATTATGGGCCAAGTGCCCTCGTTGTTGGTCTGAGTGGTTCTCTAAGCTGAAGTGGTTCTACCCGATATGCCCCCTATGTTTGAAGAGTGAAAATGTGTTTTGTAGGCCCAATCTACTTAACTGCACATGCAATCGTGACCAATATGATTTCCCTGATAACTTACATCAAAGTTATGATTTTTACATTCTTGTCAGCGCTGAACATGATGTATGTTATATGCAATATTTTTTCTGTTTTAGGTTGGGAAGATCGGCATTTTTAGCTGCGGACCTCCGGGTCTTACGAAGACCGTTGAGAAGTCTTGCCGCCAGTTAAATGGTCATGATCAAACCCGCTTTGTCCACCATTACGAGAACTTCTGATTTCACAATTTGCACTCATTGCAGATGCAAGATACATTTTGGTCATAAAATAGAAACCCCACGTATATCAGTAACAAAATTATTCACTTGCTGGTCATGAAACCCGTTTTAGAATGTTACGTTATCACAAGTGGTACACTTTAAACATCAGTTATGTTGTGATCTTTTATTTTGCTGCGTTAATTTGCAGTCAGAGAATAAGCAGAATAATAATTCGTGAAAACAAGGAGTCTTTTCAACGTACATTTTTTTTACATGATAGTTAGGTTTGGTTTTAACTATCAAGTAATAATTCGCACATGCTCACATCAAAACTGCATTCTAAAACTACGTTTTGATGTGGTCTGATAGTCGGACTCATACTGGAGTTAAATATTGCAGGTGTTATTGTCTGCCTTTTTAAATGATGTCACATTTTACAGACGTGGGCGAGAAGACCGGCAGCTACAATTTGGATAAAAAATTTGTAGCAATATAACACGCAAGACCGCACCTCCGATTAGCACACGGTTGGCTATGTATGGCGCGAAAGAAGTTAAACATATGCATATACGTGACAGTGTGTTCTTACCATGGTGTCTGTGCTCGCGCAGATATCACTGGATGGTCCGTTTTGAAAAGGTCTCCATTTTGTTCCATTCCTTCATTCACATTGTTGCTCCTTTGTAGAATTGGCCTGCATTGTTTTTTTCAATTATCAGTCTCACTATCATCTCTTCCCACTGTCTCACTCTGCTTTCTATTCAATTCTCTCAGTTTGGACTCTGTAGTATATTCTGTCCATCTCTCGTCGGTTATTTACATTACCAGTCATTGTCCATTTCCACCTTGTTTAGTAAAAAATAAATATATAAGGTTTATAAAAGAGTGAATTCTTTTATAGGTTTTGCAATGTATGTTTCACACATTTCCTAAAACGTATTCTCATATATGAGGTCACACTTTCACACTGCACACGTTTGTTACAATTTGTAACACAGTTTGTGATTTTTTTTTTCACTACACTGCAATTATGACTAACCGACATTTTGGTTTTATTTTGGAGATAAAAGTGAAAAAAGATGTAAAGTATGTTCGACAATTTATTTAAAATATCTATTTTTAGAACGTGATTATAAGATACAAGTACAGTATTGCAATTCTTGCCGTGTGAACGCAATTTGAAAACACTGTTCTGTAATTGTTGATTGCAGTGCTTAGTTGCAAACCTAGTGTGGTGCGTTCTTAATGTCTTTGTGCTAATAAGCAAATCTTATCACATACATCTTAAATAAAAAAATGATGTGCATATGCTTTGAATTATGCCAATGCTTGCAAAATGGTTTTTCAGAAAGGATACGTAATTTTGAGAACCCTAATTTGATGTAGAAGGCAAATGGACGTGGGCTGTTTTTTTATAAGCGAGAAGGGACACTGATCGAGCTACATTCGTCATGAATTGAGACCTACTACAGACGAGAAGTAGTGAAAGAGACAATGGAAACAATTGTGAAGGAGCCAGTGAAGGCAGTAATGTCAACATTTGAATGAAGTCATCAGCCTTCAGTATTGGTGGTGAATAATTTACAATGAAGGTCATGAACCTTATGTTCATGTCTATATCAGCATAATATCAGCTTGGGGAGCGATGTTGGACATCATTGGTGGTTAATACTTGAACCAGTCTTCGGCTTCCCTTCACCAATATCGTGTAGTCAGATAACCCCAATGACCGACCCAATGATTTAATCCAACAGTGCACTGACAAAGGACTGAAATGTATTATTTATAGCAACGGGAAAAAAAACATTTTAAATAAAAAAGACGAGTTATATTGACATATGCAGTACTCCGCCACGCAATGGAAAGTAAAAACATTCAATAGAAAAATTTTCGAACTATTCAATCAATCTCGGCCGAGACCTCTACACCCAGCTCTCTTGAGACAAACACCTCAAAGTAGCCATTCTCAACCCCTCGCGGTTCAAACAAACAAAAAAAATCGGTCTCCTCCCACGTGGCCAAAAGTGCTGTTGGTGACCAAAGAAGGCCAATACGTCTCACAAGGGGATCAGCAGGGACAGAAACTCGTCTGGCCACCCACGCCTTCGTCCCCAAACACGGGCAAGCGCTTACATACCAAGACAAAGTCCACCCCCCGTGTAGCCATTTACATGGCTGTTGGAGCAAGGGGTGTTGGCATCTATGAATAACATCGCTGGCTCACGTTTTGGTTGTTGTGGCTAAATACCACGCCCATCTTTTTCTCCCCGGTTTTGATCAATGAACCCCGGCTCTCGCATAATGTCCGTGAAGCAGTCATTTTAGTCTGTTGATGGTCGGCGATGCGGCAATCGACTCGTCTCGACGAGCCTGTACACGATGCAACTATTCAAAGTTGCAATTTTCGAGGACGGATTTTTTTTATGCTATAACGTTTGGCGTTTCGACATCGCGGAGTGGCACTGATTTCGGATTGATTGGTACCCCAGTCGCGGAGTGAAGTAACACCCCTAGAAAAAAATATAGTGTCCCAGAAATAAAATATTTCATTGCCTCGGCCAGCTTTGTATTATTTGTTACCCCGGGGTACCGCCATAAGGATAATTTGCACATCGCACGAGGTACTCGGTTTGAGAGTGAAACGACCAAGGGCAAGCCCACGACCAGTTCAGATAATGGCAACTGAATCGAGCTCAGCTTGCAGTATTTGTGACGGATATGATCAGACACGTAACCACGTGCATTTGCTAGCCAGTTACCGTTGGGGAAAGCTATTTACACACATCTTTGGTGAAAAACGTGACCAAAATTAACACAATTTTTGTTTGTTTTCTCTCGACCAACGACTCAGCCCCTTAATACGTACGCATCTTTCTACTATTGATGGTGCAATAGAACGTTGCATATGCGACTCGCTGTGGACTGACATAAAGACAGATTTGTGAATAGTCGAACATGTGAACATTTCTTTAAAAGGACAGTTACCCCCATGCTATTCAGGGTGGATGTTTGATGGCACACTGTGTTACAAAAAAAACATATTTTTGTTTTTGGGTAGTGTTATTTCCTAATTGCTCATGCCTCAAAAGTACAGAAAATGGCTATTATTCCCCACAAACTTTGCTTTAGTGACCAGGACAGTGCTATTTTGAAATGTACCTATTTTCAATGAGAAAACGTGGTGTGTAATTGTGTCATTCCTTCACATAAAGTCCTGGTCACAAAAGCAAAGTTTGTGGGGAATAATAGCCAGTTTCTATACTTTCGAGGCATAAGCAATTCGAAAATAACACTTAGTACCCAGCAGCAAATAGAAAGCAGAGAGAGAGAGACAAAAAGACAACTCTGTCACGTGAAAAAAATACAAAATATTGCAGAAATATCAGCATATAAATTAATACATTCTATACTCTTTGGTTCTTTCGGTAAAGTCACGTAGGTATAAAATAAAATAACCTACGTGATTTTACTGAAAGAACCAAAGAGTATGGATTCCTGCAGTCACGAAAGCTTCAAATCAAGATTAATACATTTTTAGCATGAATCGACTCATAATATGTTATTTTTAGAATGATAAAATTACAATAACCAACGAGTTACGGAAACGTAATAGATGTAGAGTAACTATTGTACTGGTATGTAAACCGACAAGGATACATATAAAACCACCCACAGTGAGTGCAGTATTTGCACCTGGCATAACTCATTTTTTCTACGTACTCACAAATCCAACCTTTTCAAATCCAGGAATGTTTTTTTTTAATATATTATTTAAATGTTGCTTAAATTTTATTTTGCCACTCAAATGGAGTGAAGCATTTCCCCCCATGTTTAAACCCAGTCTGTGTCCAGTCACCTACCACTTGAGGATCAATTTTCACAACGATCAACACCTTCTATACATGGCATTACATTGCACACTTCAAGTTTACAATCGTGTTTTTTTTAGCGTATGAGGGCGTTGGCCAGCGTTTATTTATTATTATTTGTAAAGGTTTTATTTTTGTAAGACGGACACTCTTTTCTTTATTGTCAAATTGCTTTTTTTTTAAACAAAACTGAAGCAGACATTAAAACAATTCACCAAGGATTTTCATTTGAGTTTAATTGACAGTGACATTTCAACTGATGGTAACCACCCTTCTACGTGACTTTACCGAAAGAACCAAGAATACGAATATGAGGGTAACGTGTCCGTAGGGATGAGTTTTGGATTTTACATTTGCCATATTTTGGATTATTAAGGACTATATCAGATCTTTTTTTTGAGTTTGCATAATTTTCTTCAAGTACTATTTTTAAATGTTTTTGTGCTAATATTCGTGACCTCACCCGATGTCACGTGACGCCACTTTCCGCGAGAAAAGCGAAGTTTTCGATTCGAGACGAAAACAATCTTCAGATCATCTGAAGTTTCATATTTGGTCCTCTGACTTTATGATTTTCATATCCCTAAGGTGTCATCAAAACTTGCTTCTAAATGATAACCAATTGTAAGCACGAGCGACACTTGAGCTAAGCAGGAGTATATGAGGTGACTGGCACTTGAGTGTGACTGCTGTACTTTGTGACTCTTTTCGATGGGAAAGCAATCTAAAATCACACTCGCGAAGGATAACTTTAAATTGGTTTCTTTGAATGAAGATGATATCAATTGTGCGTATCAAAGGGCTTCACATCCACACCTAACTTTTGTTGTTTTGACTCGTGAGTGAGATGCAATTGAGAAGCCAGGGAAGCAAATCAACATTTTAAAGTGGCTGTTCATTTACATGCAATGTGAAAAAAAACTTACATGCATGCACGTATACCAGGTACAAACATGTGAATGAAGTACGCCTTTTGCACAGTGCAACTAAAATAGTGTAAAATAATATATACAGTATTGTCACTGTTGCATGAGTAAAGTGTAATTTGTGTAGCATAAGGTGTCCGTTATAGGTTAATATTTAGAAAGGAGTTTGAATTGCGTGACTAACTGCTGGGATAATTTTGATTTAAAGCTTTCGTGACTGCAGGGATTCATATTCTTGTTTTTTTTCGGTAAAGTCACGTAGAAGGGAAACAATAAAGGGAAACAATAAAATAATATTATTTTATTGTTTCCCTTCTACATGACTTTGCTGGGATAATGTGAAAGATAATAATTACATTGTTCAGCCCAATTGATGTAGGTAGGTCTCATTTCATGTTCGTCATCAGGGTTGTTTTCACATACTTCACCAAAGTTGATCAATGTGGGTTGAGGTGTCACTCTCAAATTATCTGAACCATGGTCGGAATTTAATTAATTTTGCGAGGTTGATCGCGCAGTGAGACAGCGATTGCGCCACCAAAGCACCCCTGCAATAATAAAGTGTATACCAAAACAACAAAAATCACGAGCGATTTTCCATAGCACAGAAGCATAAAAAAACCACACCTAATATGTTGTCACGCGCTTTAGTTATTTCGGTAAAGTCACGTAGGTAGAAAAAATAATACATCACGACGTTTCCACGTTTCGATCGCCACACAAGCGACCGAAGACGGTCGCTTGTGTGGCGATCGAAACCGAAGACGGTTGCTTGTGTGGCGATCGAAACGAAGACGGTCGCTTGTGTGGCGATCGAAATGTCGTGATCTATTCGTTTTCCTACCCACGTGACTTTACCGAAATAAATAAAAAGTATGAATTCCTGCAGTCACGAAAGCTTCAAATCAAGATTAATATGTTGTCATCAACATCATGGCTGATGTGTGCAAGACAGATAAAAGTCATACGATTAAATCTTAATACTGCTCTGTGTGTATAGTTATGCAACACACTGCACACATACCATGTAATGCAAAAGCGAAGCAACTAAGAGCTGTGGCATTGCAGGACGAACAGAAAATCCATCACGTTATGGACAATGTTTGCAAAACAACAAAAGTAAGAAAATTTAATATTTGGAAAAAAATGTACGAATACATTTGCAAAAAGTCCACGTGGCTTTGGATCAAACACGTCCAGTCCAGTGAGCGGAAAAGGCACACTTAAGTCACGTTGGTCGGTTCATGCAACGGGCTACCGTGAGGATTTACATTTGTTACCTGGAAGGATGATGCTTTGCCTTGGTGTAGTTGACCTCTGGACTTACAACCCAAAGGTCACTGGTTCGATCTCCCAGCGCAGCAGTTGAAACAATAGGTACGTGTATTAATTCCCCCTGCTTCAGACAACCCAGTAGTATAAATGGGTAAACCACAGTTAGTCAATCGGCAGGTCGCGCGTGGTGAAGTGTGGGTACTCGGTAGTGTAGTGGTTAGTGCGCTGCGTTATGA